CCTCCTGGCCACCCTGCCGGAGCTGCTCGAGGCGCTCGTCGCGCGCTGGCTGGACGCGCCCGACGTCGGCGTCGGGGAGCGCGCGGGCCGCGTCCTCGGCGACCTGCTCGAGACGGACTGCGACGTGGACGCCGCGCCGCCGCCGTCTCACGCGGTCAACGGCGTCGCTAGCCCTCGGGGCCACGGACGCCTCTGGCAGCTTCTGTTCGACGCTGAGCAGCTGTTCTCCATCATCCCTCGTCTCTGCAGCACCGCCTCCGCAACCGAAGACGTCGACGGCGAGCATGGCCCGGCCCGCACGGAGCGCCAGGTCTCCCTCGCGCAGGGCCGGCTACTGCGTCTCCTCCCCCGCCTTGCGATGCTCAACCTCGGCGCACTCACGCGCACGCCGTTCCCGGAGTTGTTGCCGCTGCCGCAGAGCGTCGCCCGGGACGCCGGCGGCAACGGCCTGCTGCAGTGGGCCGCGCTCGCCATGGTCGACAAGTCGGACGTGCTCTTGCACCTCAGCTTGATTGACTTTTTCGAGACGCTCGTCAGCGTCATGCGTGTGTCGCCGTCTGCGACGGCTACCGTCCGGAGCCTCGTCAGGGCGGCCACCGCCAACGACGCGCAGCTCAAGGAGGCGCTGGTCGCTCTGCCGAACCGCACGATAGAGGAGGAGGCGGAGCCGCTACGGATATACATAGGGCAGCTGCTAGATTGAGTAGATAATGCAATGAATGATGAATGATGCAATTTGTACATAGTTATCAAAATAGCCACTTGAATGGAAATCCCCATCGATGCTCTCATTAAACGTTTCTACATCTATTATCTTGTACAACGGCGGCTTCCAACTCCATCACCTTGAAACAAGACACAACAGACTTTTTGTTTTCGATTCCTCCCTCCTAATAATGGTCCGCTTCATATGCTACATAGCATCACAGCATCTTGCGCGCAGCCTGCTCGTGATCTCCGCCCGTTGCATCGGATACGGTGCTGATAACACTCTCCCGTCTCTTCTCCGCCATGCTCGCCATGCCTTCGATACCTAAAGACACTTCGCCTACCCGACGCAGTACCGTCAGCAAAGCACCCCGTAGGTCGGCAGTCAAGTCCTTCTGGAGCAGCTCTACTGCAAGCGGGTAGAATTCGCCAATGTGCGTCTTGAACGCATCGTCCGGGAAGGTAGCGTATCCCTCAAGCACGTCCACCACCACAGGACGCCAGGCCGCGAGATTGCGCTGCTGGCTCTCCTCCACAAGTGTAGAATACCCGGTTATGATGTCCTTGCACAGTGGCACAAGAGCCGACTCGATATCCGCTCGGCTATCGAGACGCTCTGGCGCGTTGTCCGCAAACATGCGGAACAGGATGGACACGTATGTGGCGGCTGCTCCGCTCTCCTGCTTCAGGAGATTTGGCGGTTGCTTCATGAAACCTTCCCGCCACAGCTTCATGCGCAGCTCCTTGTCCTCATTGAAGCGTCTTGCAAACTGGAAGGACCTCTTGAGGAGTGCCATTAGGCGTAGCAATTCTGTGGATGGGATGTGCGCATACACAGTGTCGTTGCTGAAAAGTTCGTTGACGGTTTCGATCATGAGCAGTTGCAGAACACAACGTGAAATGATGCGATTGAAGAATCTCCTTCTCGCCGCAGTAACAACAACGGGCTGCTGTTGTAGTGTGGACGCCGGCTTGAACTCTTCCAAGGGAGCTTGGCTTGTAGCACCAATGGATGGTCGTCGTGCATCGTCATCCAGCGGTCGCGGTGAGATTGGTCTGTTCATAGATTCACTGTCAGACGCATGATCATTTTCGTCTCCCCCGTTGATTTTGAGCGACCCATCGTCCGCAACAGGCTCTCCACCAGTGCCTAGACCACTGGAAAAATCTATACCATTAGACGGCAGAGACAGTGCTGCCGGGGATGCGCCGTTCGCGGCCGTGAAGAGCTGATACGCGGTTGTGCGCTCGAACAGCTCGCAGAATGCTCCTACAATCTTCGCCCAGTGCTCCGGCGCGAACTTGGTAACATTTTTGAGGATGAGCTGCTGCAAGCAGTTGCTGCCAATACGAGAAATTGTATCATTTTCTTGGCAAATGCAAAGCTCAAGAAGTTCCAAGAAGCGATCGAGCATGTATTCCAGAGAGTCAAAGTAGTGAGTGAACAGCGTGATCATGTTCCTCAGCGCCTGGATCATAGTTGTTGAGAGCCAGACAGACAATTCCTCGTGGTGCAAAACATTTGCCATCTCAGGACGTGATCTCAGTACCATGAAAATAGGATATAGCTGTTGTCTCCAGAGAATGTCCCAGAATTCAGGGGTGAAGTCACCGCCATATTTGATCAGGGTAGCGAAGAAGTACTCCAAGGCATTAGACCGTACTTCTAAATCCTCGCCTGTCATCAACACATCGTGGAATGCGAAAAGGACCGGGAACCAATATCCCTCCTCGATTGACGTGCTAGATTTCGTGGTTGACTTCGTTTCTTGTCGACTCTCCGGTGGCTGTGAAAGAGGGCACTCTGGCGTCTTCAACATCTTTGGAATAATAGATTTCAAGAGCTCTAGCGCAGCCAGACTCTTCTTCTGGAACTTGAGGTTCTTGGAGAATTCCGTCAAGCAGACGATAAGGTCAGTAAAGGCTCCCTGAGTGACAACGACGCCAAACTTGTCCTTGTAAACTTGGCTAACATTCTCATAGGCCAAGTTCACGATGCTCTCGGAACTCTCGCGAGCTGCGACTGTAAAGACGCCAAACATGGTTCGCCATCCAGAGCGAATGTTGCCTCCGCGGGCCTGAATCATCTGAATCAAGCATCTCAGCACCAAATCCTTGACCGTGACGTTGTCTGAATTGGCCAGAACATGCTGGAATGGTTTGAGGAAATCCTTCTGGAACTTGAAACCGGCCAGCTCTTCAATCTCCATGAAGCGCATTGATAACTGTCGCAAGGAGTCCAGGGCGAAGAAGACAATGTTCATGTTATTGTGGCAACCGACTTGGTTGAAATGCTCTCCGAGAACTACCCAGATGTTGCTCCATTCAAACCTGACGCGGTTCATGTTGTAGTAGCTGATCTCCACAATCTTCTGTAAACTGTATGTACGAGGAGAATCGTTAGAGCCGGAGACTCTAATTTCATCCCACGAAACCTCTGTGAGTGCCTTGGCAAAATGAACCATCGCGTCGCCAGACAAATTGGCTGTGTTTGTGAAGATGCGGTCGACGCCTCGTACTACTTCGTCGGAACGACTTTCTAAGGCAATCTCATGGGAGAAGCCACGGGATCCCGTCCCCGAGCGCTGGCGGTTGCGTGGCCGTGAGGATGTTGATGCTCTCGAGTCCGAGGTTTCAGTTCTAGGCGGGGGCATGAAACGAGCTTTAGAGACATCCGGGATGACGCTCTCATCCACGCCACCAGAAATGAGCTGTAGTCGGTCCAGTTGACTAATGCACATCAAGATATCCTTCCATGATTCTCGAAGCACATTGCCCTCGGTCTGTCCAAGATCGAGAATAATTTTGACGGCCTCGATATTCTTAGCCATCATCTCCTGAGGATTGTTCAAGCTAGTAGTATTTCTCAGCGCGGAGATGAAGGCCTCTCTTGGTGTTGATAGCTCAAAGGTGCAGGCAATCTTGGTAGCAAGCTTCATTCCCTCGAGACATAGCTTGCACACTTCGAGGCTGTGAGCCTTCTGCAGTTGCGATGATAGTGCTGAGAAGAAAGACATCCACGTCACGTCAAACATGGAACCAACGTGCTTGAAAGAGGTTGCAGGAATGAATTTCGGGCCCGTTTTGGTAGCACTTCGGCGCTGGCTCTTGAACAGGTTCTTGAACAACTGTTCGGATCGCACCGAGATTTCCTCAGACTGCTGCATGTATGCTTCTCTTTGAAGATCACGTCCAACGCCAGAAAAGGCTTGGCCAAAGCCCGCAGCAAGGCCAGTGGACTGCGCAGGTGCGCTGCCGGCGGCGGCGGCAGCCTCACGTTCGCTCGTAAGGACAATCTCGTTGCTAGCAATTTCGTCATAAATACCGATAAGGTATTCGTCTGGAAGATCAGCATTGTCGTTGATGCCTCGGTTGTTCTTGATGAACTCCTCCTTTGTCATGCGCTTCGCGATCTTGCTGCTGTGTTGATCGGTGTTGAGGAGAATGACCGAGTATGCGAGCACATACGCCGTGTCGGCGTTGGCAAATGCATTCGGATTACCAAGAACGTAACGTTCCGCAAATTTCAGCATAAATCGATCAATCTTCTGTGCCTCGCCTGGCAGACGAAACGACTGCAGAAAAACACGGAGAGCATCGACAAAACGTCTCTTGGTGAACTCCATCGAGTCCACAAAGGCATGCATGGTATCAATATTCTTTTGATCTCCTTCGCCCAGGTATTCTCCAATCTGGGCCTTGTCGAGCTTGTCTTCCTTGAGCAGAAACTTGGCGATATCATCCGGGCTATCGGTCGCGATGAAGCCCTCGGCGATGAGGGCTTTGATACCATGCTTGGGCTTGAAGTTGAATTTCCGAATCGCGTTGGTCAATGCCGTTTTCCGCGCCTTATCCTTCTCCAGCTGTGCCGGATCGTCATCAAGTACAGGCGTTGACGGTGGCAAAGGGGTGTCAATCCGCGATGGTGTCTCGCTCATACTGGGATCGATGGACGCGCGCAACTCATCAGTAGAGATTTTCCTGTCTTTTTCCGCACGCGCAACACCGGCTTCAGGCCGCACCGACGCCGACCAATTGACGAGTGACTTTAAAGCCTCAACCAGGCCTTCTAGAGCAATACGCTTCAGCGCATATTCTTTCGGGTAGTCAGGTTCCGGCTCTGGCTGCGGGATAATGTGAGCTACAGTCAACGGAGGTGGCAGGATAGTTTTAAGTTGCCATTCGCCGGCCGCTTGCGTTTTGGCTCTTGTGTCCTCGTATACTTGTTCGTTTACCGCGGTCACAGCGACCGGAGCCGTGGAGAACTTGGACAGGTCTTCGATAATGGTTTGGTAAATATTGTCCACAGTCTGGTCGCAGTCGTAGTTGAGATAGATTTCAACCAGGGCCCTCGGATCGGCGCAAAGGCGGTTGAGAATTGTGATGAAGTACAGCTTTTGTGAGATCGGAGCATTCCTTTGGGATAAGAGAGCCAAGTAAATCTCATTGAGAATGACTTCAATTTCCTTCTTGAAAGGCGGTCGCATGAACTTGAGCATAAGCCAGAAAATCTCGCTGCAGACCTCAAAGACCTTGTCGATGGAACTTGCGCCGTTCCTCGTAATGCTGAGGCACAGATAGAACTTGATGGCCTGAAGGAAGCTTGTCGGTTCATTGCTCTTGGAATTCTTGATGGTACAAAGCGGTGACGTAAATACGGAGATGTGGTTATTCAGGACGGTGTGGATGAGATGGAGCGAAATGAGTTTTGATCGCATCGGCTGGCCGCGGATATCAAAAAGCTGATCTGGCGGAAGTACCTTGGTCGACAAATTGCAGAAAGATCGGAAGACAAGATACGCGTCGCGAATATAGACCTCATCTTCGGCTTCGAGTTGGTCTTCATCATCGGCAGTATTTGTGCCATGGCCTGAAGACTCGGATTCGCCGTTGGTCTTGGACGGCTTAATATGTGTGACCATAGTAGGCCCATCGCCAAGTGCAGAGTCATCAAAGCTCTTTCGATGCTCCAGATCTTTAAGGGTGAGCTTTGCGCCGGACTCCTGCTCGGCGGACTCGTCTCCAGGGGCGTGATGGCCATCGTCGTGGTCGTCAGCCCCGTTGGTTCCTTCTTGGTTGTCGAAAGTGACATTGCTAGAGCTGTGTTTGAGGATTCCCAAGTTCAATCGAGCCTCCTTCATATGCAGTCGTGTCTTTACGCGCTCGAAGACTGTGCCAACCATTTGGGTCAAGGTGCCTTGAGCGACTTGCTGATTTGGGGTGCTGCGTGAAAGGAGGAACACATTGTAAACCTGTCGCACAGCCTTGAGCAGTCCAGCCCCGTGTACGACAATCTTGTCATTGAGGACGGCGGCGAGGAGTGATTTGACAATCTGCAATTGAATCTCAACCTCGGTAGCCTCTCCTTGGAAGCAGTCGCATATTGTGTCGATGGCGCGCTCGATGAGCGGGGACTGTGGTTGGGCGTCACCTTCGGCGGGCTCTTGTTTCGTTTCGGCCGAGAAGTACGAGTAGGATATTAGCTTGCCGATGCAGTCGAGGGCGGTGGTGGTGAGCTTGGAGTTATTGGTTCGGGTGGCGAGTTGCAAGGGCGCAAAGACGATTTCTGGGTCGGGAAGCTGCTCTTGTTCCTTGATGACATCGAGAGCCTTTTTGGCAGACTCGCCTAGCTGCTTGATGCGTTGTGCATCCCTGGAGGCAGCGATGGTGTCCAAAGAGGACACGACAAACTTGATGGAGCTCATTGGGGAGCGTCAGGGGACTGAGCTGCCATTCGCCGGGCTGTCAAAGGAGCGCTTGTGCTGAGTGGCGGGCAAGACAGGATGTGACTGCGGGAATTCGCTGTCAGTCGCACCTTGCACAGCTGGCGAGGGCTGCGTGTAAAATACTTGTTGCGACTCAGGTTTGGGATGAAGTGCCAAGCGGCAGCGATTGGTAGGGGAGCATGTGGCAGTGACAGGAGAAACCCCGGCACATGCGGCTGCTCGTACGTACACGCGGCGTCAAGCTCGCGACAGGGGTACTAGTCAGGAGAGCTGTACAGTGTCAATAGAAAGTAATTTAAATAAGAATAGAAATAGGTCTAGTAGTAAAAATACTTCTATTAAGAAAGAGCTGGTCTGAAATTTTTATAGACTAGACTTTTGTTTGATCTCAATAGCAACAACCCCTCCTCTTCAGTTGTACACTGGCGCAAGCTGAACAACGACCACATATTTTTGGTGTGGCGCATGGTAGTGTGGCTCAGAAGGAATGATGACACGAAAGCTTCTCGTTTTGTGGCTAGTGCGTTGAGCAAGTTGAAGGTGACAAGCCCCTGGGCCGATAAGACCATCGTGGTGGATCCGTCAGGGATTAGGTAAGAATCTCTGGGTTAGGTGCAGCAATTTCCTGCGCCACGACGGCCAAAGTGGCCCACCCAGACCCTCCCGATATGCCTGTAGACGGGATTATGCACTGTCCGAAGTCGCTCTTTCTCGCCCAACAGGGATTTTCCAGCGTCTCTCCTGCAGGCAGAGTCCGCTGAGAGCCCGCTGAGGCAGCGCTGAGCGCCGGCAGCCGTCCGTCGCACTAGTCCTACAATAGTCTAGCTTCTAAGCTCCCGCTAGCGATACCAGCCAGCTCAACGCAAAAACTGGACTTTCAACCCCAAGCATTTTTGATTCTCTCTTTTCGAGCCTCCTTGCCAACAATTCCCGCGAGCGCGACGCCTGGTTTTTGCTCATCGCCCGTATTCCTGCATTGACTTGGCCGCCAATTGGCATCATTGCACGTCTCCCTGAGCACCTGTCGTCCTCGTCGCTCATCTTCTCGCTCTCCCCCTAGCGACATTTTCCGTCCTACTTCCTGCCAAGCTCTCTCGTTGCGAGCCATTTTCACACACACCCATCATGCTCAGCGCCGCTCTCCGGAGGCGAGTTCTCGCCCCTACGCACTCTGCCCTGCGCAATGGCTTCGCCGCCCACGTCGTTCGCTGCTATGCCTCGTTTCCCGACCACCAGGTCATCAAGATGCCTGCCCTGTCGCCGACCATGCAGGCCGGTAACCTGGGTGCCTGGCAGAAGAAGCCTGGTGACACTATAAGCCCCGGTGAGGTCCTCGTAGAGATCGAGACCGACAAGGCCCAGATGGACTTTGAGTTCCAGGAGGATGGTGTCATTGCAAAGATCCTCAAGGAGGCTGGCGAGAAGGATGTCGCCGTTGGCACCGTAAGCACCTCGCCCGATCCACCCGACCTCATATCCTTCTTTTGCTGTTCTTGCTGACAAACACACAGCCCATCGCTGTCCTTGTCGAAGAGGGCGCCGACATCTCCGCCTTCGAAAAGTTCACACTCGAGGATGCCGGTGGCAGCGGCCAGCCCGCCGCCCCTAAGACCGAGAGCAAGTCCGACGCTCCGGCCCCCACCGAGTCGAGCTCCCCGGCCCCCGAGCCCGAGCAGTATGCCTCTTCCGGTAAGAAGCTCGAGACTGCTCTCGACCGTACCGCCAACGCCAGCCCTGCTGCCGTCCGACTTGCCAGGGAGCAGGGGGTCAGCATCGACACTCTCAAGGGCACCGGCAAGAACGGCCAGATCACTGAGGAGGATGTCAAGAAGGCCGGGAGCGCTCCCGCTGCCGCCGCTCCTGGCGCCACATATGAGGATCTCCCCGTCAGCGGAATGCGCAAGGTCATTGCCAGCCGCCTTCAGGAGTCGGTCCAGAGCAACCCCCACTTCTTCGTTACCAGCTCCCTGTCCGTTTCCAAGCTGCTGAAGCTCCGCCAGGCTCTCAACAGCTCGTCCGAGGGCAAGTACAAGCTGTCTGTCAACGATTTCCTCATCAAGGCCATTGCGGTTGCTTCCAAGAAGGTTCCTGCTGTCAACTCGAGCTGGCGTGGCGAGACAATCCGCCAGTTCAACTCTGTTGACGTCTCCGTCGCTGTCTCTACCCCCACCGGGCTCATTACCCCCATCGTTACTGGCGTCGAGGGCCGCGGCCTCGAGTCCATCTCGAGCAAGGTCAAGGAGCTCGCTAAGAAGGCCCGCGACAACAAGCTCAAGCCCGAGGAGTACCAGGGTGGTACCATCTCCATCTCCAACATGGGCATGAACAACGCTGTTGATCACTTCACCGCCGTCATCAACCCCCCGCAGGCCGCTATCCTCGCCGTCGGCACCACAAAGAAGGTGGCCGTCCCCGTCCAGAACGAGGACGGTTCCGCTGGTGTTGAGTGGGAGGACCAGATTACCGTCACCGCCAGCTTCGACCACAAGGTTGTCGACGGCGCTGTTGGCGCGGAATGGATCCGCGAGTTCAAGAAGGTCATTGAGAACCCTCTTGCTCTGCTGCTTTAAGCTGCCACGTGTGGAGGGCATGAACGTTGACCTGAAGGCAGGCAATGGAGTGATACCATGGGAGGTAGCGTTATAGACAAAAGGAATTATGACCAGCAGTGGGCTGGCGCGACTACTACAAGACAAGTAGTTGGCTGGCGGTGTCTGTTGATGCCTCTCGGGGCTCATGGAACGATTACTGGGCTGAAGCCTGTGTACAATGATAACTTTGATTAATGCTGTATTCCGGATGAGGCAAAGGCACTTGGCTTGCGATGGCCTCGACTTGACTTGATTCCCCGCACGCGATGCAGAAATATTCCTTTTTCGTTAGATTTATAACAGTGTTTACTCATTGAATGCTTTAGCGAAATTGTGAAGGCCATGTACAACAAGCCCAAGTGATGAATGCACGGCGCGTGGTAGTTGGTCGGTTGAGTGAGCGGCTGCGATGTATCTCGTATACTCACATCAAGTCAGGCTAGATCCGGTGTTCTTCACTTTTACTTCCTCTCTCTCTCATTACTTCCTTCTTGCTCTTCTACACGAATCAATAATGTCTTTGCTCTTGTTCGGCCTTTGAATAGCCCAAGTCGGCATTCTCGACCGCTATGCCGCTTAAGGCAAGCCCGAGTCGGGGATTTCAACTATGCTGTCCAATCGGCTCTTAAGTCCGGTTCACAACTTGTACGGGCTTTTGCGCTTCTGTCTCCGAATAGTTGAGACTTACACATTACATCTACGGCTGTATGTGGACAAGGTCGGCAAATTGACAACGCTACTCCTCTTGGTAATTGCGACCATACACGTTCTAACCTACCGTCATTTCTGTTACCTAGGCGACAGCTAGTCGTTCTCTTGCCGTCGCCAAAGATCCTAGCCCTTGGCAGAAATGGCCGAGCAGGCTGGACAAGCCGAGCATCCGCCAGCGGCCACCACCGCCGCCAAGAAGCGGCGCCGCCCGCCACTGTCCTGCGAGCAGTGCCGCAGGCGCAAGATCAAGTGCGACCGCGAGTTTCCGTGCGGCCACTGCGTCAGGGCCGACGCTGGCGCCTGCACGTACGCGCCGACGCATACACCAAAGCCGAGACGGAGGGCCCCTCATGGTGCTGTCGCCGACGCCGACGCCGCTAGGTCCGGCGTGTCATCCCCGGGGGGCGGATCGGTTCCGCGCCGACCGGCTGGGGCCTCGACGGTGGTCAATCTCCGGCCAACAGCCCGGGCCACGCAGATTCAAACCCCGGACTCGGAGGAGTTCCACCGGGCGAGCGTCTGGCAACTGCTTCCGCCGTCGTCGGCAGCAGCTCAAAGACAAAGCGACGAGCCGGAAACGCACCGGTCGGGGAGAGCTGCGCATGGGGAGCCGGCTTCTTCCGGAGGGGCTGCTCACCGGTCCGGGGAGGTGTTTGGTGAGCGCCGTCGGAGCGAATCCACGCCACCACCAAAGGGAAGCATCTCAAAGGGCCGGTATTTTGGCCAAAGCCACTGGATGAATGTTTCAGCTTCGGTAACCTTCTCCCCAGAGCAGCTCTCACTCGCTCTTTCGATGTACTAACACCAGATGCCTTTTAGTTCCCGGTTGAGCTGTCTATGCTGAAAAACCAAGAGTACACCCAAGGTGAGCTTTTCCGGATCTTGTATCAGTGCAAAGTTCTCTGCCAAAAGATCAAGACGATCCGCTCCCAGCCGCTATCCTCGCTCGACATTGGCAAGAATACGCTGCCGCGAGCGGTCTGCGACGAGCTCGTCGAGGCCTACCTCCGCACCTTTGAAGGCGTGTACCGCATCCTTCATATCCCGACCTTCCGCAAGGAGTACGCAAGCTACTGGCAAGACCCCTCCGGCGTCGGTGAGGGCTTTGTCATGCTCATGCAGCTCTGCGCCGTGCTCGGCTCCTCCGTCCGGGCAGCACCGGTGGCATCGGCGGCTCGGCCCGCCGCCGCCGCCCTCAAGATAACCACCACACGCTGGATCTACGAGGCGCACATGTGGCTGATCCTGCCGCCCGAGAAGGGCCGGATGACGCTGACGGGCGTGCAGGTGCAGTGCCTGCTGACGCTCGCCAAGATGACGTGCGGCGTGTCGGCGGACCTGACCTGGGTCATGGCCGGCTCGCTGCTGCGCACGGCCATGTACATGGGCCTGCACCGCGACCCGAGCCGGCTGAGCAGCGGCGCGAGCGTGTACCGCGCCGAGATGCGCCGCCGGCTGTGGGCCACCGTCCTCGAGCTCAACCTTCTGTACGCCTTCGAGGCCGGTGGCATGCCGCTGGTGTCGGAGGATGACTACGACGCGCTCCCGCCGGCGGACCTGGACGACGAGGCGCTCGACGACGACACCACGGACGATTCGAGGCGGGCGGGCCAGGCGAGCAGCGGCAAGGGCGCGACGCAGATGTCGGTGCCGCTCGCGGTGTTTAAGTCGTTGCCGCTGCGCATGGAGCTGCTCAGGTACATCAACGACTTTCGCGCCGGCGTCGACTACGACAAGACGCTGCGGCTCAACTCGGACCTCACCAAGGCCTGCCGCCTCTTCACGCAGACCATCGGCGCGGTGACCAAGCATCAGGATGATAACGACTCCTCCTCCGCCCGCATCGCGCCCTTCCACGTCTCCCTCGCCGAGATGATGCTCTATCGGTGCCTCCACGCGCTTCACTTCCCCGTGCTCTTCACCGCCTTCGACGACCCGCGCTTCTACTTTTCGCGCAAAATGTGCCTCGACGGGGCCCTCAAGATCGCCGACCTGCTCGGCTTCACCCGGCCGCGCGCCCCGTCCCCCACCTCCGACTTTGGGCGGCTCGTCATCCACGGCACCGGCATGTTCAAGAACATCCCCGTGCAGGTGTCATGCATCATCGCGCTAGAGCTCATCCATGACACGGCCGGCGGCGGTCCGGGGCTCGGCCCATCTCTGGCCCCCGCGGCGGAGGGCCACGCCACGCTACTGCGCACCTGCTTGGACAGCGCGCTCGGGTGGATGCTAGACCGCATGCGCGCGGGCGAGGTCACGGCCAAGGGCCACTGCTTCGTGTCGGCGTGCGTGGCGCACACGGAGGCGCTGGAGAGAGGGCTTGACAAGGCGGCGACGATGGCGCTGCTGGTGTCGCGCGCGACCGAGGCGGCGCGCCTGGATCTGGGGTTGATCCGGGCCGTGGCGCGGGAGAGCGGCGTGCCCGTGGCCGAGGAGGAGGACGGTGAGGAGGAGGAGGGCGGTGGTCAGGTGGATGCCGCTGAGAGCTCCGCGGTTGATGTCGGCACAATCGAAGCGTTGGCTGCAAGCTGGGACGGAGGGGGGGGTGGTGGTGGCATAAGCTGGGCGTGGGACGAGGCGGACGACTGGATGTGGGGAGGCGCCTGGTCATCGCAGCTCAACGTGCCGATGCCTCTGGACAGCATGCGTCAGTTCTTTGAGGCGCCGGTCGGCTATCCGCGGTAATGAAGCCGACCATGTGTGTGTGTGCATCCAAGCAACATGTGGTGGTGGCGAGGTTTTGTGTGGCATGTTGGACGAGGCTGCTGCCATCTTGCCCTGCGTCGAACAAACAGCAAACTCGATGCCGATCGATCCGGATGGATTTCCATTGTCGCCAATTTCAGCCGGGGATGCTACATAATAAACAATAAGCAATCCCCTGCACATGCAGGCTACGGCTTCGTCTGTGGAGTGTCCCGGACTCGTATAATTGTCAAGAGGAAAAATCTCCTCCATTCGAGGCACATATACCGCAAACCCCCGCTCCCCTGTTGATGCATTGTGCAAAACCTTGTCATAATCATCCAACTACCTACTTCTTACTGCAAAATGCCTGCCTCCTCGTTCAAAGTTGTCTTCCTTGCCATCGCCACCGCGATGCAGGCTTATGCCGTCTCCTCGCCAGTAGCGGACTGCACCACGACGCTCAACATCACGCAGACCAGGTTTGCGACGCCGCCGTACTGGCCTCAGTGCGAGTTTGACAGCACGATGCGCGAGTACCCGTCGACCACGACGACCACGACGTCGCTCGACTGCCACGGGTGCCGCCACATTCGTGTCCAGGAGGTGCCGTTCGTGTACTGCCCATACTGGCACTACACGGCGTCGACCAGCGAGACGACGCCATACACTGTGCATGAGACTGTGTGTATGTCGACGCCCGCGCCGTGAACCAAGTTTGCGGAGGGGAAAGGGCTGGTTGCAAATAGGTAGCGATGATCCGAAACGAGAGGCGGGCCGGCGCGGCAGAGCGTGGTCGCCGTTATCGTTTGGAATGATGAGAAGTGGAGCGATACCATCGAACGGTCTCCAGAATGTGTACATACACCAAATAATTAGGGCAGAACAGAGTAATCAACAAGTTAACACGTCAATACGACGCTGCATCAGACTACTAGTAGAGACCCCTCTTGCTGGCTCGGAGTTGGTGTGGATGCTACGGTCCAGTCCACCAGTCCATGTTAGCATTTCAAGTTTGCATTAAGACGATAGTCAAGACACGTCTCGGAAATCACGGCTTACAGACGGCCGATCTCTTGGCAGCCCGGCAAGCGATGGGTTATTCGTAAAGAGCAATCAGGAGGTGAACCCCGGACGAATCGGAAGTGCCCGAAAACTGGATTTCTGGCTTACTTTTTTTTCTGCATGCATGCTGCAGGTCTGGTTGATATAATCCGCATCTGGGTCTTTTAATATTGCGCCCTCACGCCACCCTAGCCTCGTAGTTGTCCAGTCCATGCAGCATCCTACCGTCCCAACCGCGATGGCAACACGTCAAGACCAACCTGCGATGAAGCAGAAGAAAATTCTGCCTTCTTTCCTGCATATATCGATTTTTAGAAAAGTTTTCCTGGTTTTGCTATGCCGCGTGAAGCCGTCGTGTCGGGAGCCTCTTCGCCTCCTCCAAATTGTATAAGTACAGCATGAGCGAACTCTTTTTTGCCGTTTGCCAGTAAGCGATCATCTACAACTTCATCTCACGGTTTCTTCTCTTTCTCCAGACGTTCCATATCAGGCAGCCTTATTTTCTCTCGTGAGTAAGCCCTCATGCACACCTTTTCCGAGTACCGCAGATCATTGACTCAAATTCCAAGACACTGGCCATCAGACCTTTGCATAACTAGCTCAAAAGTCGGAAGCTACATTTTCTCACTCCTACATATCGCCTCATTCGCGCTTCTCTCATCACCATCTTCAACACTCAAGATGACGCTGATTTCCCAAGCTCTCCTCGCCCTCGCTGTTGCCGGCACCGCGCTGGCCACGCCCATGGTCGCCGAGAGGAACGAGATGAGGCCAGACTGCACCCACACGGTCAACACCTGGCAAGCGTACACCTATGGACCGACCTCAACTGTTTGGACCGAGACTGCGACGGCCACCCAGACGGTCGACTGCCAGGGCTGCGAGTCGGCGCAGTACAGCGAGCTTTACTTTGGTCCAGGACCCGTTGTCATGTTCACAGCCACCGTAACGGCCGAGACGGCCTCGACAACCACAGTGCTGGCCTGCAGCAAGACGGCCGCTTAAGCTGCCCAAGTGAAGTCCCTGTGAATACTTTAATTGGAAATTTTGGGGTTTTAAGACGTGAGGGAATGGACGGAGGCACAGTCCAGAAAAGTTTACAAAATGAACATCTACCTTTCGCAAATCTGCCACCGAACCTACCTTACAACAGTGTTGATAATAGTACATTGAATAATGATCGCGATGACAGTGATGATACTAGCCTGCAAGTGTCTTCTCGTAAACTCGAAATCCCGTGATGGAAGCGGACGGATGTCGAGAGAAGTTGGTATAGGGTAGCGACTGCGAACTCGGGAATTTTCTTGCCTAGAGAGCCTGCCTGTGTAATCCGCTTAATCCTAGACGAGCATATCGTCCACGCCTTCCCTACCCCCAGAATTTTCACCACTTTCGCAACATAACCACGGCAATAGCATCAACAAGCCAGACCGGGTACCTATGGCCAGGACCAAACATACACCCGACAGCGGTTCACCTGGGCCATGGATAATATCAAAAGTCAGGACAGCTGCAGCAACAACGACATCGATCGGCGCCGAGAGGAGCTCGTCAAATTCGCTACAAACTGCTTAGACGCAGCTAGGCCCTGCATCCCGGAACTCGAGGCGCTTCTCGATGCCTTCACAGGCGCCCAAGTCACGTATATCCGGGAAACTGGCCTCATTACCTGGCTACGGGATCTTCGGCATAATGTGCAGGCCGTAGAGGCCACAATCCAGAAGCTAAAGCAACCCCCACAACATAGGCTACATAATGAGCCGGGTGGCAATGGTCGAAGCGAAAAAGTTGCCAGCAATAATTCCGCAGATACGGATGGGGGCGAGGTCGTCACCAAGGCCGACTTGGACGCCATCTGGAAGCGGCTTGAGCCGCGAACCACGGACCTCTCCCACACCACCAGCCGCTGGCAGGTGCTACGGCGGTGCGCCAGCCTCGTCACTGTGAAGCGTACGTTCCAAGGAGTGCCACGGGAGGTCCGACGCGCGGCCGTCCTCAAGCGCGGCCCGCAGACGGGTCATGAGAAGATGATGCTTGACCGACTTATCAAGGAGCAGGCCAAGGCCGAGGTGACCATCGTCGACCGCGGCGCGTGCTGGATCGACGTCCGCTGGATCAGCACCAACCGTCTCGCGCGACAGATGACCGACTCGGGCTGGTCCTGGGGCGAGTACCAATCTGGCGATATCGTTGACCGCGACGAGTGGGAGGATGCGCCGTTTGTCAAGCAGGTGCGCCGCGTTGTTGCCGCCGCGCGCTGTAACCGTCATGAGTATCGCTTCCCCACCATCCGCCTGGTGCTGCCCAACCTAACCCGCGGCAAAAACGCGGACATTGACGTACTCCTCGAGCAGCTCCCGCGGATCGACCCGAGTGTCAACCTCGTCGTCGAGGATGCTGCGAGCAACTTCTTGTCGCAGCCTGCGCCGCCCCTCGCCGATACCATCCGGGCGCTTGTCGGATCAGGCAGCCTGCAAGTACCACTCACCGACACCATCAACCTCGAGCACACGGTCCTCGTCGACCTCATCTCGGACCTCACCCACCTGCGCCTGGAGCCGCAGCCGTGGCAGTCGCGATCCACCCGCGCGCAGATCGAGGAGGAAAATGCGCACGCTGATGGCGTCATGGCCCCCGTGCTCTACCCGCTCCTACAGGGACGCCGGCTCGTCTGCACACACGAGGCCGCCAACCACTTCCACGCTATGCTCACCACGGTCGGGACGGCGACGGAGCGCGAGCGCGGCCGTCTGCTCGTGCCGGACTACGGTGACGGTGCAGCAGGCAGCTCGTCCTCGCCGGCCACCGCCGTCCTTCGCGCGCGCTTCGACGCTCTCTCGGTGCGGCCTTTGCCCGCAGACATACAGTTCCCCGTTGAGGTGCTCGCGGCTGACGAGCCGTGGAATGAAGACCAGGTGCGGCGCCTGGTCGAGCAGGACGGCGTGTTACCGCCGGTCGCTCTCGAGATTACGCGGTGCGGCGTCCTCCGCAGCTCCCGGTTTAGCACGTACATGCACGGCTGGCGGGCTGACATCGTAACCGTAACGTCGAACAAGGAGATTCGCCCGCACATGCGCAGCTGGGTCGAGGCCGCCCGCACCCACGATGATGAGCGCGGGCCGCAGCTCTACTGCGTTGATGTCACCCGCAACCTGCTCGCCAAGGGTGCCCAGCCGCCGCCGGGCTGGAATGAGAAGGTGTCGAACAAGGAGGGGGGAGAAGAAGCTTGCGCGAATCTTTTGTCTTGTGAGGTTGGCGTCTCCAGCAACTGCAGTCGCAACATGCCTTCTTACATCGAAACTTGACTAGAGTAGCATCGGCCTTACTATCATAATCATTATCACCTTTATTACCACTATCAATCATCATGGCCATCAGAGTCATCACCATTATTGCCGCCTCTTATTATCACTATTAAAAGCACCATTGAATGACGCGTGATATCATCTCTATTTGGGTACCTTCAGAGGCGTGTTGGCAAAATGGTCAGGGTAGGCGTTTAGGCAGTGCATTCAGGGTCTAAATCCTGTGCCTGATCTCGCACCCCTTGTCAAGCAGAGGTGATGAAACGCCGCATTGAGCATAATCCAGCAAAAGACCAGATGGAGGGGTCATTCGTAGGCGACCTCGAACGAGGAGGGATTCTCCGCTTAGGCCGAGCCGTGGCTTCATGCCGGCCACACCCTGTCTCAAGTCCGAGTGGTTTACGGACGGGCGCCGCATGAGGGGTTGGTCGGGAGCGGCATAAAACGACTCTATGCGATTACAAAACGGCAGATTCGAATCCAGGCGAAACAGAGAAAGACGATGGTGTGCATTGATTCGTCCCACGCTGCGATGACCTCCAACTACACGGTCTTGACCGCCTTGTGGGAGAAGCCGCACAGTTGTAAAGATGACATGTATGCTCGCACAACGTTAGAGCCTCGCTTGTGTTGTAACTTTATTTCATTTTCTTTCAGCATTTTTTTTCGATACCTTTTTCTTTTGTTTCAAAACTATTTTCAACCTGAAACAAAACTCGCACGTGGGCATGGAAAAAAGGCTGCCCAACATGCAGCCATCATCATCAGGACATGCACTTGGAGGGAAAAATGCCGAAAGATCGCAGCATTGATTCATGTGACTGGTTTGCTTCCTCCGTCCCATCAGACCGACTATTGGACGGCGACGGGCTGCCGCACCCGTCAGCAGCTGCAGGCGGGATGCCTTGGGCCGCCAGACAAACTGGAACACCCTGGATAAGAAAATAGGGTTTCCTTGGGCATCGGCTGTACCTGAACTACTGTAGCTGAGCAGCCCTGGCTAGGGCATCTGAAGATGGTGTTGTACCTTTTTTTCTTCTTCCTTATTCTGATAGTAATCCTTGGCGCCGGACAGAGTTGGACCGGATCTGCGTTCCTTTTTTCCCCTCTCTAATTCCCTCACCCGTCGAAACCCAGCGACGCGCTCTAGTCAGTTGTCTTCGTGCATTTGTGTTAGATCCGGGCTCATGTCGCAAGTTTTTCTTGAGCGGCACCGGACCACTTCCCCTCACTCCCTTGACAACACATGAGCCAAATCCCTCTTCCACTCCGTTGAACTTGACTGGCCGACTTTGTATTTTCAGATGAGTCAAGTTTGGCTGATCGTTGTGCAGGGCAGCGGTGCGCTTTCCTTGGGCGAAAAAGAAAGAGACTTGAAAAGCGTGACACTTCAAATTGCACCCAACTACGAAACTAGGCACGTCTCATGTGCTCTGTAGACCAAGGACATCTCCGCTAGTTGAGCTGATTCAATTCCTTTGTTGGCCCCTTATTTGTTGTTGCTGGCGCTTGGTTCAATGGCATGGCTCACCACGGCTTGTCATGGCAACGCATTCCAGTCAAGGCACAGTGGCACAACACCAAAACATGCGACTCTACAGCACACGGGACGGATTCCAACAGTCACAGGTTGCAGTACATTGCGTCATGTAAAAAATTGTTTGTCAAAAGTAAAAAAGAAAAAAAACTATGTATCCAAGAACTAGGTGTGCCATCTATAACGATGGCGAAATAGGTCTCCAAGTGAAAGATCCTAGCCGCCTTTGCACACCCATCACGAACCGTAAAAGAATGAAGTCCCTTAAAAATATTCCCCAAAAAGCCTGCGGAAAAAACGTTTCCAACGCACCGAACGCCACTAGGACGTCTTTGCCGAGAATAGCCACCATCTTCATGACAAAAATACAGAAGCAACGGGCTATTACGGGTCAAGATCCAGCCTCGAGGTATCTGAAAACAGAACAAAACTGCCAGCCATCTAACACTGTTGTTTGAGGAGAGAGCATTTAGGCGCCATTGACCTTGACAGTGAGGGCCAGGGGACCTTTCTTGACGTTGCCGCCAATACCATCCTCAGCCTCCATGCCGGCCAGGTAAGCGTTGGTGCCAGAGCCACCTTGGTTGATGGTAGAGCAGGTGCCGGCGCCGCAAACTTGCAGGGGGGGAATGTCCATGTTGAACCGGGCGGGGACCAGGCAGGAGGCGTCGAAGCCGGACCACCCCTGGTTGGACTCATTCTCAAAGTCAGCTTCGAGCCAGGTACCGGCAAACTGACCAAATGAAGTCGTGGGAACACCGCCATGGCCGCAGGAGCAGCCAATCTGAGAGTTCTTGTCGACGGCAACATAGGCGGAACCACCCTTGGGGAGCTTAAACTCCATGGCCTGGTTGCCCTTGAAGAAACCGTTAACACCGCCGTCAGGTCCAATCTTGTTCCAGCATACACAATCCTGGTCGTTGCCGCCAGCGTTGTTAAAGGTAACGGTGTAGTCGTAGAGGGAGACGGCGCTGGCGGGAATCTCCATGATGTTGCAGCCGGGGGTGGCTCCGGTGCCAGTGTTGCCGGCATAGAAAATCTGGGCCTCAGTGGCGCGCTTCCCGACGCCGCCGCAGAAGGGCTTGTAGCCAGAGCCGGAGCCGGCGGTGGACGAAGGGCTGGGCGCGGCGCTGGCGACAGAGGGGGCGGCCGGGGCGACGACAGTGGTGGTGGCGGGAGGAGGGGCAGGAGCCTCAGTGGTGGCAGGAGGAGGAGCGGGAGCAACAGGCTTCAGGTTCTTGACGAAGCGGCCGCCGACGGAACGGTGAGCGTTGCGGTGACCGTGGCTGGGGTGAGCAGAGGCGCCAATGGCGGCAGCCAGAATAACGGCGGCGGAGAACTTCATCGTGTTGAATTCGTCGGGAGATGGCGAAGACTTGTTGGTGTGGGTTAAAACGTTGGGAGTTTTTGAAGGGTTGTTTGTTTGTTTGGCGCTTGGGGCTGACGGTATTCGCAGAATACTCGATAGGGCGACCAAAGCAGAAGCGGCGAAGAGTTGAAGGAGTGTGATGCGTGAGCGACAAGCGCGTCAACGAGCAGTTATAGAGAGCGTGAAGGTTGTTGTGTTAAGGAATGAATTTGGCGTTGGCCTGTGATGTCGTGAAGAAAGGAAGTGAGGAGGGAAGAAAAAGGAGCGTGGAGGGAGATTGGGGCGTTAGGGGGGGCGTCGCAATGAAACTTTTGGCAGCAGCGCACAGCACTAACTTACTGGGCCGTTGGTACCTGAGGCAAGGTGAGTACCTGTGGACTGGACCTACAGTATGCGCTGGCGGTGACAGGTGAGCTGGTACAACAGTCCAACTACCTGACGGCACACAACGCCTGCAAGTTGAGCCAGAGGCAAGGTACTGTCACCTGAGATAATGAGGTATTGCAGGTTTCCGGCAGGTCATTTTAGCTGAAATATCATGCAATTGTCCGCCCTTGATACTTGCGAGTACTTGGAGGTACTGCCCAGACAAACGACAAGGTACCTGCCTCATAGGCAGTTACCTGCGGTTGAACATCCAGGGGAACAAACAAGCCCGACAAGCTAAAGTGCAGTGGCCAGGCCCTCCAGGCACAAATGCGCCGCGATTGGCTGCATGATGGTGGAGGGGCGGGCAATAACGCGCCATGGTGGAGCCGGGGGAAGCCCATCCCCACCAGAGACAGTCACCAACTTGGGTCTACTTAAACCAAGCAACTCCAGGCAGGTACCAACTGTTACAGGGGCAGTTATAATGTGCTGAGCGCCATTACTCAAAGAAATTCACCAAGCGACCATGCCGTAATCGTTCGATCCGATACCTTCTCATGCGCATTGGACGATGAGGGCCAGCCACACACCTCACTTGCTCTTGTGGCGGGTTGGTGTGGTCCGTCCAGTAGTGGTCCCAGCGGTGACCCAGCGTCGGTCCACAGCGACCAAGGTACCTCTTGCATGCCTTCTGCCAGCACACCGCTGCAATACGACGGGGCACAACACCACGGCGACAGCAAGACGATGTGCTGTACTTGCGCTGTGCTTTGGCTGCCTCCTCACTCTTTGTACCACTGAAGGTAAAGGTATTCTTGGCTGACAGGAGGAGATACCCGATGCCCAGGCACCATCAGTTTTGGACGGCGTCTAGAACGTCTGGAACGTCCATCACTGGAGAACGGAGGAGGCATTTTTCTGCACAATTCTTTTCTGCATAATTTTTTCTGTCACAATTTTCAAAACGGGCAGTCCTGATTCGTCGAGTTGTGGCCTTCATACAGACCTCGGTTCTGAACGGTCACACCCAATCTGCAGTATCCTGATTGAGATAGGCCCCAGGTAAAACGCAGCCGTGTTGCCAGCAAGTTGAGTGAGGCCAGTGTACACGCGCCCAGAGGAAGTAAAAAACCGCAACCAGCCCTCGTCGAAACCGGCCCGGCGCAGGTCAATGCATCATGCTACCGTCCCGAAATCTCTCTACGCCAACGGAAACAATACAACCGTTGGCGAAACTAGAGGGAAACGCCCCGCAACCAAGTTCCTCCCAACCTTTTTCGTTTCCATCTCAATTAATCGTGCCAGAACCACAGCGGCATGAGCGGGTTCCGTCTTGTTGTCCTGGGGTTTTCAAGACAGGGAGCTGCTTACGCGTGCCTGGCACGTGATGCACCGACCGTTCTAGACCACGTCTATCACGGCGCTCTGCATCCACTGAAGATCCACCTCCCTTACCACATCATCTCCGTTTTGCTCCTCCTTGTCCTGACGGACAAAAGAACATCGTCAACAGAGCCAAGAGAAAAAAAAATCTGCCAACGCAGGTTCATGCAGGCACTTTTCAGATTCTGTCGGTACTGCACTTACCGATAGCCCCTCCGTCACATGCCGTCGCAACGTACAAGACGGACCGGCCCACCAGCACAAGACGTCTGAAGTGAGGCAACTCCAGTCAATCGGTACTTGTGCGTGATTTTTCTCGTCTGTATCGGCATCAATCCATTTGTAATTGACACTTCGATCATTCGAGAAGCGATATCTCCGCTTGGTATTTTTGCTAAATTCCTGCGCGTTTTATGCGAGTCGAGTCTCGTGTGGTGGTACCACCTTCTCGCAGGACATCAGCAAGACCAATATACAGGACAAAGCTGATTTTTGCAGCTCACAGCAACACCTTTACGTGAATACCGGTTACACCCTCGACGCCTGCTAAATTGTTGCATCCACCGTTCTCCTTTGTGTCTTGACTCGCTGCCCTCCCTCGGATGCCCGTGATGCTCATCCGCTAGCAGCTAACTAGTTTGGCCAACTACTTCGTAACAAAGAAACAACTGCGAAGACAATGTGCCCCATCCATACCAGTACACTTGGCTTTGCTACTCCATTGTATGCGAATTCGAGAAACGGCAAATAGAGTTTATTGACCCCGGTTTTTAATGTCCTTTGTTCGTTCTATCCCGTCGCTTAATACCATCCCTTGCTGAGAACGGACTGCCACTCTTGTCGAATCAGAAGACACTGGACTTGTCCTTTGCAAACGTATCAGTAGTCATAGTCGGTATTCTTCTCCTAGCTAATATCGAACATGCAGAATCCCGGCCGCATTATTGACTGAGACATGCACATCAACCCATTCCCGCTCCGTGTCTCCAACTATCCAAGATGGCAGGGTCAAGCCAATAAATTTGGTAATCTCCAATGCTCGCCGCCCTCGTGTTCTATATTCTGTAGCTTGTATGTATAACAGCCGCCGATCGCCCTTGTTCAGCGGCTGTCCCGCTGCCCCCCTGTCAATAGGAAGAGATGACAGGTGGAGGCCAGTGTGTCCTTGGCACGGAGAGTAGAGCTTGCCACCGTACGCTGCCACCAGTCCAACGTAGTTTATCTTGCGTATCCAAACTCGGGTTTGATAGGGAGTATCGTTTTTCTATTTCCGTCATAATACTGCGAATATTCAGTACGTTTCTTGCAATGGTAAGGCAAGCCTCGTTCTCTCCGTCCGTCGAAGCAAGGGAGCCAGTCCACATCACTGCCAGCCACAGAACGGCATGACCATCACGGAAAATAGAAACTTGAACGCGATAGCCAATGAATGGTCATACGAAGTACACGTAATGCATCCGCCGATGGCTGTGCAACAAACGTTACCCACCGGTCGTTTCCCCCGGTCCCCCGTCCCCGGCCTACCGGCAGCGTTTCAGGATACGGGCCGCCCACCAGCCGCCAGGATTCCCTCCCTGGCAGTCGGCGCTTGCACGGTTCAAAGGGACGCGTAATCCGGCACGATTTGTGACTGGTAGCACGAGACTCCTTTTCCAGTTGGCTGGCATTCTCGCCATCATGGATCACTACTCTGTAGAGTGGGCATCCGATGTTGAATGGCATCTATTATTAGTGCTACGATACGCTCATCAAAGCGGATTAACCAAACGTATAGAGGAATTAGCGAGCATGGTCGATAGCCTAAATTGTTTCTGTCCTCAGCCACACACTCACCGGAGCATTCCCAGCATTGCCGAGTAATTACTTCGTATGCCAGCCGAAGTAATCTGTATCCGCACGTCTGTTGTGTGACAAATGAAGAGGTACCATAACCAGTTGGCGGGTGCTCAGTCGCGCTGCCAAAATTATCCTCATTAGTTGCACATTGCAGGTGCTTGAGTGGAATTAAGCGGACTAAGTTGTTCCTCTAACAAATCGACAGTGATTTCCCCCTTTCGAAGGTTGGAACTGCCGCAATCAGCTTTTCCGACGTCGCGTATCCTCTGCAGAACATTATCAACATAGAATCCAAGCCCCCTTTCTTTGACAAGCTTGCTGCAACAGACATATTCAAAAGGCTCTCAACCTGGGCAGCACTGTTCACACGGAAACGAAATAATCTTTGCTGACTTTGCACTGTGGCCGACAGCCTTCATTCTTCACAACAGCGGAAGATGACTCCACTGGGACAAGCTCGGGCGAAGCTCTCGTCATAATCGGCTCGACTTTTCTGCGCTCTGCGATCGGACCACGAAGGTCTCTGGACAGGAAAAGCGGGAAGGCAGATTCACCTTGACCATGGACAACGGTTCTTGTGTTGTGGCAAGATTGCCGACTTGCATTGCTAGCCCGCCACGGTTGCCGATCAAGTCAGAGGTCGTGATGAAGATATATTGTAACTTTCCACCGAATGGTCGAAACTAGGCCTGCAAGGTTCTTTCCCGCTTTCCCCGAAGGAGGAGGAGCTGGAAAAAGATGCCAATCGTCCAGTCTATGGCGAATGAATTCAGATATCCAGAGTGTCTGAGTCTCGCGCATGGACATGGCAGGCGGCAAAGGCGGACAAGCTGTGCCAAATTTTATGCCAGGTATTAAGGCAAGGTCGAACGAGGGCGTCTCTAACAAGGGACGCTCTGTGCTTTTTGTTCTCTCCTTGATCTTTGACTGACCACGAAAGCCTCCAACTATCCAAACCCCCTCTCTCCAATCCTCACAGCTGCCAAAAGAAAGGGGCATGCACATTGACATTAACTAAGTCATGATCTTCGTAAAAATGATATGAGAGGAGTCTCTAATACACAGATGATTCCATATTGCATCCCAGCACGTTCATACCCGTAGCAAACTCAAAAGAACCCCCCATTAAAAGTAGCTCCTCATCGCGTCCTCGTAGCCCGTGCCGCCCTTCAGGTCCCTGCTAAACTTGGCGTGCACCTCGAGGACCTGGAGCAGGTGCTTCATGCCGAGCGTCTCCTCCTTGCTCATAGCAAGGTCCTGCGCCGACGACACCACGTTCTTGATCTCCCTGCCGTTTAGGTCCTGCCTGACCAACCTCGCGAGATCGTCGTCGTCCAGCGCGTCCACCTCGATCGTCCCCAGCGCGCGGACCCTGCCGAGGAACATGGCCATGATCTTGCGCCGCGCCTTGGCGTCCAGCTTGTCGTAGCGGAGCGCGATGTGGATGCGCGACTGGAAGGCCTCGTCGAACGTCTCGACGCGGTTCGTGGTTAGGAACAGGATGCCCTGGAAGTACTCGAGCTGGCGGAGGAAGACGCTGACGAGGGCGTTGCGGTGTACGTCGGAGACGTTGCGGCGCTCGAGGAAGACGTCGGCCTCGTCGAGCAGCAGCACGGCGCCCCAGGCGTGGCACACGTCCAGCAGGCGCTGCAGCTCGGCCTCGAGGTACCGCGAGTCGGTGCCGAGCTCGCCCGCCGACGCCACGTACAGCGGGCACCGCAGCAGCTCGCTGATGCCTTCGGCCGTCAGCGTCTTGCCGGTGCCGGGCGCCCCGTGCAGCACCGTCACCAGCCCTTTGCCCTTGCCCTGGATCACGTCGTCGACGGTCCGCGAGGCGTGGTTGCGGCGGGACGTCACCAGCGCCTTGATCAGGTCCTTGGTGGTCGGCTCCAGCACCAGCGAGTCCCACGCTTGGTCGTTCCACTTGACCTCGCTGATGTTGGCCACGGAGAACTCGAGCCACTGCTTCTCGGCGAACGCGAAGCCTAGGACGACCGGCGACGCCAGGATGTAGTCTTCATCCGTCAGCGCACGCGGCAGCGCGTCGTCGCCGCTGCCTGCACCGTCTTTGTTTGCGGTTCCGGCCGCCTTGTCGCCCTTTCCGTCTGCGTCGACGACCGAGGACGAGGGAGTCGTCTTACCACACGAGTCGGAAGATTCGCCTTTGGCGTTGGACGAGCCCGCCGTCGGCTCGCCAGCTCCTTCGCCGCCGCCATCCTTGTAAACGGTCGTGAGGACCTCCAGCTGTCCGTTGTCGCTGTCATACACATCAGAGCCACAAGAGTTACAGTCGGAGTCGTCCTCATCGTCCGACATGCTCCCCGGTGGCAGGGAGCCATGTGCTGCGTGCCCAAGCGGCGACAGCATGTAGTTTGGGTTGATGCGGCGGAAAGTTTTGGTGTCGACCATTACGCGGCTCTGCTGCACATTGAACTTTATGACGCCGTGTTTCTTGCTCTTGAGGTACGCCATGCCCGAATAGCTCTTGTAGTGGACGCCGCGCAGCTCGACAAACTTCTTGCCGCGCTCGATGAGCCGCTTGCGAAGGCCCGCCTCGTCGCGGTGGAAGTGGAGGGGGTAGCACGGCAGGCTGGTGATTTTTCGCGCGCCGCGAAATGACCCAATCTCCGATGCCATGCTACCGTAGCCAAAGTTTTTGCCGTCGTACTCGAAGTACTTGCCGTCAATGTGGAAATACTCGCCCTTTTGCATGTTGACGTGGCGCTCGACGCTCTCGACGCGGAACACGCGCGGCTCGTCGTCGTTGCCAAAGGTTGTCGTATACACCAGCGATTTCGGTTTCCAGAGCGCCCAAAGAAGCTCAAACGTGATGAGGCCGTTGCGGAGAAGCGAGTCAACTTGGCGTTTGATCTCTGCGTAATCCTTTCGTAAGTACTTGAGCAGCAACTTGAGGTGCGCAATCTTGAGGCCAATCTTCTTGGCATTGTTTGCCTTTTCCTTCTTCGAGTCACCAGTAGGCTTAACAGTTTTCAGGTGCTTGTAGTGCGCCAGCAAATCATCCATGTAGAGAAACAGGAAATCCGGATCAAGCTTGGGAGTCTCTTCCACAAAAGTCACCCCCTTGACCTCTCCAATGGTGTCCTTGAGACACTCTCTCAAAAGCTTGCTTCTGATGTCCACAAAAGTCTGGCGATACCTGCCCTGCGTGTCGAAAGTTCTGCGGACCAGAAAGATGTTGTCGTCATCCTCGTCGTCTTGGGACTGCGTGTCTGTGGTGTCGCGGATCTTGAAGCAGAGTGCAGAAGAGTCCCATACAAAGTCGACTCGGCGAAAGGATGGCTTGCCGTCCTTCTTGGCACGAGATTTGTCCTTCTTCTTCTCTTCTTCAATCTCTACCGGAATTCCGCGCTGGAACGTACGCCGTACGCGAGGGGGAGCGGGCCTCTCGTGCTGCGGTGGCGGAGGCGGAGGCGGGTTCGTGGGCGGCACAGCAGCAAGGCCCGGTACCTGCACTGCGGGACGAAAGGGGTTGGGGGGATGCTGGTCGAAAGGGTGAAACGGATATAGCATGTTCGGGTAAAAGGGGCTGACCATGGCCGGCTGCAGTGCAACTTGCTGCTGTAGTTGCTGAATTTGCCGGCGAAGGTTCTGCACCTCCTTGTCCGTGTCGCTTCCGCTATGATCATTCTCGCGGACCACGCGGGCCTCGGTCTCCCGATCTGAGTCTGATGAGGAATCGGAACTTAGCGCTGAGTCGCTGTCATTTCTCGAACGTCGCTTGTGGCGCTTGGACGTGGCTCTGGATGATTTGGACAGCTTTCCCGAGCTGACACGGCGGATGCGACGGCGACGGGTATTCTTCTTGGACCGCTTTCCCGCGGATGAAGAATCAGACGAATCTGAATCATAGCTGCTCACATCATCGCTGTCATCGCTGGAACCGGACTCTTGATGGGCAGTCCGTCTACGGGACTTTGCGTCTTTCCGACGACCCTTGCCTTCTTGGTGCTTTTCCCGGCGCCGATCGGAGCTTTTGGTTTTTTTCTCGGCTGTTTTGTCGGGGGTGGTCTCGTTTACCGGGTTGACAGGCTCGGTTTCTTGGGGCGGTGATGCGTTTGGCTGAGCCGGGAGGGGGGTTGTTTCGGCGGGCTTGTTATCCTCAATGGATCGTGCCGAGTTGCCCTGTTGCTCCATCTTGACGACCGGGATTTCTTCTATACGGACAGATCTATTATGGGAATGGAATGACGGGAGAGGAAGCGGAAGTGAATTGAGAGGGGTCTGTGAAATGCAGGGGAGCGAATTTGGCACTGTGCAAATTTACAGTACTGATTGTTGTTGTTGTTTTTGTGTGACGCATGTATCGGCAAACGGCAGACGATGGAAGCAGATTGTAGGATGAAGAAGAGAAAACGAATGAAAGGGTGGAGGAGGAAGAGAGGAAGAAAGGGACAAGAGCTGCGTGCGGCTGCATACAGCCATATTTATCATCGGAGAGCAGGGTTGCATGCATGCATCCATCGCCCATCAAGCCATCCAGTCATTGGAGGAAGCAAAGGCGGCATCAGGCAGAGCAGGCAGAGCAGGCAGAGACAGACAGCCCAGGCAGCGGTGTCCCAGGCCGTGTGTGATGTGGCTGGCGGCTAAAAAGTCCAGCCCTCAACAGGATCGGCCTGCGAAGTTGTACAGTACGGTCAGGTCAGAACAGGACGGGACGGGCCAACGCAGACAGCGGGGGTGACTCAGAGGGAGTTGCAAGGAAGCTGAGCCAGGTAACATTGGCTGGGCGCTGGCGCATATCCAGTTTCAAGGCCGCGAGGAGGAACGGATAACTTGTCAGGGAGTACATAATAATCATTGGCTCCCGAGATGCCATCCATCTGGGGATCACAGGGCCTAGCAGTGCGCGGCCCTGGGCAACCCCGCGCGACATGGGTGTGGTGCATCTCTTTTCTCTTCGCGTCAAAATAATGTAACTAGTTGATTGGGCTGACTTGGCGGGAAGCGGTCGGCCATGGACGATGGATTATGATGCTGTGCACGAGATGCACAGCATAAAGGTAAATGGAAACAACTAATCACCTGCCGTCGTCTCGTCAATGGCTGCGGTGGCTACGAAAGGCGGCCTGTAAGGCGTTTTAATGGCAGACAAGTCGGCGCAGTTGTGCAGAAGGATGGTGACTACCATAGGCCCATCAAAGCCACACACACTCAACAGATTCGTTGGCATCTCGGACAAGTCACCGTGCAGATGGACAACAAGGGTAGCCTGGGAGAGAAAAAGTTGATCAATGATAGCATAGCGCCAATATGGTCGCCGGTCAGGTCGGTGTGCGACTAGGCAGCCATGACGACTATTGCATGGTGGCGTAACGGTAGGAGAAGGTGAAAGGATTCTGGCATGGAACATGACGAAACGGAACAGAACAAACATAATATGCCATTTCATGTCTTTATGGGGTTCCACGTGCTGGTAATAATAGACCTCTAATAATAGCGAATGAGAAGGACAACTGTGTCATACCTGGGATACAAAGAATGACGAATTGAGACATATATTAGGGAGCGAGGCCGTTGATGGTCCCTAGGTACCTATTGTCATATGTATAAACATATATGTAACACAGAAAACATCATCACTTGCAAAGCTAGAAGCATTAACTACAGCATATGTAGGTGCGCAGTTTCGCCAGAGGCATCTTGGAATTGCCCATGACGGGAAGCTTCCTTACCGTTTCATACTCAGCACCTTTAAGGTAGCGTCCCTCCAGCGCATTCTGTGCTGTAAATCTCCAGCCCCAGCGCCAATTCTGCGCTAGACCCCGCAAACTCAAAGTTTATTACACAGGTTACTGGTCAATCTCAGCTCGTCCTGCTTGAAACTAGTCGCAGATAGCGTCGTCCTCCTTTCGTCATATCCCCATAGCTTCGTGGGCCGCCTCTGCGGCCTCCCGGTGCTGTACTCCCCTCTTCTTCTTCAACTTCTTTACCTGTAACAACACTTCAACTAGGCTTGTGACACCAATTCCATTTCCCGTTTACATCATTGCCACGAAGTGCTGATTTACACGCCATAGCGGAACCCTATCCAGCTATCTCGAGCTCGCCATGGCTTCCCGTCGCGACCTGCTCCACGAGGAGGAGCGCGCCCGTACGTTCCCCAAGGTCTCCGACGACCTAGTTTCGTTGTACTTCTTCGGCCGACAGAATATGCTAACGCTCTCCGCCTTCGACTTCTGCAGTCGTGCCACCTCATGTCCGGGACCGACTCACGTCCGCCATACCGGCCTCCGACGTCACCAAGGTCTGCCTTCGCCTCCGGCACCTCGTCCAAGAATGCGTCCCTTGCGAGATGGATGAGGCGAGAATCACCACGCCCCATAGCAAAATTATTACCAAGCAGGTCATCCAGGCCGCCAAAGAAGCCGGTGGCGAGGCTCACAAATCATGCGTTGTGCGTATTTGGTCGGTGCCTTTGTCTCTCGTGCCTTGACCAACTCCAATGTTTTAGGTATACTCGCTCCTGGTCAACCAGAGATGGTTTCGCCGCGAGGCGCTCGCTGAGCTATGGGACGCCGGGCTGCATAACCTGCGCGCCGAGGCCTGTGGTGTCATTGCCAAGGCACTGTACGATTCGTCCCCGACACAAGTTTTCTTACGTCTTCCGCCGCTAATTGAGTTTGTACTTCAGCATCGAGACCGAAGACGACGCCCAGTACCTCATGCACGCCATTTTGCTCCGACGGTACTCGTTTCTCGTCGACGGCACGCCCACGACCCCCGTCAATGTCATCGAAAAGGCAGTCGACCTGCATTCGGTGCGCGTCATCGGCTCCTCTGGCTACCAGAAATGCATAAGCTACCTCTGGAGCGGGTGGCTGGTCCAGGACGAAAACGACGCCGCCGTCTTCGTCGACTACAAGAACAAGGACAATCCCAACTTCTTCGTCCACATGGACCCCGATCGCATGCGCGCGCCGCGCTATCAGAATGCTGCCCAGCTCTTATTCTCCCTCGTCTACCTCGGCCTCTACACGGCGGCCATCAACTCGGTCAACGCCAGCGGCGTGTTTGACGGCGCAGAGGTGACGCTGTATATTTTCACGCTCGGCTTCATGTGCGACGAGGTGCTGAAATTTTACAAAGCCGGCTACCAGATCCTCGGCTTCTGGAACGCCTTTAACGGCTTGCTGTACTTATTCGTGACGGTATCCTTTGTCTTTAAAGTTATCGGGCTCGTGCACGATGGCGACTCGGATTATAGGGATATGTATACCCAACTCAGCTACAACTTGCTGGCATTTATTGCGCCCATGTTTTGGTCGCGCCTCCTACTCTACTTCGACAGCTTCCGCTTCTTCGGTGCCATGCTCGTTGTCCTCAAGGTAATGATGAAAGAGTCCATGATATTCTTTGCGCTTCTCATTATTATCATTATCGGCTTCCTGCAAGCGTTTATCGGCCTGGACATTACGGAAAATAACATCATCGATGACGTACCCTTTATTGTCGAATCGATGCTCAAAGCAATTATGCAAAGTCCGGAATTTGATGGGTTCGAGTCATTCGGACATCCGTGGGGAAAAATTCTCTACTACTGCTTCACATTTGTTGTGATGGTATGTTGTCTACAAACAATCGCCTCGCTACACCATGTGCTTATAAATATGCCAGATTATCCTCCTCAATATTCTCATCGCACTCTACAACTCAGCCTACGAAGACATCTATGGAAATGCCGACGACGAATATCTGGCCCTTTTTGCACAAAAGACGATGCAATTTGTTCGCGCCCCTGACGAAAACGTGTACATTGCTCCGCTCAACCTGGTGGAAATTGTCGTCTCGGCTCTGACCGAGTGGTGGCTGCCAAAGCACATCTACGAAACCATCAACGACTGGATCATGGCGTTCCTGTACTCGCCGCTGCTGCTGGTCTCTGCCTTTCTGGAGACCAAGACAGCGCACAGGATCCGTCAGAACCGCGCAAGGGGCGAGGAAGACGACGATGTGGTCCACGAATGGGAGCAGCTGGCGCATGAAATGGACTTTGAGGCCGAGGGGTGGACGAAGACATGCAATGCCGTGCGACCTAATGTTGAGGACGACGCGGCGGTACTGGAAGTGAGAAAGCTTCAATCAGAAGTGGCGGAGCTGAAGACGATGATTGCCAAACTGATAGAGACGCGACAGGCATAGGAGGAAAGGCAGTGTTGGATATCAAAGCAGTCATGTATTTAGTGTGATTAAGTTTCGTTTCAATTTATTCACATAAATTATTTTGCGACTTTCATCTTCTTCAATGTTCATAAAAAGAGCAGTCCCCTCACTCGTCAGTCGGTGGAAAGAATCTCCTACAGTAGAATAAATGTTAGTATACCCTCGGGGTCAGCAGGTCAAGGTAGACTCACGGGATCATGACGTTATAAGCATCCACATCCTTTTCTTCAAATGTGACAAACACCACCTTTTCGAGCGGGCCCTCGTTCTCATCCAGATACTCCCTAACAGTCCGGCACGCCACGACAGCCGCCTCCATGCTGGGGTAGCCGTATAATCCCGTGCTGATGCCGCTGAACGCGAGCGACTTGAGGCCATTCACCGCCGCGAGCTCCAGGCTGCTGCGGTAGCAGCCACGCAGGAGCCACTCGCTCTCGTCGGAGTCGGAGTCGTAGATGGGGCCGACCGCGTGGATGACGTGGCGCGCTGGCAGGTCGTAGCCCTTGGTGATGCGCGCCTGGCCCGTCGGGCACCCGCCGAGGCCGCGGCACTCCTGGAGGAGCTCGCGGCCGGCGGCGCGGTGGATGGCGCCGTCGACGCCGCCGCCGCCGAGCAGCGACGAGTTGGCCGCGTTGACGATGGCGTCGACCTGCAGCGTGGTGATGTCGCCGCGGAACAGCGCCGCGCGTTGGTTGGCGGACGCCGACTTGGGCACCGCGGAGGCGAGGGAGGTCGGGAGGAGCTTGGCGTCGCGCCAGAGGGCGGCGATCGAGGGGATCTTCTCTGCGGGAACGACGGAGCCGGGCATTTTGAGGAATCTAGTTCGTATGGCTCGCATGTAAAGTATGGAGAGATGATATGTTGACCAGGTCTGATTGTTGTGATGATGTGGATGTCTCATCCAGATGCTTTTCCGTTTGCTGTTCGGCGTCGGGCCTTTTATACGGTACATTGCTAACATGGCAGTACAGCGGCAGCTGCTACAACGAGGAGCTCAGGATGTATATACAGTACATAGATGGGAGGCGCAAATGCAGTTCAAGAGCGATTTGTCTGGTAAAAATGAAATCCCAGACGCCTTTGCGGCAGAAACGATTCCCGCTCTATTTATTACCTATGTGACTTAGACATTTTTATTGGCAGTGGTGACGGTGCTGCTGATGAACGCCTGGGAAGCCGGGCGCCGCCCTGCTTCGCACCGAACTACAAACCTCTAAATAACTCCCCAACGCCGCTGGCTAAGGAAGAAGGGGCATTCGCGTCCTATATCCTCGCCATGCAAGTTAGCAGGTATTTAATCCTGAGACCTCTGGTAGCAGTGACCTTTGGTAGACCTTGCGATTTGCACATATACCAGACATGCGGAGTATGATTCATCCCCGATTCATGCCCACAACTGCCTACTGCAGGATGGCGAGATAATGCATTGCAGATAATCCAGCTGCACTAAATGACAGCGCCTTAGTAGATAGGGCTGCTTTTTGAAGTTGATAACGAGCGCAGATATGAAGAAAGAGTAAGAAAATAAATGGAGGAATACAATGCTAATGCTAGATGGTATGAGAAGCAAATTACGGTTACAAGGGAGCTACCTGAAACAAATACGCCCGAACAAATAGGCGAAAATCTTCAGGTAGGAAAAAAATTACAATAATTTTGGCTGCATTAGAGGTTGAAAAATCTGGAAAAATTACTTGAGCATCTACAATCGATTCATGAATAGACTCGTTGCCCAACTCCCGATAACAGCCTTTTAATTAGCCAAGGAGGGGCAACTGTTTTGCGCGTTGGTAAAAAGTTAGCCCCGCCATCGTGTGTGAGTCTTCGCCCCGCCGCTGTTTCTGCTTTCCTCACCACACTTGCCAACACAACGACACTTTAAATCTCTGTCTAGAGAGACTTGTCCGACCTTTTTACTTGTACGAACGCGCTTACAGATCGATAAAGGGTCGATTCCACGACCGGAACCAGCCACCATGGCCGACGAAGTTACGAAACCAATGGCCAAGCTTCAGCTCGACGAGGAGACTGGCGAGATGGTCTCCAAGGCCGAGTTGAAGAAGCGACAGCAGAAGCGGGCGAAAAAGGCAGCCCAGGAAAAGGCTCGTCAGGAGAAGGCGGCCGCCGGTCCCGTTGAAAAGAAGGCGCCCGCACCCAAGGTGGAAGAAGCTCCCATCGACCCTGAGGCCATGTTCAAACAGGGCTTCCTTGACGATGTCTACAAGGAGCGCCCGGTGAAGAACGTCATCACACGCTTCCCGCCCGAGCCGAACGGATACCTACATATTGGACACGCCAAGGCCATTGCGGTCAACTTTGGTTTCGCAAAATATCACGGCGGCGTCACCTACCTTCGATTTGACGACACAAACCCAGAGAAGGAGGAGGAGAAGTACTTCGTTGCCATTCAAGAGGTTGTCAAATGGCTAGGATTTGAGCCATACAAGGTCACATACTCTAGTGACAACTTTCAGAAGCTCTATGATTTGGCAGAAAAGCTTATTAATATCGGCAAGGCCTATGTCTGCTACTGCGAAGGTTGTCGTGTGACTCTGCTAAGACCTACTCGAATGCTAATAAATATTCATACAGATACCGAGATCAAGCTTCAGCGTGGCGGCGAAAAGGGCGCCAACCCGAGGTATCGTTGCAAACATGCTGATCAGACTCCCGAGGACAACCTGGCCAAATTCCGGGATATGCGCGACGGAAAGTATAAACCTCGCGAGGCTTTTCTTCGCATGAAGCAGGACATCACGGATGGAAACCCCCAGATGTGGGATTTGGCGGCGTACCGAATCAAGACTGACCAACCTCACCATCGCACTGGATGGGATTGGAAGATCTACCCGACATACGACTTTACACATTGCTTGTGCGATAGCTTTGAGGATATCACACACTCACTCTGCACGACTGAGTTCATTCTAAGCCGCGTTTCGTATGAGTGGCTGAACAAGTCGCTTGAAGTATACGAACCGATGCAGAGAGAATACGGACGTCTAAACCTGACCGGTACAGTGCTTTCGAAGCGCAAGATTCTCAAGCTGGTAGAGGAGAAGGTTGTTCGAGGCTGGGATGACCCCCGGCTGTATACACTGATCGCTATCCGTCGTCGTGGTGTCCCTCCCGGGGCCATTCTTGAATTTGTCAACGAGCTTGGCGTCACTACCAACATCACTACGATTCAGATCCACCGTTTTGAGCAGAGTATTCGCAAGTACCTCGAGAAAACAGTGCCGCGTCTGATGATGATTCTCGACCCTGTTCCTGTCGTTATCGAAGACGCCGAGGAACTCGAGCTGGATGTGCCTTTCTCCCCCAAGAATCCCAAGATGGGATCGCACAAGGTCCAATTCACGCCCACAGTCTACATTGACCGTTCCGACTTCCGCGAAGAGGACAGTAAAGACTACTTCCGCCTTGCGCCCGGCAAGTCGGTTGGTTTGCTCCACGCCCCGTACCCCATCAAGGCCACCTCCTTCACCAAAGACGAGACCACTGGCAAGGTCAAGGAGATCCGTGCTGTGTTCGACAAAGAATTGAAGAAAGCAAAGACATACATCCAGTGGGTTGGAACTGCTGGTTCGAGGAAGGTGGAAGCTCGCATCCACAATGCCCTCTTCAAGTCGGAGAAGCCCGAAGACGCTGAGGGAGGCTTCCTCAACGACTTGAACCCTGAGAGTGAAGTCATCTATCCCGATGCTCTCATCGAGTCTGGATTTGAGGAAGTCAAGCGCCGTGCTCCCTGGCCTGAGGCGGCCGGCGAGAGCGAGCTGGGCAAGGGCGGACCGGAAAGCGTGCGCTTCCAGGCCCTCCGTGTGGCTTATTTTGTAAGAATCTCCACGAACTTTATCTCTATGTGGGGTGATTTGCTAACAAGACATAGGCTGTGGACTCTGATAGCACCGATGACAAGATAATTCTCAACCGCATCGTAAGCCTGAAGGAGGATGCTGGGAAGAAGTGATTTGCAGGAAATTTGAGGCTTAAAACGTCTTTTTATATTTGAGGTGGGATTGTGCATTGAGTGAAGCGAAAAGGTTAAACAACATGGCATCGGAGTTTGGTGTGGTCAGACGACCATTGTCGGGGAGATTGTCTGAAGCCGCGACTGGGAGGGATGGCTCTGGTACATAGACAGAGTATGAATAGTGTTTCCGTGTCAAGAGTGGCTCGGAAGGGTGCAATATGAAAGTCATTGCTTTTTGTGTAGTTTTTCACTTGCTTCTTGGTTTCTCTTAGTACGCACCAATGCATCGATAATTGATATCTTGGGGCCCTTGTCCATGGTTACGGCGGTAGTACATCCAGGTACAGTACATGCGCTGCCAAGAAGACAAGACCGCGCTGGCGGCGGCGCGCACCGAGCGAGAACCCCCACTAAGACGGCAGAAGGCCGTTCTCGGACAGCACATTGCCGGCGGTCTGCAGCCGCGCATATTTGTCTTGTAGGCCGCTTCTAAAAAGAAAACTAATTTATAAAACTTGAATGTCATCGAAATGCTTGAATGAAATATTCAGCAATGTATCAGCGACACATGACCGCCGGCCTCGTAGCCGCCGGCCCCGTCAGTCGGCCGTGGCCTGTAGCTTCAGTTGTTTACCCCACCACAGCTTATGAGTTTGGGGTTGCCCCTCCTCCATGATTCAAACAGAACAAATATCAGCTTCCACCCCCTCTCTTCCGCTTGGCTTTTTCCTCTTGCATACTCGTTTCCCATCATCTCTCAAGCTTGAACATTCTCGTCCTACTCGATACCCCACGATCCGATTGATTTTACGTACACAGACAAATACACCCAGAGCACACAACCAGACACCATGGCTACAGGACGTCTTGCAGGCAAGAACGCCGTCATTACCGGTGCCGCTGGGTAAGCATGCAACAAACGGCAGATTCGGAGCAAAGCTTCAAGCTGACAGCTTTGTGCCACCAGAGGCATTGGTCTCGAGACCTCCATCCTCTTCGCCAAAGAGGGCGCCAACGTCCTCATGTCCGACATTTCCGCCGAGGCGCTCGAGAAGGCCCTCGCCAAGGTCAAGCAGCTGGTGCCCAACGCCGGCCGCGTCGAAGTCCTGGTACGCCAAGGTCCCTACCCCACGTCGTGACAAAAGCGTCACCAGCTAACAGCCGTTCCCTCCCAAACGACAGAAATGTGACGTCTCCAAGGAGAGCGAGGTCAAGGCCATGATCGACGCCGTCGACGCCTGGGGTGGCATCGACGTGCTCTTCAACAACGCGGGCATCATGCACGCCGACGACGCCGACGCCGTCGACACGCCCGAGGCCATCTGGGACCTGACGCAGAACATCAACGTCAAGGGCGTGTGGTACGGGTGCAAGCACGCGGTGCTGTCGCTGCGCCGCCACGGCAAGTCGCGCGCCTCCATCATCAACACGGCCTCGGTCGTCGCCCTCGTCGGCGCCGCCACCCCGCAGCTCGCCTACACGGCCTCCAAGGGCGCCGTCCTCGCCCTCACCCGCGAGCTAGCCATGGTCCACGCCCGCGAGGGCTTCCGCTTCAACTCCCTCTGCCCCGCACCCCTCAACACCCCGCTCCTCCAGGACTGGCTCGGCGACGACCAGGCCAAGCGCGCCCGCCGCGAGGTCCACTTCCCCGGCGGCCGCTTCGGCGAGGCCGTCGAGCAGGCACACGCCGTCGTCTTCCTCGCCAGCGACGAGTCCAGCTTCGTCAACGGCCACGACTTCGCCGTCGACGGCGGCATGACCAAGGCCTATGTCACCGCCGAGGGCCCCGCGGCCCCGGCGCCCCAGAACAACGCCAGCAAGAACTCTCTGTAAGGCGGACGCGGCTGAAGTTAACAACAGCGATGCCGAGTACGGGATTTACTTCGACATTGCTGCAAGTTTTCGGGTGGCTGATCCACGCGGCAATCAAGAACGGCCATAGCAGTATAGAAACGTGAAATATAATGTAATTGTCTAAGTTATCAAGTCTGTCTCCTACTCGAGAGTTTGTGCTTTGTAGATCAACCCATCTGCGAACTTGACAAAGTGTCCGAAACATTTACAAAGTGTCCGGAACAGTCTTATTGTCTTGTATTCATCTTTTTGTATTGATTGTATGCATTCATCTTATTCCCTTGCTAGATTGGCTTCTCTTACTCTGGTATCTACGCTCGCGCCATCATTCCCCCAACAGGTCTTCTAGTGAAACTGACCCTCGGTGTTGCCGTCGCCCATGCTCTTGCTGCTGGAGCTGCCGCTCTGGATCGCACCCAGGATGCCGTCAATGTACTTGGCGCCGCTCCACTTTTGGTGCGTGAGCACGTCGCAGCCGAGATCCTTTTCGCGGCGCTGGACGAGCTCGACGTACGCCTTCATGCCGTCCGTCTTGAAGTTGCGCGCGAGCTCGGTCGAGATGGTGGCGGTCGAGTGGACGCCGGCGAGGGACACGAGCTGCAGGACGAAGCCCTCCTTAGCGATGTCCCAAATGAAGGACTTGAGCGTCTCTGGGGTGAAGCCGTGGGCCATCCAGTTGAACGACGGCGAGAGGTTGTAGACGAGGCCCTTACCCGGGTGGACGGCGCGGACGGCACGGCCGAGGGCGGAGGCGACGGCGACGTTGGGGTCGCCCGTCTCGACCCACAAGAGGTCGGCGTAGGGTCCGAAGGCGAGGGCGCGCTTGGTGGCGGCCTCCATGCCGGCGCGGAAGTGGTAGAAGCCCTCGCGCGTGCGCGGCACGTCCCAGTTGAAGTAGACGGGCGTCTCGGCGTAGTGGTTGGCGAGCGCGCGGCGCCGCGTGACGCCCATGTTGCGGTCGGCGGCGGTGGCGGCCTGGAACTCGGCAATCTTGTCCTCGGCGACGCCCTCCTTGCGCATGTGGTCGACGGCGGCCTCGTCAAAGGTGACAAGGCGCGTCTTGGCGACCCAGTTGGCCTCAAAGGCGTCAATCTCGGCGCCGGACGCGCCCTTGGCCTCGAGCGACTGGATCGTCTCGGCGAGCGGCTCGAGCGACGGGTCCGCGACGCCGAGGATGAACTCGTGGTCGCGGACGTCGACGGCTGACGAGATGAGCTTGCCCGACTCGGAGTCGGTGCGCGCGATGACGAGGTTCTCGCAGCCCATAACGTCCCACTGGAAGCGCGCAGCATTGAGGCGGTTGATGTGCTCGCCTGTGGGAACGAGCACCTTGCCGGCAAGGTGACCGCACTTCTTGCCGCCGTGAAGCTGGTCCTCGAAGTGGACAGCAGCGGCGCCGTTCTCGGCGAAGAGCTTGGCGAGCTTCAGGACGGCGGAGAGGCCGCCGTGGCCGGTGTCGCCGTCGGCGATGATGGGTCGCAGGTAGTCGACGTATGGCGTGGCGGCGCGCTCGGCGGCCGTCATGGCGCGGCGCGCGTCCCACTGCTTGCGGTCGTGCATGGACTGCGCCTTGGCCAGGCGCTGCACCTGGTTCGGCACAGTGTTGTACGGGTAGTCGCCAAAGTCGGGCGAGACCTCGTTGGTCGTCGTGAGGAGCGAGGAGCAGGCCCAGCCTGAAATGTAGAGGACCTCCTGGTGCGGCGCTTGCTGCGTCATCTGGACGGGGTCCACGGCGCCGACTGCGATGCGGGTGTTGTAAGCTCCCGTGGTGGGATGACATCTTTGCGGAGAGCAGCGGTGTACGTACGTGTATGAATGGGCTCACCCTTGGACTCGCGCTCACGGATCAGGTTGAAGAGCTTCGAGGCCATGACGGAGCTCGGGTACTGGACAGTCTGGGTGCCTCGCTTGGAGACGACGTCGGCGGCCGTGTAGGGCCGCTTGATGCCGGTGTAGCGGGGCGACGACCACCAGGCCTCGACCTCCTTGATCTGTGCATCGTAGAGGGCATCCTCGGCCTCGCCCGCCTTTTGCGATTCGGGCAGGAGCTGGAAGGCATCGGCCGGTGCGGACGCGGACGCGTAGGGGTTCGTCGGCGCGGACATGGCAGCCGTGGTGCTGAGGGCTCGGATAGCGGCGGGAAAGAGTGCTGGCCGGGTCGCGTGGGAGAGCAGGGCTCGTTTGGGGATGGATCGAGCCAGCGATCGTCGCATCATTGTCACGATTCAATTGTGTGTAGCGAGATCGTTGCAAGACTGGGGAATTGGCTGCTTCTGCTTTTTGTGTAGGATGATGTAGTGGAAGAACGGTTATAACGGAATGGGCATGCCGTAGCAGCAGCAACAGCCACAGCCGAAGACAGCCGCAGACGGAGGGAGGGGCGAACTTTTGGCTGATAAATCCGGGCGATAACCGAGCACAAAACTCGGAGGAAGTGGCGTTGCGCTTGGTATTAGCGAATAGAATCATTTTTTTTAGACAAATTCAGCTAAGAAAAAAACTGTACTCTGGGGAACTGGTTCAAGTTTGGTTGAGCATATCCCAGGCTGGTAGAAGGCTACATTGTAGTGCCCAGTGCCCACCTATGTATGTATGTACATAGCGTCTGCCACATGATACCAGGAAAGCCAGCCGAATCGAGGTTGTGCCGGGGGTGGTTTCTGTCATATCTTCTATCCAAATTCGGATATGAGCCTTAAAAAGACATTTTATTCCTCAAAGTCAAAGCTGAAGGCATTAACTACCTACCAGTCGTACCTAACTACATCCAGCTACCTATCTGGGCACATAATCAATTAAGTAAGGGATGTAGTTACACAAACTTGATCACTTACGAACTCTGCTAAAATAGATCAATTCATAAATAATTAACGTGTATCGAAATAGATACGTAGTTTTTGCCTGGTGCACGCCTAGTAGCCTGCCGGGACCGGGCATGATCGTATTTCATCATGTATTTTCTACGCGCGTTTGTTGTGCTTGGGTAGGTTTTTAGGCAATCAGTACCTCCGGCCACTGCCATGTGAAGGCGTATGATTGCTGGGTCCCACTACGTAATAAGGGTACAGCCGAATGCCATTTGCAAAATGCAGCAGGACTTGCGGTGAAACGTGCGTGGGAGGCTGACTCGGAATGGGCGTGGGTGGTTGTTACTGGTAGCTCCACTAGGTAGAAAACTCTACGATTAGTGTCATGGCAGAATATTTTAATGTACGTAGCAGGTAAATACCGTAAAAATAGCGTGTGATCGGATTGTCCGGCTTTGTGGCGAACTTGTGAGACGGCCAGTATCGAGACACATCTTCTTCGTCTGTTGATGTGAGTCTGACCGGATAAGGTACCTCGTTGCCCACTGCACACCGTCACAGTGCTGGGTGTGTAGGTACAGACCTGGAAGTGCTTGGAGTAGCAAATGAAACAAACACAGCCAGCTGGGTAGTGATGTAGCATTGATTTCTACAATTTTGGGATAAACTTCTTTTTTACCTGTATAATGCACTCTTATAAACTTCCCTTGTTCGAGACTGTTATGCGTAGAGTGAAGCTTACTGTCACGGCGTCATGTTAGAAGTACAACAAGGCCATAACTTCGGAAGTGTAAGCTCCCCTACAGCATCGAACCCTTGACTACGATTCCGCAAGGCAATTTCAAATTGCGGGCGATGCGGTAGTTACGGAGCAATTCCAAACTTTCCCCACGATCTCACTCCTACAAGGTTCTCCCAAACCCGCCTGGTGGCCAGATGCTGCGACGAAAACGAAGGGCTGACTGACTGGGGCGCAAGCATCTGAAATGTCCTGTGCCTGGTTCGCCCGAGTCAAAGTGGCGACGTCGCCGGCTCACCGCCCTTGGCCGACACCCCTTTTAGGTTTAGTCTTTAGTGTTTGATAAGCTGATTAGCCTCGATAAGCCCGTCTGCCAGCTGTCTAACCTTTTTTTGGTGGCAGTGAGAGAAATTAAAAAAAAAATCGGCTTCCAGCGGGTGCCACAGCACACAGCCAACCAACTTCACTAGCCAGCCCACCTCCCACCACCCCTCCCTCTTTTGCCAACAGGAAAAAAAGTTTGTGGACTGGCCTACATAAAACTCGCCCACCATCTCCTCTCCGTCTTCATTCTTTCCCCTCCACCTCCATTATCCTCCTCCTCTTCATTTTTGGTCGTCCTCCTCCAGACGAACCCTGGGTACTGTCCTCCAAACAGTCCTTTTTCACCTTTTGTCCCTTGCTTGAAGGCTCCTCCTCCTTTCAGCAACCCCAAGCCGCCACAGAACAGAACGACCCCTCCATCGTTCCTGTGGGCTTCGATTAGACCGACTTTGTCGACATACTCATAGATTCTCGAAGGACGTTTAGTTTACGTTTTCGGGTCTCCTCCTCTTATACCCTCGGTGCTCCAGACTCGAAATACCCCGCCAGTTTTAATCCCGAAAATCACAATTATGTCTGAGAACGCTCAGTCCGTCAAGGTGCTCGACGAGCTCTTCCAGAAGCTCACCGTCTCCAAGGAGGCGGCTGAGATCAAGGAGTCTTCCGCCGAGCTTGCCTCTTTCATCAACGGCCGTATTGAGGACCAGGCTGTCCCTACCAAGTGAGTATTTTCGTCTTCTCTCTCTCGTCGTTCGTTATTCTGCGGCGACTGGCTGCTGGCCGTGCTACTTGCTGCCCCGCCAAATGCCGCGAGCACAAAAATTTTTTTGCGCCCACCGTGGCCACTTGGCCTGGCAACTGGCGACCCCGCCACCCTGCTACGGCACAAAACGGGAGCTTGTCAGGCCTGCTGGCGAAACTGCCAACAACTCCCCGCCCCCGCCAGCCAGCATCACGAATTACAAGATCCTTTTCATTATTTTTCCCTTGCACAGCGCTAACCACTTTCTGCAGGGTCATTGACGATATTACCAAGAGCCTCACCAGCAAGAAGGATGCTGGCGCCCGTGAAAAGGCTGCCGTCGCCATTGAAGCCATTGCTTCTCACTCCGAGGTCTCTGCTCACGTTGAGCCCTACCTCATCGTCCTCCTCCCTACCCTCCTCGCCGCTGTTGGCGACAAGACCCCCGCCGTCAAGAATGCCGCGAGCGCTGCTGTTCTTGCCATCGCTGGTGCCATCAACGCCAATGCCGTCAAGTCTGCTCTCGCTCCCATCATGGATTCCATCCGCAACGCCCAAAAGTGGGCTGAGAAGATGACTGCCCTCGACTTCATTGATGCTCTCGTCAAGTGTTCCCCCGCCCAGCTCGCTTTCCGCGTACCTGAGCTCATCCCTGTCATCTCTGAGGCCATGTGGGACACCAAGAAGGAGGTCAAGGAGCGTGCCTACAAGACCATGGAGCAGCTCTGCCAGCTCATTGTCAACAAGGATATCGAGCGCTTCATTCCTGAGCTCATCAAGTGTATCGCCAAGCCTGAGAACGTCCCCGAGACTGTCCACTTGCTCGGTGCCACCACCTTCGTCACCGAGGTCCAGGAACCCACTCTTGCCCTCATGGTTCCCCTCCTCGACCGTGGTCTTGCTGAGCGTGAAACCGCCATCAAGCGTAAATCCGCCGTCATTGTCGACAACATGTGCAAGCTGGTCGACGACCCCAACATTGTCGCTCCTTTCTTGCCCAAGATGATGCCCGGCCTCCAGAAGAACTATGACAACCTCGCTGACCCCGAGGCCCGTGAGAAGACCAAGCAGGCCCTCGACACCCTGACCCGTGTTGGCAACATCAAGAACGGTGTCATCCCCGAGGCCAAGAACGACGGTGCCCTCAATGTCGTCCTTCCCAAGGTCAAGGAAATCTTCACCCCCAAGTACGGTAACTACCTCGAGAAGATGGTACCTGTTGCCGAGCACATTGCTGCCATTGCCGGTCAGCTCATCGACGAGAAGGAGTTCGAGCTCAGCATCTGGGTTGAGAACCTCAAGTCCTACGTCGCTGTCATCACTGGCATTGACAACGCTGAGTCCATCGTTGACACCATCCGCAAGAAGACCGCCCCCGCCGCTGCCGTCGAGGATGAGGCTGAGCCTGATGAGGAGGAGGGTGAGGACCTCTGCAACTGCACGTTCTCCCTTGCCTACGGTGCCAAGATTCTGCTTAACCAGACTCACCTCCGTCTCAAGCGTGGTCAGCGCTACGGTCTTTGCGGCCCCAACGGTTCCGGCAAGTCCACCCTCATGCGCGCCATCAACAACGAGCAGGTTGAGGGTTTCCCTAAGCAGAGCGAGGTCAAGACCGTCTTCGTTGAGCACGACCTGGACTCCGCCGATACTGAGATGACCACCATTGACTGGACCATGAAGAAGCTCGAGGAGGCCGGTGTCAAGACTGGCCAGGCTGATGTCGAGACCCGCCTCAACGAGTTCGGCTTCACCGAGCAGATGGTCAAGGGCGAGATCTCCGCCCTCTCTGGTGGTTGGAAGATGAAGCTCGCCCTGTGCCGTGCCGTTTTCGAGCAGCCCGATATCCTTCTCCTTGACGAGCCTACCAACCATCTGGACGTCAAGAATGTCAAGTGGCTCGAGGAGTACCTCATCAACTCCCCTTGCACTTCCATCATTGTCTCTCACGACTCTGGCTTCCTTGACAACGTCTGCCAGCACATTGTCCACTACGAGCGCTTCAAGCTTAAGCGCTACAAGGGCAACCTGATGGAGTTTGTCAAGCGTGTCCCCTCCGCCAAGTCCTACTACGAGCTTGGTGCCTCCGAGATCGAGTTCTCCTTCCCCGAGCCCGGTTTCCTCGAGGGTGTCAAGACCAAGGCCAAGGCCATTCTCCGTGCCACCAAGATGTCCTTCCAGTACCCCGGCACCTCCAAGCCCCAGATCACCGACATCACCTTCCAGTGCTCTCTCGGCTCTCGTATTGCCGTCATTGGTCCCAACGGTGCTGGCAAATCTACTCTGATCAACGTTCTGACTGGTGAGCTCATCCCCACCCAGGGTGAGATCTACCAGCACGAGAACATCCGTATTGCCTACATCAAGCAGCACGCTTTCGCCCACATTGATAACCACCTGGACAAGACTCCCTCCGAGTACATCCAGTGGCGTTTCCAGACTGGTGAGGATCGTGAGACCATGGACCGTGCCAACAAGGTCATCACCGAGGATGATGAGAAGGCCATGGACAAAATCTTCAAGGTCGAAGGTACTCAGCGTCGCGTCATTGGCATCAACGGCCGCAGAAAGTTCAAGAACTCCTACGAGTACGAGTGCTCTTTCGCCCTTGGTGAAAACATCGGCATGAAGAACGAGCGCTGGGTTCCTATGATGTCCGCTGACAACGCCTGGTTGCCCCGTAACGAGCTTCTGGCCTCTCACCAGAAGATGGTTGCCGACGTCGACATGAAGGAGGCTCTTGCCTCTGGTCAGTTCCGTCCCCTTGTCCGCAAGGAGATTGAGTCCCACTGCGCCAACTTCGGTCTCGATGCCGAGCTTGTTTCCCACTCCCGCATGCGTGGTCTGTCTGGTGGCCAGCGTGTCAAGACCGTCCTCGCCGCTTGCTCGTGGCAGCGTCCTCACTTGATCGTCCTTGATGAGCCTACCAACTACCTCGACCGTGACTCTCTGGGTGCTCTGTCCAAGGCTCTGAAGAAGTTCGAGGGTGGTGTCATCATCATTACCCACTCGGCTGAGTTCACCAAGGACTTGACTGAGGAGGTCTGGGCCGTCATGGACGGCAAGATGACTCCCTCCGGCCACAACTGGGTTCAGGGCCAAGGTGCCGGCCCCCGTCTCAAAGCTGACGACGACGATGAGGAAGAGAAGTTTGACGCCATGGGCAACAAGATTGTCACCACCAAGAAGAAGGTCAAGCTGTCTTCCTCTGAGGCTCGCAAGAAGAAGAAGGAGCGTATGGCTCGCCGCAAGCGTGGTGAGGAGGTCTTCTCCGATGAGGACGACTAAACAATTCGTCTCTTTAAGTTGCGAAGTTTGTTCTGTCTTTTTTTCTGCATCATCGGTCACCCCCTTTTTTCATGCCTGGCAGCAATTCACCCCTTAGACAAGTTTTATTTTTCTTATTTTCCTTTGTTTTTCTTCATGCGGCGGGATTATGGTAACAGAAAAGTTGCAATGATTTTTGATGGTCACGATTGTTTGCATATCAACGCAAGCTACATCTACATAGACACGAAGCGACGGAAGTAAGGATGGCCCGTCTGGTTTCATTTGACGCGAAAAGGAATTATCTGGATTTGTTTTTCTTTCCTTGTTGATGCTTGAATGGGGGTAATTTATCTGTTGGCCTCTGGCGGGAGGGGGTTGCTCCTTGTCGTTGTTCAAAAGGGTTGGAGGACCTTTCTGAAGAGACGGAATGAGCATAGCCTCTTCTCGGCCGGGGCGCCACTCTCATGGGTATCAACATAGGTAGACTAGGAAGAAAAGGGAAGATAAAAAATAGATTTCTGAATTAGAAATGCCTTGACAAATATTGCCTTGAGTGAGTGAGCAGAAAGAAATCGCTGAGGTTCTAGAAGTAAGCTAGTACCGACAAACTCCTGCAGGTTTCGAGGATTCTTGCCTGCGGTCAAATGGTACTTGTTTCACTGAAATTATTATGAGACCTGCATTACACTGCATTGAGTTCAAGAGACATGCATTACATTGCATTGAGTTCAAGAGATATGCATTACATTGCATTGAGTTCAAGAGACATGCATTACATCACATCAAAGTTGAGTATTTTTGATCAATATCATTCGTCATATATTTGGGTATAGTTAAGCAAAAAACAAATGCGCAGTCCTCATTGAAAGACTTTTCGCGCGAGCCCGCTGTTCTTCCCTTGCTGTGCTCAATGTCCTATTTATTGCGTGGGCTTCCTGAGGGCATGGTTTCCAATGCCAGCCCAATTCCAAGATTGTGCACTCCAAAAGAGACAAGCAAGAAAAAAGCCACGCCAGATCTATGCAAAGTTGCTGCGGCTTGCCAGCCAGGTGAGCAACGCCAGCCAGCGAAGGAAAAAGGAAGGGTGATGAAAAAGAACAAAACCCAGAACGTATGTCTTCAAGGATATACAGAAAAAAGACCAAGAGGTATCAGGACAGTCCTTAAAATGACACATTGAAAAGGAAATCTAGTCAAGCAGACGACTCCTCAAACAGATTAACCCTCAATCTGTCGTACCTTGCTCTTCTTGTAGCCGAAAAGAGCCAGCATTTCGGTCCAGAAGCCAACAGGGGGCTCGGTGAAGCGATTCTCGTAGGCGTCAATGGTGGGACGCTCCCAAACAAGATCAACCTCAGCAGGGTTCTTGAGCTTGGTGCGCTTGAGGAGCTTCCAGCCGAAGAACAGGATGGGGGCGAGGCACTGCATGGTGTAGTTTTTAAAGAACTTGTCAGGGGTGATGGGGTGAGAGAAGGCGGTGTAACCGTAGAAGAAGATGATGAGGAATTGAATGAAAATGGCAATGTATGCACCGTAGGGCTGGAAGCGGCCGTAGTAAGGGAGGTTCCTGCGGTCGACACCCTGTGCCTGGCAGGCGCGGTAGTAGAAGATGAAGGTGATGGACATGCCAATGTAGTCGATGATGCCACCAGCGGTGATGAGGTCGACAAACCAGGTAACAACGATGGCGGAGCCACTTCCGACCTGAAGGAAGGAGAGGAAGGGGAAGCACATGACGACAAAGAAACAGTAGATGGGCACACCACGGCTGTTGCACTTGCGCAGGAAGGCAGGGGCGCGTCCCTCGAGAGCGAGACCGTAGAGGGAGCGGGTGGCGCAGTAGGTGTAAGTGTTTCCGGCAGAGAAGATGGAGGTAAGCATGAGAGCGTTGACAATGTGCGGGAGGACCTGAATACCCATGGCCTCCATGGCAATGACGTAGGGCGAGGCGCCAGCGTCGGAGCTGCCACCGTCACCAAGCTGTACGTTGACGAGGGTTGGGTTGTCGCAAGCCAAGACAATACCGACAGCGAGTGCGCTTCCAAAGAAGAAGAGACCAAAGCGCCAGTAGATGGTCTTGAAGGCGGTCTTGATATAGATTCGGGGGCGCTTAGCCTCGGCGGCGACCATGGAAATGTATTCGGGACCGACAACGGCAAAACTGGCACTCCAAAGAGCACCAAGGAAGCCTTCGAATCTGCCTTTGGCGCCTGTGGAAATGTATTCTTGGAAAGCAATGTGCTTCCAGTGGGTAAAACCATAGGCATTGTGCTGGGGGTTGCCACCGACCATGGTGATGAAGGTGAAGGCGAAGAGGATGAAGAGAAGAATGACTTTGCCGCCAGAGAGCCAGAATTCAGCTTCACCATAGCCACGGACAGCGAGAATGTTGAGAGCACTAGATTGCGTCGGTTAGCCGTTTTGTTTCGTAATATTTGTGCAGGTTGTCTCGGGGTTCATTAGAGAAGTAACCCGCTTGCGCTCGGGCAGGCAGACAGACGAAGTAGATCGAGGGCGACTTACGCATAGCAGATGATGACGGCGGCACAGATTCCAGCAGTAGGGCCAGGTTGCTTTACGCGACTATCCCAGAAGCCAATGACGAGGTTGAGCGCGGTGATTTCAAAGGGAATGAGCAGAGCTTCGTAGATGAAGAAGTTCCAGCCAATCATGAAGCCAAGGGCGTCGTCGACAAAGTGACCGGCGAGACGGATGAAGCCCCCAGAGACGGGATAGAGGACGGTCATTTCAGCAATCGAGTTGTTGACGAGGCCGAGGACGAGAGGGTATAGGGTGAATGCGATGAGAAGACTGGCGGGACCACCCTTGGCGAGGCCAGCGCCGATGCTGACGAAGAGGGCGGTGCCGATGGAGCCTCCGATGGCGATGAGCTGGATCTGGCGGTTATTCAGGCGGCGCTGCAGGCCATCGGCGTTGTCGGCGATGTGAATTTCGCCGTCGAGACTCGGGGGAGAGCCAGGCATCTCCATCTTGGAGTGCTTGTCCTCGTCGGTGGTGGCCATGATTGCGACGGGTGGGTGGGTGGTGGTGGACGATGGTGGGGGTAGTCAAAGCCGCGGGGTGGTGAGGCGCAAAGCGAATTGCGCCGGCGGACAGATGATGTAGATGATATAAAGTAGAGCAAGTTACCAAGGAAGAGAAAAGGCAGCAATTGTCTACAGTAGGAGAGGGTGGAAGGAGGGAGGTTGAAGGAGGGAGGTTGAAGGAAGGAGGGGAGGGTGAAGGAACGGACGGAATGGGAAAGTGGGAAACGGATGAAGATGGGAAGGCGCCGAGTATTATAAGCAGAGGCTAGTCAGGGTGAGCAGGACAGAAGTAGACAAAGAAGCAGAGCGGAAAAAAGGCAGAGAGAGTCAAGCAAGGCAATCGACAGAGAGATTGGCAGTGAGCGGCAGAGCCGTAGACGGTCAAGCCGAGTGAGCTGTGGAGCCGGGACGGCGTGGGAATGCGCAAAGCCGGCCGTTGCTTTCTGTGTTGCTGGACCACTAATAATGGTCTCTAAGATACTCAGTACAGTGAGGTGAGTGGTTCAGTTTACAATAAAACTAACTAGTCTGCTCTCAGGCGAGACACTGGAAGAATGGACAGAGGACCAAAAAGATGGTGCCGCAGATGGATGGGATTGTGGCGGCGGCGGCGGCGGCGGCGGCGTCTTGGCGGACAATTTAATGTCTGCCAGCTAAAACCGGCACTAGCTGGATTGCTTGGTTGGGTTTAGTGCTGGCGCAGCAAGGTGTGGGGGCACCGAGTGCAAGTGAGTGCAAGTAGCGTGTACCTGCCACATACATACATCCATACACACTGCAAGTAGCGATGCAGGGCGAGAGAGTCAAGAAGCCGCGTTGGTAGACAATGATGCGACTAGAGTAGAATTGTCGAATAATTTTTAGATTTTAATCTTTAATCTATTTATCTTTTGAAAACAGGTCGCGCGTATTTCATGAACCCAGACTATGAAATAGCAGGACAGAAAAGCCACAAGGATGAAATACAGACCGCCTCAAGTCTGTTGGTGGTTCATAGGTACCGATGACCACACCGTCCCTCGTCTGTGGGCCGCATGCGACCAGCTAAACCACTAGGTAGGCTGAGGCTGTGGCCGGACGGGGCTGGCAGGTACATAGGTATCGTTTGTGCGAGTGGGCTTTATTCCTTTTTTTTTTCAAGCTGCTGCTGCTTTTACAGTACATACATACATACCTTGTCTTGTCTATACCTGCAACCAACTGTTCAGCCTGCTAGACAACGCCGCAAGTAGCCCTGTACACGCTGCACAATGGGAGACGGGTTTTTCTTCTCTTCCTGCTAACCGATGAGCCCAACTTTGACTCATCATCTCCGAGACACCCTTTTCGCTGACCACCAGCTCACAAGTACTCTCCAGGCAGCAGAGCCTATCAATCAGCCTTGTTCCCCTCTAGCGAGGTTGCGGATAAGCACCAACCATGTAATGTACTGTAATGATATCCAGCACCCAATAAGCAGCTAACCTCGATTACCGTCCTTTCGCCGCCCATCGAGATTCACGCCCGCTTGTGAATAGCGAGGGCGGGGATGCCAATGGAATACTACAAGTGGCCAGCTACCTACAGTGCGTTATAGACATACATGCACACAACAGTACCTGTGCTAGCGGAGAAACGCCCCAAAGTGTAAAAGTTCAACAACAGCAAACCCCCCGGCGCCTCGCCACATCCAGCCATTGCCAATCAGTTGGGTGTAGATTTTGCCTTATCCAATTCTTATTGGACAATTGGCCGCGGAGCATTTGCTCAGTCGTCGGCGACCCCCCCGCGCATCGTCAAAGAATCGCCTCCACAACTTGCGACAACCAGTCTGTTGGTCTTGCCCCCTCAGATTTTCACAAACTCGATCCCGATGACCCTTGAATCCCCAAGACCCTTCCTTCCTTTTACAAATAACTACCCCCAAAGACCCTGACAATCGCGTGTCCAGTTTTCAAGGTCGTGCCCGCATGTTCTCCAAGATGCGCATCGCCATACATGGAGACTTGTTTAGTGGGCACGCCCAGCCGAGAGCTCGTCCGCAAATGAAGAGCAATACGAGTAATGAAGAGTAATAAAAAGGCCAGGCCCCGCTTACAACGACCACTTTGTGAAGGCAAGTTCCTCGAACATCGCTGTGAGATTGAGGCGAGACAAGACAACTTTCAACAGCGCTTGCAAAGGTCTACTGATTCATTCCTAGTAAATGAAAAGAAAAGAAGTAATTTGACTTTACCCAGCTCAGTTTTCAAATAGGCATCTCATCGCGTGACACCCTTCTCCCTTACTCGGATGAGGCGTTTCAGAGGTACGCCCGACGGCGCGCGCAATCCCTTCCAGAACAGTTCCCGACAAGCCATGCCGCCAAATGGCCATTTTCACGCCATTTTACCAGTATTCCTACCATTTGGCTCAATTTTTCAAAAGGCTTCAAAAGCGGCGTCCCTTTCCTCCTCGCTACTCCACACACTGAGCGGGCTGCGCTGGGGCAGTTCGTGAGCCATGACGTCACCGCATAGAAAACCCGCACATGGCACATCACATCGCCCCATGGCAATCCACATGTATGTTTTTTTTGAAACTTATTATTACAGGGGATGTATTCTCCATTTTGCCTTGCCGCAAGGTTCTCTGATGTGCCAGTTAATTATAAAAGAATTTCGGTGTATTTTTTCCTTCTGAAAGTCCCTCGTCAACACCATATGCTAATGGATACCTGCGTCATAATGCTTTGCAGCCAAGCCAATAGTTAACCACTGCGCTCTAGACGAGATACAGCAAGCGTGGCTTTAACTTGTCATCATCGTCACCGGTGGAGTGACGTCCAACCAACTATCGTGACCAGAACTCTCCTCAAGTCCCCTCTATACTGAGTGCACCTCGTTCCAGAACCGGCTCAACGCGGCCTAGACGAACAAATCGAGTTTCCCAAGTCAACTGTTATGTAACTCTAAACCACGCACTTGACACACCACGATAATTGTCCATTAGTAGACTGTAAATCAACAAACGGCCATGCGCTTTCAAGAAGCGTGGCATTGTAGCATTATATCATTGTCATCTACTCTGGCGAAACAACCGGCGGGGTGCAACCAGGAACGCTTCGAAGCTAGATAACTATGCCAGCAGCTGCAAGCCCAACCGCATCCCGGTCGAGTCCCTTTGCGTTGCATTTCCCCAATCCTCCCCGGCTCGCTCATGGCAGAATTACCCCATCTGGACGACCTAAAAAGGACCGCGTGTGTAACTTGACTATTAGAACAAGTTGATGAGCCAAGTAGCTGGGTGGCCGCGGCGACCTGTACCACCATGACGCCACATTGTCAAGCTTGTGCAAAGGAACAAATAATACCCTAATCTCTTCAGCTGGATAGTAGTCAGTAGAAATATCAGTTGGCCATATCACCAAATACGAAAACCTTCTTCATATTCCGGCTCCAGGTCCTCAAATAGCTGACTGAGCGCAGATAAGGGTAGGTAAAGTAGAAGGATCTTCAGCCAGATCCCCCGACGCGGAGGGAGGCGCAGGCTTGAATATGCACATGTACAAGCCTTGCATGAAACTGAGCCCCTAACTTAAAACTAGCCGAGTAAACTCAAAGTCGCTGGGGTTCTACTGTCAATTAGATTATTGCTTGTCATCCTACTGTCAACAACCAATCCGAGAGTCAACATTCAACGCTGATCGTAGGGCGAGCATAATTAGGGCTGGCGCCACATGCTAGTTATTAGTTAGTGTAGCAACGGAACTCTTCGCCCCGAGAGCGAGAGAGTCGCGTGCGACGGGCCGAGAGCAGCAAGAAGCCTTGAAGGCATCTGGCCGAGGTTCGGTTCCCTTACCAACATGCATATTTTGTCTCACTTTACTGCTCCGAGAGTCGGTGCCAATAACTTTGACAACAATTTGTCAAACAAGAAGCCAAGACGCAAATTGGTGCATAGTTCCACATACAGGTCGTATCGACTAACTATAGTTAGTTCCTACCCACCGTTAGAACCGCACTATCTAGTTATGTCGCACCCTCTCGTGCCTCTTGATGACTTTGTCCTCCAGGCTCCACGACTCAGAATGAAAGACACTGGGTCCTTGAATTTTTTACGGTTCCTACCAGTACAGTAAGAAATGCTGAGGACGGGGGATCCATCCACACATCCTCGAATGGGCTGATCCCAGCCCCCCCTTCCCTTCATTCAGCTCCGTCCAGAACGGGGCTGCCCGTCAGCAACCAATCCTTGGGAGTCCGTGGCGGCGAACCGTTTCCTCTGAGCCAGGCCAGCGGGCCCGGTTTTCATTTGCCCATTTTGACAGAAAAAACGCCGTATTTCACTTGCGTGGTCTTCGTGTGGGAACACACAAAGAAACAGGGTCCTCTCTGGTTGGCTCAGTTTCGGGACGGAATGCGCTCTGTTGGGCGACAGGTTCCACGCCCTAGAAACACGTTTGCGACGGAGGCGCGCCCCGTCTGTGTTCGTAGGCGAAAACATGGGCAACTTCAAAGTCTCCAACCGGTTACATTGGAAGGAGGTTTGGCCATGGTTGCTTTAGTGCGTACACAACGCGCACCTCGAGCTGCCCGGTCGATGGCTCCGGAGGCTTCCAATTCACCACGCTCCCGATTGGGCTTGTCGCGGCAGCGTCCCGCGCATTCACCCTTGGCGAAACCTTGCCAGGACCGCAGCCTGAGAGGCTGAAGCCATCATAACTCGCTCTACTGGTATACACCGGCTGACAGGCAGCTTGTCTCAAACTGACCTGCATAGCAACAACAAACTCACGCCAGTGATCCATACCTCGTCCCCTTTTTTCCTTTACTTTGTTTAGCCATTTAGTTAGCCTCGCCGCTCTCTCCAGCTCGGCAGGCGTTAGCTTGCCATCCGCAGATAGCAACCGGGCTCTTATTAGTCGAGTTCGACCCCAAAGCTCGCACGCATTGATACAACCGCGACCATCTCCAAGCCTCAAAAACATGGGGTTTCGCGATATGCCGTATGTATACCGAGATACCGAGCGAGCCCCGAGGATTTTAAACTTCCTATCTGTTGTTTCGTGCTTGGCCTGTTGCGACGATCCGGGATGCGCTTGCGAGTCTCCCGATCACGAGGTCGGACAAAACACTAAATTGACGCCGCGTGCTGACAACTTGGATAAGCCAACGACGAATAGCTCGAGAGCCTTGGCAATATACGGTACATCTATGGAGATTGGGTCAACTATCTGTTGACGCAATGAGGCTCGGTAACTTGATGAGTTGTGCAATGGGCTGACGGCGATTGGCTCGCTCGCCAAGCAGCATGCGGGGGAGGGGCCGCCCGGTATTACTCGTAACGGTCCTTGCATTAAACTATCGGGGAACGCAGGTGATGCATTGTACGGTTGGGCTTGCCGTGTCTTGCAGACAATGCTACCAAGGTTGTCTGCCCATGTGTCTTGCATCGAATCTAGCTCACCACGACTCTCCGGAGCGTAGAATCGACATGGACGTGAAGTGATGGCCCAACGCCAAAGTGTTTCCACGGAAGCAGATAAAATGCTCTCTGACGGATAAAACAACTACAACAAGCGCACCGCGGGACCCTGACTTGGCTTCTCCGGAAGCCCGCCCACGGGAATCCAAACGTGAACTCTCTGTCTAGGGTAGCATCTACCCTATTCTGTTGACAGACGTGCAAGTTCTCTACGGCCGCGCCGCCAAGCACCCGGACTTCCACGGATAAAATGTCATCCAAAATATCTCTCATTATTTTGAATGAAAGGTATACCGTAAACCCGCCAAATATGCAAAATTGCTGGTCTTCTCCATCTGCATTTTTTCACACAGCTGGCGTGTTGGCGAGACTCGCTGTGGGGCTAGGCAGAAAACAGCAATGACTCATCACCTCGATAGCCTTATAGGTAGAAATAAGTGTAGAGGTTTTCAACAAATAAGCAACATAGCTCAGTGGAAGAGCGACGGGCTCATAACCCGTAGGTCCCTGGATCGAGACCAGGTGTTGCTATTTGACCATCACTTTTTTGCTCTTTTCTCCTTTCGCCTTTTAACGTCTCTTCTTTGTGCTCTCTATTGTTTCATTTCTTCTCCACCCAGCCGTTTCTTTTTCATCCCTTTCGATCCTCAATCTTTCTTTATCCCCCCTCTTTACGATCCTACACCCTGCCTTCTTGGGGTTTCGCGAGTTCACTGATCATTACTCTCTCGTCACGTCCACAAACGCACACCAGATGATAAAGATAAATTTGCACATTACTATCAGCATACTATCCGATCTATACAATTCTTTAATATCCATAACGTCTTCACTTTTCCTCCCTCCCTCTCATGTTGGGTATCTTTGATCAACTCGACCTGGCCGCAGCCGCATTCGCCTCTGCAGCTGTCGCCGACGTCTCGCCCGCAGTACCAGCCGCCGCGGCCGCGGTGCCAGTTTCACGCACCCCCGAGGTTCCGTTGGCAGGATGGGCAAGAGGCTCGTGGTCGTGCGCCGACTTGGCTGGCGCGGACATGCCATACCATGCCACGACCATGGTACCTAGGATACCAGTGATGCAGCTAAACACGAAAGCAATGATGCCGCGCGTGGTAAATCTATCTTTGGGTTAGTATCATTCTCCCTTTTCATTCTTGAGTTGTGTTGTCAAAACCTACCCGGCAGGCAAAGGAGCAGGAGGGGTGGGCTGCCCCGTTAGATCCAGCAGATCCTTGGTGTTTGCAGCCGCATTGCCCTGCGTGGCCATGCCCGCGGCGGCGCAGTTGTCGAGGTGGTTCTGAGGAATGGTAAACTGCTTCTGCAGCTCCAGCGGGGCCTCGACAAACGTGGCCAGCAAGCCCAATACGACGTGCCACTCAATGTGGCAGTGGAAGAGCCAGACGCCCGGGTTGTTGGCCTTGAAGCGCAGGACAATGTTGCCTTGGGGCCAGACGACGAGGGTGTCGCGGCGCATGGGCACCTGGCTGAGCTGCGATTCGGTCAGGTTCTCGCTCTCGAAGGTTCCGGCCTCCTCGGCCGAGCGGTGGATGGCCTGGAAGGCGTGGCCGTGGAGGTGGAAAGGGTGGCGGCCCGTGTCGAGGTTGTTGACGACGATCTGGACGATCTCGTCCTTTTCGAGAACAAAAGGGTGTGTGTACTCGCCATAGACGGTGGGGTTCGTGGCCTGCTCGCCGCTGGATAGGACGCTGTAGAGGGACGGAACCTTGGGCGTCTTGTAGGTGATGTTGTTGAAGAAGGCGTAGTTGGCGCCATCGCCGAGGTTGTCCATGATGACGTCGAGCTCGACTGTCTTCTGGGGCTCGGGCAGCAGCTTCATCCCATCATAGGGCTCCAGGGTCATGTCATCGAACGGATCAAATTCTCCGTCGACAATCTTGGCATCCGGCTTGGGCTTACTGTCGTCGTAGCTGAGCCAGCCGGTGGAGTTGTAGTTGAGATCGTCAGGCAGTTGATCAAACAGGGTCTGTCAATGTTAGCCTGCACCTTTCTGCGACTCCTAACAGCACCTGACTTACCGTATCCATTGATGCGACGATGGGAAAGTTGGCAGAGGTATCGTTCTTGGTGGTGAGGAGGAAGCTGACACGCTGGGCAGCAGCGATGTACACCATCTCGGCAGGGGCCGACTTGGTGTAGACGCCGTCTACCTCAACAATCTGCATAGTGTGGTCCTCGATCCAGAGATACTGTCCGGCAAAGGCGCCAATGTTGATGACGCGGAACAGGTACGTCTTGCCGGGCTGGACAGGAAGGGTCATGTTCTGGGTGTCATTCATGAGAGCAGCTTTGGGGACGGGCTCGGCGCCAGTTGGGTTGCCCTTGGAGAGGAAGATGGGGATGAGATCCTGCATCTGATCATGGTACCAGTCGGACAGGGTCAAGACACGCTCCTCGTCGACCTTGTCCTTGTAGGGAAAGTCTTTGTCGTTGACGATCAAGGGCCCGCGCAGGCCGTCAGGGTACTGGGCATTCGAGTGAGAGTGATACCAGTAAGTGCCGGGCTGGTCGACGGTGAAGTTGTAAGTGAAGGAGGAGCCCGGGGGGATGGGGCATTGGGTGACGCCGGCCGGGCCGTCCATGAGGTTGGAGCCGTTCATGTAGAGGCCGTGGAAGTGTAGCGAGGTGCTCTGGTTTCCGAGCTGGTTGTTGACGTTGATGACTAGGCGGTCGCCAACGTCGACCTCGAGGCGCGGGATCGGCCATTGGTTGTTGACGCCAATGACGGGACGAGGCTGGGCACCATCGGGGTTGGCGGTAACCCAGGTGATGTTGAAGTCGTGAGTGACGGTGGCCGCTGAGGCGAGGGCGGCGAGGGCGGCAGCGGCAACGGCCGTCTTGACGAGAGGCGCCATGACGAGCGAGCAGCGCTTGTTTATATGGCTGTATAACTCAATTGGGGAAACGTTGATGAGCAAGTTTAGTTAGCTGTGCTTGCTGAGGTTACAGTAGTAACGAAAGAAGAGACGAGAAGATATCTGCGTCCTTTTGAGAAAGATTTGGGCAGTAGTGTGTTGGAGGGTTGCGACAAACGGGCGGGTTGATGGCCATCTGGGCTGGAGACGAGCAAAGCGCAATCAGTCAGTCATGAATGGGCTGGACTGGGGTGACTTGCAGGCTGTCGGAGCCGCTGCAGGGCCGTCGTAGGCTGCAAGTGCAGAGGCTAGAGCTGCCCGAATGGGGCAAGCAACGGGGCACCCTTTAGCGGACTGGGTCCTCTATTTTAGTGGCGGCGTGGATTGCCAGGGTTCATTTTAAGTGGACACCCAGCTGAAAGTCTCGGCAAGGTCCCTGCAAGTTCGCTAAAGGGTCGCTATAAACGGGAGCAAATGGACAGTGTGCGGATATCGGCTGTTCAAAGCATGATGGACATATATCTCTCCTGAATTATTGATTTCATTTCTTATCGAGGCTGCCAAAATGTCGAACAAGCATACGCAGCAAAGGGAATGGCGCGGCTCGACGTCGACCGACGGGTGGCAGCACTAAGGTACCTAGGGAGATAGTACTCTACAGCTCGGGCTCTGCACGGATTGCATGTCGGGGCGGGGTGGTGTCTACTCAACGTTTCATTCTAGCTTCTGACAAAAACTTTGATATTCCTATTCGCCTGTCTGCTAGCCTGCCTGCCGCCACTGGCCTGCTTGTCGAGGTTACATGGGATCGGCACTTGGCCGCCGCAAAAGACCACTGGTAGTTCGACCGGCTGGACATGTCTCCGCCAGTAAGCCAGGTAAACAAGGGCAAAGAAAGAAGAAAACCAGCACGGGCGCAGGTGACCTGATTTTCGGCGACCATCACCGTACAAATGCAGCTTTTTCGCGCACCTTAAACCGGGTGTAAGTTGGAGCCAGCAACAGTCGGTCGTGGGATTGGGCTTGAACGAGGCGTCGAGGACGAATGGCGATTGGACAAGAGGATCTGATTAGCATGGGGCTGAAAGCGCCACGGCTTTTGTTAGGCGCGGCCACCATCAATCAACTGATTGATATGATCCGTAGATTGGAGAGAAAGAAAAATCTTTCATCGGCATGGGCGAGGAGTTTAGGCCGAGGATATGGTTATTGGCATGGATCGCCCCGTGGTCGGAGCTGACGAGAACAGGGCGAGGGTGGCCTGATGGTGGACGGGCAAACGGATCAGCCAACTAACTAGTCAGTTGATCAAATTTGCCATGCGTTGCTGAAGATGGGAGATGGCGCAGGAATGCGTCTTGCATGCCACCAAGGTGGAACAAGTAATGCAGTGATATGATCATGACAAGGCCTTGTTCGTCCGAACTGATGATGTCTTGGCCAAGATGAATCTGCAGCGGCGGCTTCGTCATGTAACGCTTCATCTCTGTATTACTACCAATCACCCACTGTATTCGGCACTTCGCCGCCTTATGCCCCGCCAAATCGTTCGCCAAGGACCGCTGTAGGCTGCCGGTTCAGATGCAAGGCTGCTTGGCAGAAATCGTCCAAGACAAAAAAAGGGGACCCTGGAGCACATCTCTGGGCATGCATACCAAAACCCGGTATCTTGGTTGAGACAAGTAAACAAAGACAAAGAAGGTTCTCGGAAGAAGACGAAGACGGCGAAAAAGAAGTAGGAGAGGGTCGCATTTACAGGTACTCGGACCTTTTGCCCTTTCTACAGAAACAAAGAGCCCCGAGCACCACCAACCACAGCGGCATAAATCTGCCGGTGGCTGGGGTCTCCTCTTCGAGCTGTCAAACGCTAAAATACTCGCTAATATTGTAGCTACTGGTAACGGGATCAAAAAGATAAAGTGAAACCGAATGGAAAATTTTGGTAAAGACGAGCTAACCGACCACTCACAATCCCCACAAACCCTCCCTCTCTCTTCGTACCGCCGTTACCTTCCTTCCTTGTGAATATTATAATTCAGGTGATAGTCGACATCCACCACCATCCACCACCTCAACAAGCCGTCTCGAGTCCCTTGCCACCTCGCCAAACGCCACCAAACATCAACGCTCGCCCAATTGACATTATCTGATCCGAACCGACCCTCTCGGTTTCCGCATCTTTTCAAGTTCCTCCTCTTCTCGCGCGTTTTCCGAGTCATCGATCCCAGACAAGCAACTCTAACCATACGAGCCACCCCCCCCCTCCCCACCACACAGCTGAAAAGCCATTTCCCCCCCTCTGGGGCTGATACGCTGCTCACTCTCTGCCTGGCCTGTCCTTTGATCAAATTGGTAGTTTCCCCTCTGCCAACTTCCGGCTCTTTTCTTTGAGAATTTCCCTCGTGGCCTGATATTGCCGACCCTGGTGCGAGAGCCGACCCCAATCGTGTTGCAAACGACAACACAAAACCAACCCGCTCTCCGGCCACAACCACCACCGACACTACCTCCCACACCAAGGCACAAGCAAAGTAAACCGCAGCCATGCCCCAAGTCTTTGCCGTCCCCGTCTTCCTCCTCGTCTTTCGCGAGGCCCTCGAGGCCGTCATCATCGTCTCGATTCTGCTCGCCTTTCTGAAGCAGACCCTCGGCGGGCCCGATGGCGATGCTAAGGCTTACAAGAAGCTGCGACGACAGGTGTGTTCCCAATCGCAACCAGGAACAGTGATGGCAATGATCATGCCAAGAAGAAAACCATAGAACGCTCGCCCACTAACACACTTCTTATAGGTCTGGTTAGGCAGTCTCATAGGCTTCTTCATCTGCATGGTCGTCGCAAGCGCCATCATCGGCGTCTTCTACACCGTCGGCCGCTCCTCCTGGTCCCAAAACGGCCTCTACTACGAGGGCGCATTCTGCCTCTTCGGCTCCGTCATCATTACCATCATGGGTGCTGCCCTCCTCCGTGTCACCAAGATGCAGGACAAGTGGCGCCTCAAGCTTGCCAAGGCCGTGGACAACCCCCTCCGCCTCGGCGGCCGCAAGGGTATCGTCAAACGCTTCATGGAGAAGTACGCCATGTTCATGCTCCCCTTTATCACCGTCCTCCGCGAGGGTATTGAGGCTGTCGTCTTCGTCGCCGGCGTCTCCTTCACTGCCCCGGCTACGGCGTTCCCTCTCCCCGTCGTTTGCGGCCTCCTCGTCGGTGGCATCGTCGGTTACATCCTCTACCGGTAAGTCAAGTCCCATTAACTCATATTTCTCCTCTCTAATGGGACAACGTTAGTGGTGGTACTGGCACCAAGCTTCAGCTGTTCCTTGTCGTCTCTACCTGCCTGCTCTACCTTGTCGCCGCCGGTCTCTTCTCCCGTGGCGTCTGGGCCTTCGAGTCGGCCGAGTGGAACAAGGTCGTCGGCGGCGACGCCGCCGAAGTTGGCAACGGACCCGGCTCTTATGATATTGACCGAAGCGTCTGGCACGTCAACGTAAGCTATCTTGCCCATCATCCGCGCCTTTGATTCCACCCCACTTACACCTATTTCCTTTACAGTGCTGCGGCCCAGAAGCGCCTGGCTCCGAGGCTTGGGGTATCCTCAACGCCATCTTTGGCTGGACCAACTCGGCCACCTACGGTTCCGTCATCTCCTACAACATCTATTGGATCTTTGTTATCGCCGCTTTCATCATCATGCGCTTCCACGAGTCCACCGGCCACTACCCCTTCATGAAGGCCAAGGCCAAGACGTCCGACTCGGACAGCGACCACAACAGCACCAGCGCCGACAGCCATGGTGCTGTCGAAAGCAAGGCGCCTGTTCGTGAGAAGACCACGGCTGCTGCTTCTGAGTAGTTTAAAAAAAAGAGAAGTATGGAAGACCTTTTTCGGTCATCAACGGAGGACTAATTTGCCATCTAACGTATATACCAACTGATTTCAATGCATTTGTTAGACGACATGGTCAATTCATGTACTCATTACGCAATGAGGGCTAGTAATATATTTATAAAAGAGTACAGTTTGAATGAGTAAAAAGACCCGAACAAGATGCATACACCAAGGTGCACCTACAGTCTGAACGCCCAAGCGATTCCCTAAAACCCAAGAAACGCCAGTGGATATCCGCCATGCAAGACAATCAGAGCAAAAAGAGGGTACAGTCAAAGCCAATCTGCCCCTCACTATCGCAGCCTGAATTTTGAAAACGAATACTTGCGCATCGAGCTTCCCTCCAGCGCCTCCAGCGACTGTCCCGATGCCTTGCGGTACCACCTCGACCGTGCCGTCGTCGTCGTCGTCGTCGTCGGCGAGGCGCCCTTGTCCCGAGGCGCCGCCGTCTTGACGTAGTTGATGTTGGTCGGCGAGAACCGCGCGTTGACGTCGCTCAGGTCGCACAGCCGCTGCAGGCTCCGGGCGCGGGACTCGGTGAGCAGACAGGTCGTCGTGCCCGAGTCGACGGGCGAGGTAGGCGAGCCGGACGACGACGACGCTGAAGTTGTCGGGCTGAGGTCGACGCTTCGACCGCGGCTGCGCGTCGACGAGGAAGCGGAGGAGGAACTTGTCGGCGCGCCGTCGGCGGGAATGAGGTTGGTGGTGTGCAGCTGGGCGAGCCAGCGGCTTGTCTCGCTGAGGTTGATGTGCAGGGGGGCCATGGTGATGAGTGGGTGGTTGTTGTTGTCGTGTTGTTGTAGCTATTCTCTATAAAGGCGCTTCTCACGGAGAGAAAACTTTCAAAAAAAGGATAAGAATAAGCGAGCTTGGAGTTTTGATAAAAAGCCAATGAATAAAAACAAATAGTAGATAAATGACGGGAGGGGTGATTTGCTGCTTTTGAACTCTTGCACGAATATTCCAAGTTCGGGAAACACCACCCCGTCCCTCCTTCTTTCCTCTCAGTTGTGCTTAACAAAGTGCGCCAGGCGTCGAAAAAAAAAAAGAATTGAGTACAACATGGTCGGTAGCAAGTCAAGGAGAAAACAACCACAAAAAGAAAGGGTTCTTCCCCAGATTCAGGGTGCAAGGCTAGTGGCGCGCGGCTTTCGCAGTTTCGAGGCCAAAGGCATCTCGATGTAGGCGGTGCTGCGATTAGGGTTCAACAAGAGGCTAAAAAGGGAAACACCGGCAACTCCCCTCTTTCTCTCCCTCTCTCTCTTTGCGTTTCGCCAGCCGCTCTGGGCCTAATAACACAACATTGGGTCAGACAACTTGTGCCAAAAAAAAAGAGGACCGGAACGTTCCAACTGGTGAGTCACACAGACAACTTGTTGACCTGTGAGCAAAGTATCACGATGCTTTTACGAGCGGCAGAGTTTCCATAATATAAATAGATGATTGGCGCTATTTGGAGATGAATAATAATCGTGTGACTACTATTTTCTTGATGCCGTTGTTTGTGTTGCTGTACTTTTCACTTTGACTTTCCTGGATGCTATCAATGCCCTTCTAATTATGACGTCTCGACAGCGGCACCTGCCGACTCCCCAGCGGTAAGGCCCTGTCGGATTTTTAAAACGCTGTCAACAATAACTGCATCGATACCTTGCTTTACTTGCCGCTGCATTTCAAAACAGTTAGCAAATTGCATGCTGATAATAATGGCAATTCCCAGAAGCTAGGTAGTGTGGGTACGAACCTCGACCATGATCTCGTCGTTGTTTAATGTGCCGTAGCTTACGCAGACCAAGCCACTCTCCTTGACAACCTTGACCAGACGAGGACTGTTGATGAGCGGCTCTGCGGCGGAGACAATACCCAGCAGGTTCCAGCGGCTGGCGAACCGAATGGCTTCCTGCAGCGATGAGGCACGGATATCTGAGACGGGGCTGCAGCCGGCGTCTGTAAGGAACAGGATGGGGATTGACGGCTGCTTGTAGCTCAAACTTAAGCAAAGGTCGGGGTTGAACGAGCTAAAAATGACGTGTCGCTCGCCTGCGAGGTCGTAGACTTTGGAAAGCACAGTGTCGCAGAAAGAGTTGAGCTCGACAGCGTACGTGTCCATGTCATGCTCCTCCGTTTCGTGCAGCATCGGGTACTTCATCTCAATGTTGAAGCCAGTGTCTGCTGGAAGCTTGCGGAATAGATCCTCCAAAGTCGCAAAGGGCGCCTGGATAAAGTTACCCCGCGAGTTCGCCTTGAAGCCCTTCTCCTTGAAGTCGCGCGTGTGCTTCATGCGCTCATCCATTTCGCCAGAGCCGGAACCGGTCCCAGCAAAGCCCATCGAGTGTGAGCGTTTTGGTGCAAAACTGCTACTACGAGCACGAGAGCCAGATCCATAAGAATCAGCGTGTTTGGCCCTCTCGTCGGTGCGATGGCGCTTCTCAGGGTTAATGTGCAAAAATTGCTCCAGGGTGAGCGTGTGCACGGGCGCGTCGATACCCGTCTCGCTGACGAGAAAATCATGGTAAATGACGGGGACGTGGTCCTTGGTGAGTTGCACGTCGAATTCAACGTAGTGGGCTCCCAAGTTGGCTGCGGCGATGAATGAAGGAATGGTATTCTCGCCAAGCTGCAGAGATTTGTTGGAGCTGGCATTCTTTCCCAGGCCACGATGGCCGATGAGCATGGTCGTCTCGAGCTTCTTCCAGTACGTTTGACGGGAGGTAATCTCCATATTTGGGTGGTGGAAAGGCGTAATGACGTGAAAGTGAAAGTTGACAGTGCCAATGATGTCAAAGCTGCTAGACATAATGGGAACGCAAACATCACCTTGCAGGTTCATGCGACTAGAGCCCATAGTGGGTTTGACCGACGAAAGAAGCGCCACGGCACGCCCAACCTTGGCCTTTTGGTTGCCGGAATACGTGGGCACAATATCGAACATGAGTTTCACCTTTTCGGCATTTCCTGTGGTAAAGACAACAGGTTCAGTGGCAATACCATCATGTACAGGCAAATCAATAATGGTAGGTTCGCCGACGGCTCCGGCGGCAGAAACAACGACCGATAGTGCTGTGTCGAGTTGCGTGCTATGCGCCTCGGTGAGCGGGATGCTGTCGAGGTTGACCGCCTCTGTCGTCTTGCGTATATCCATGGAACCGAGGTTCACCAAGACCAGGCTCTCATTGCGGAGGTAACGATGGCCAAAAGTCTTGACGGAATCTACAGGGCGAGTCTGGCAGCTCGTGACAGTTCCATTTGACCGACGGCCGTCGAGCGAGGACGCCTCTGGGGGACTTGCTGACAGCCCTTGCTCAGCCAGACGCTTAGGCGCTTCCTCAGTTTCCTCGTCCGTATAAGAGCCAAGGAGTCGCGCAATATCCATGTGTCCGCGAAGAGAGGCGTGCTCCTTTGCGGTCCAGCCTGAAGCATCAGGGTTGGAGAGCTGTGCGCCACCTTCTATGAGGAGTTGTACAACGTCGAGCGAGCCGTCCACGGCAGCGACATGTAGCGGTGCCCAAGAGTAAGAGTTCTCAGTCAGCTCCATATCAGCCTTTTGAGCATCTGTTCCCTTAAGAATCACTTCGGCACATTCGCGGTGATTGAAGCGAGCAGCAACGTGGAGAGCTGTCTCGCCAGTCTTGTCGCGCCAGTTGATGTCGACACCAGCCTCAAGAAGCATCTGCACAATGACCCAGTAATTGGCTTTGGTCGCGAGAGCAAGAACGGCACCAGATTTGCCAACTTGCTTTCGTAACTCAGGCTTCGCATCGCTGCTGCCTTGCCAGTTTTCACCCTGCAAAAGCGCCTTGGTAGTGAGAGGATGACCGCCAATGACACTTAGATGCAGGGGCGCGTAGCCCTCACTATCCTGCCATGCGGGAGCGTCGATACCATCACCAACGTCAAACTGGTTCCATTGTTGCATGCGGGCCATGAGGACCTGGCAAAGCACAACAAAGCCTGCCTGTGCGGCATAGTGCAGAGGCATACGACCGAACGAGTCCCGCGTGCGCAGAGAAATACGCTGTTCGGGTTTGAGACTGTCGAGGAGGAAGAGTAGCAGCTGAACAGTGTCATCATCCTTGTTTAGAAGCTGCGATTCCTTGGTGTTGATGGCCTTGATGGGAACAGCGGCCGACACGGCAGGCTGCAGGTGGCGTGTAGAGAACTGCGTACCAGCGGGGACAGGTCGATCGTCGATATTGGCTGCGGATTTTGTTCGGCCAATGTGAATGATCAGGCGGTGAATACAGTTGCGGCCGTTGATGTCGTCGGGTTCGTCCAGGTGCTTGATGAGGCCCAACAACAGCACGATGCATTTCTTGGACCGAGCAGAGATGGATCTTTGGAGCAAGTTAAGTAACAATGTTTGCGAGGCAGGTTCAGAAGGAGTGACAGTATTATGGATGGCCTCGTTGAGGCTCTTTTTGTCATCAGCGCGCACCGCCAGGTCAAGGATATCGAGCTGTGCCTGGGGCAGGTTTAGCATCGCCTTGGTGGAAGCACGACCGAGGGAACGGGTGGAACGATCCGACTTGGCATCGTCTACGTTTTGGGCATCGCTCAGGGCAGAGAGCCAGCGATTGATCTCGACGAGGAGGCGGGAGCTGCCACCGTCCTTGGCAAAGGGCTTGGTGTCGACCTTTGCGGAAATGTAGCTGTGCTGGGCGGCGATGCCGGGAACCTTCTTGTCGAGCTTCTTGGTGATCTTGACGAAGCCGCGGCGGTTGATCTCACCGAACCATTGGATATTGCGTAGAAGGGTGCGGAGCTCAAGGAGCGCGCCCATGACTTCTTCCACCTCATCATCGTCGAGGGTGGCGACAACATCGGGCATGCGGCCGTAGCGGTCTTGGAGGAGATTGAGGCGGCGACAGGCTTCAGCGTATTTCTTGTTGTAAAAGGAGTCGACGTCTTCGAGATTGCGATCCAGGGCGAAGAAGAGCTCTGTAGAAGAAAGAATCACGTTAGGTCACGCGGGGGGGGTATGGGACGAGCGTCGTCCCCCCCTTCGTCGAGCAAAGACAACATCAGATGCGTTTTTAAGGACGAGGCCGCCCACCTGCAGGATCTACCGTGGTTCCTTCCTTTGCCTTTTCGGACGCAGCTTTCACGAGCTTCTTGAGACCCTTGTAGTTGATGTATGAGGCTGCCCACTCGGGGACTTGATTGCGCGGGAGGCTTTGGAGGGTGGCTTTGTTAGTGCTTGGCCGGGGGGGGGATGAACGGAAAGAGCTCGTGACAGATTTTGTGCTGGACTTACTTTCGCCCGAACTTCATGGTAAAGATGGGAACGTTGTAGCAAAGCTTATTGGCGTTAATTCATTCGCAAACTTGGGGCGGGGCGTGAGTAGCGAGGCTTTCGCAAGCGCAGCGACTGGTTCTCAGGTTGAAGGAGCTATAGCGACATGTATGACCGAGGGGTCTGCCTGGTAGATGTCCAGAAGAGATGGCAAGAAGACCGGGCAGACGAGCAATAACAAGTCAAGAAGAGACAACAAGAAAGGCGATGTCCCGCGTGACCACAATAGCTATCGCAGGGTTGGGTCGGGCCATGCAAGGACGTGCAAGGTTCCAGCTCTTTGAGGATAGCCACGGGTCGTAAGCGAGGGGAATCCTGGAGGTATGACCGCGTACCGGGATTGCTGTGCAGGTCGCAGAGTATGTATTCGGATGAAAGGCGTTTTTGAGCTTGGGACTTGAGATCATCCGCAGCTTCAATGCAGTCGGAGAGGGTCAGGCATGCAGCGAGCAGCGACCGACCGATGCTGTGATGCAGGACCCAGCCAGATAGATGTAAGCTGTGTCTCAGAAGCGCGTGAGCTGCCGGCTTGCGGTGGCTCGCCGGCTGAGCGTCTGTGAGGTGTTCCGGTATACCCCCACTGAGACAGGGCAAATGATGAAGAAAGGCCAACGGGCAATACGAGTAGCCGCGCCGTGGAGTTGAGTTGGAAGGGGAAAAGGAAAAAAAAAAAACAGGGCCGTTTGTCCTTCGAGGATCTCTAACGGACGGTTACCCAGAAAGCCCTTTTTTTTGCGCCACAATGTTGTGGCACCACCACTTTCGTTTCTGACCAACTCCACAAGTTTCTCTCTCCGCAAACTGTAGTGAGTGTTGGCAGGTCTCACACGCAAGGATGGAGAGAAACAAGTGAGAAATAAAAGGCTCCGAGGGGCTGGGGAAGAAGAAGGGAGGTCTTCGAGGCGACAGATCGTCGTCTACGGTAGTACAAATGACCAATTGCCAGATCAGAGCCAGCTATTGCCCCATCTCCTGGCGTCACCGGTGTCTATTATCTCTCCTCAGTGGGCGCCATCTAAAGCCCAAGTTACACAGCCAGGAGCCGTGGAAAGCCAAGCCCGGACAGACAGCAAGAGTCATTTTTACTCCGGCCATCGCTTGCTATCCGTCCCGTCTTGCAGCCTCTTTGCCTTGTACACAGCATCAAGGTCGCAGGCCACGTAGTGCCCGCTCCTCGACACCGTGCCTTTTTCCCGCGCAGTGACTGGTCCGCGCCTGGAATCTACGTCACCCGGCGCATTATCTATCTGGAACTCGCCCAAACACTAAATTGGTGCTGCCTTTGTTCACTCGTTACGTTCACGTCAAATGCTACCTCAAGTGTACCTATTTTATTAGCGACTTTATTGGCGCTGGTGCTACACCCTAACTATGTCACATAGGTGCCTCCTCGTCAACCATTCCGGCCCAACAAGAAGCAAGAAAGAGAGAAAGAAAGAAAGGAAGAAAAGTGTGCTCGCTAAATTGGTGATATAATACACAATGTCGGTATAATGTAACTAGACCTTCTTACCCAATGCCAAATCCAGCATGCTCTGCTATGGGACGCGGCCGCACAACCAACTGTCTGTTCCAAAGCGCTGGTAATTCGCGATCAATAGCCACAACCTGCGCTTCAGCGATCCTCTGCCCGTAATGCATCGTCACTTGCTCAACAGTCTTCGTTGCCGATTGCACTGGAACAGCCTTCTCGATTGCTTGTTCTCGAATTGGCATCAGCTTAGAAAACTCTTGGCTCAGCACCTCCGATCGTTTGAAAGCTGACTCGCCAATGTGAATAGCACATTCCTCGCGGAATTCCTGGCAATGATCGGCGTTCAGCAGTTTGCTTTCAATCGCTGTTGTTACCTTCCGCACTTTGACGTATTCCTTCCAAAGGCTTTCCAGTTGCAGCATTCTGCTCTTGGTTGGGTCGTGCCTGTGCATGAAGCTGCTAGGCTCCAGAAGAATGCCCGTGCTGGCCAGAGTGTTGATCAAGCGAGCCAATCCGTCCTGCGATATTTGCAGACGGTTGGCAGTACATGATAATTCTTGGTCGTGTATACTAATTCCGCAAAGATCTAACAGCTGATGCACGCGATTGACCAGATGCAGTCCATCCTCGCCACTCTCAACCATCATGGCTCGCCACTGTTGGCCAAATGCGCTCATACCACGGACCAACTGCACACTCGCCGACCAATCCAAGGCAGAGACGCATTCGTCCAGTAGCTGCCGAATCACCTTGCTTCCCAGCGTGATGCCGGACTTGAGACAACTAACGAATAGCAGAGCTGCCTGCTCAAACAGCTTGAAGCGCAGAAGCCCCCGCATCATCTCTTCAACCAGTTCTTGGCTAAGCGGCAAATGCTCCATGATATATTCGCCCGTTATCGTTTTTGATGCTCGATCCGTCATTGCCCATCGTTTCTCGAAATTGCGCTGCAATGAGTCCAGATGCCTTCGTCGCACTTTGGCACCAACTTTATCGTCCAAGCCTGTTATCCGCGCCACATTGAGCAAAAATTGCCCTGGCGCATTCGTGAGTTTGTTGTGATTGAGGATAGCAACAAAAGTTGATTTAGTAGGTTGGATGTACCGTCCGTAGAAGAAGGAGTAGATGACATAATCTGATAATGTGGACAGTCCGTATTTGTCAAATCCCGCAATCAAGGTGTTGTAAGTGTGGATGTCTGGTACGTGTGATGATATCATCATGTTGTAACAGAGTCGACCAATTTTCTCTTTCGGCGACATAGGGGCTGCAAGAATTTTGCGCAGACTCTCGTTCAGCTGTTGCGTCATATTTCGCGCAGCCACGGGATCCAGCGATCTGAAAGTATAGCCGGCGTGGTTGTTACGAAGGAGATCTCTCGCCTGCTTGTAGCTCTTGCTTTCATTGCTTGTTCGGTCGATCCGATCGGCTTCCTTGAGCAGAGCCTTGACTAAACTCAGGAATCGCGAGGTTTCGTGTCGGAGGTGCGTCTCGGTGCGTGCTACCAAAGCTGTGCAATGTTCACTTTCGTTCATGATTGCATGCTCCAGTGCTGTGTAGTCAATTTGTTGTCCTTTCCGAAGCAGTGATTGGCTTGTACAATCGTAGTAATCCTTGCTTAGACATTCCGTGACATTTGACGCGGCAATGGTCGCCGGAAATCGGATATTCTTTCTGTATGGGCGTTCGTTGTATATTTGCTTCATGGCTTTCCACAGTATGTCCATCTGCTTGGCGGTGAGGCCATCCGGATTGGTGCCGTGGAGTGAGGGTAGACGTTTGCCCTGCTCCTTGAGCTCGGCAAGCTCTTGCTTCGCATCCTCCAATTGCTTATCCAATTCCTTTCGTCTTTCGTCCTTGCGTATCGAATCGATAATAGCGGCGGATGCAAACATGGAGCTGTAGCATGCTGTAAAGATTTCGGCAAAGGTTGCCTTGCGGCGACTGGCGGCTGCGGTTGTCCTTCGGCCCAGTGCATTCACCGCAGTGCTGCATGCGCGGCAGCCACACCGGTGAGCCTGGCTGGCTCTATTCCATAATGACTGCATTGAAGCTGCATGGTACGCCGAATTGGCTGGCCTAAGATGCTGAGACCACTGCACAACGTTTTCTCACTTGGCAAAATAGATGGACCGAGGAAAGCTTCCAAAATGGCGTGAGGTCAGGCGCTGAGTCATGTGACTTTATGAGGTACAAGGTACTTTGGTCAACCCCACCGCGGTGGCCTGAAGGACTCCAATTGGAGCTGATTATCGGTCTGAAATGCATTTCGTACAGAGCAGATTTCCTCAGAAGAAAAACATTTCAAGGTGCAAATATACGAGAATATTTCGGTTTCTCATCATGTTTACGTTGCTCCTTACTGCAGAGCTCTCGGGGTAAGTTGGAAACCCCGGCGTTCAAGGTACTGTCATCTTACTTACATATCAAAGCGTCACAAACCTGCGTCCTCTTGACACGGCGGAGAACCCGTTCTGGTATATGTTCAAGGTCCAGTGCACTTCGTGCCGGGAGATTCATAATAACTATGTCGGTGTCAATCGATTCGTAAGCTCGCCAACAGATTGTCAATCTCGATAGCACCTAGCTGATGTGGGACTAGGAAACGAACGAAATGAGTGGCAGCCGTGGGCAGGCCAATTTTGTATGGAGATGCAAGAACTGCAAGGTAAGATCTCGAAGCCAAATTCTTAACACTTCACTAATTCATGATTAGAGAGAGAGCACCGCCACTGTCAAAGCTGCTGCGACCCCTTACCAGCAGCAAGAACCTGCCAAGGCACAGAAGATCATCGAGTTTGACTGCCGAGGTCTTGAGTTTACAGAGTTCAAAGCAGAGGTGAGAAAATCCACCAGAATTACGAATTACATAATCTTTTAGACTATTTACTGATCCCATCACAGGGCGAGTGGCTGGCTGATGGTATCGAGTCGGGATCTAAGTTCAGTGGGATCGAGCTCATCGACGCAGAGTGGTACGACTACGACGAAAAGGCAGGAGAAGAGGTCAGCATCAAGGACATTATGTGGGAAATCCGCAGGTCATAGAAATTCCCCCCATTCATTGTTAGCATGTCGAGGAGTTATTTGGCAATGGAGGGCCGGTGCAAGGGAGGCGTTGAATAAGACCGTTGATAAACTCACCCCACCCTGACTGCGCCCACTCCTAATTTTCTGTAGCCTCGAAAAACTTCCCCTGTAAATTCTCCGTATTCAAACCTCAAGCCTTGCTTTGGGAGTGTCAACATGGCAGCAGCGACAGGGCATATCTTGAAGACGACTTTCCTCTCTGATGCCGCTCACCTCTTACGGGATTCCGCGCCGGAGACTTCCGCGTACCTGATGAGCGAATGCGCCCATCATCTTTCCAGGCAAGGCTCGTCTATCTCCGACGTTTATCGACAACACATCTGCACGGCTTGCGGCCATATTATGATTCCAGGGCATGCGACAGAATTAAAACTGGAAGCCCGGAAATTGTCCTGCAAGAAGAGCACGTCTCGTAAAGAAGAGTCAGCCGCCTCATCGGCAGGTCCATGCAAGACCCTGACTTGCGGCCATTGCAAAAGCATTACAAGAATCAGGCTGCCCATGCCCGAAAAAGCGATACGCCGCAAGGCACCCAGAAAGACGACAGAATTCATTTCCGAGGTGGAAATCGAGAAAGAAAAGCCTACTGCAAATGCTAGCAGTAAGAAGCGCGCAAAGAACCGCAAAGCAGGGCTGCAGGCGTTATTGTCCTCGCAGCAGAAACCTCCGAGCGGGCTGAGCTTGGCCAGTTTTATGAAGTGACGGCATCTACAGTTTCAAATCTTTTTTTAGCCCTGAACAGTTTTATCTGCTTTGCGAGGCTCAAACCTCGCCTCCTCTACCGCAATGGCAGCCGAATGTTCTAGGTGCAACCAGCTGCAAAAACTCTGGGGTCCAGCGCCACCATGACATAACCCGCGCCGCCAAAATCTGCCCCTCCAAAAAAAATTCAGAGCCCCTCCATCGCCAACCCGTCAGTTGCGATATCAGCACTCCGATAATACAAACAGCTTCCAAACTTGCAGAAGACGTGAAAATGGCCACGGAAGAGCAAAAGGTTCAGGACTCGCCCGAGTTCTTCCAGTCCATCGGTTCCAAGGTTGAGAACCTTGCACCCAAGGCAAATGGCGAGCCGGACGAGGACGACGACTTCAGGCCCGTCGACGAAATTGAATCGCTGTGCATGAACTGCCACGAAAACGTGAGTTTTACGCCCGAAATTTTCTGAAAAAAATACTCATAACCTGCCAGGGCATCACGAAAATTCTACTTACCTCGATCCCCTACTTTCGCGAAGTTGTGATCATGTCCTTTTGCTGCGAGCACTGCGGTCTTCAGAACAACGAGATTCAACCGGCCGGCACGATCCAGCCCAAAGGCACACATTACGAACTACGACTGACAGACCTTGCCGACTTTAGCCGCCAGGTCATCAAGGCCGACTCCGCCGTTGTCAAATTCATCGAACTCGATCTCGAGATTCCTTCCGGTCGCGGCCAGCTCACCAACGTCGAGGGTCTGCTCACCACTGTCCTTGAGGATCTCGAGCTTGGCCAGGAGGCACGCAAGGAGCAGGTACCAGAGGTGCATAAAAAAATTGCCGAAATTATAGCCAAGGGCCGCGCCATGCTCGTAGGCGAGTCCTTTCCCTTCCGCGTTTATGTCGACGACCCCGCTGGCAATTCGTTCATTGCGCCCGATCTCAAGGACGGTGTCGGCAAGTGGGAGAAGCGCGAATACCCTCGCACCTCTGAACAGAACGCTGCTCTTGGCCTCGCCGATAGCGATGTCAACGCCGCCATTGCCGCCAAGGAGGCCGGCTCCGGCAGCGGTGGCTACCCCGGCCTGACTTCTGAGGGCGAGATTATCCCCGACGAAGTCTACGATTTCCCCGCGACTTGCCCCGGATGCATGCACGCCTGCGTCACCCACATGAAGATGGTTGATATCCCCCACTTCAAGCAGGTTGTCCTCATGTCTACCGTCTGTGGCGACTGCGGTTACCGCTCCAACGACGTCAAGACTGGCGGCGAGATTCCCGAGCAAGGCGAGGTCATCACCCTCACCGTCGAAGACAACTTTGATCTCGCGCGCGACATCCTCAAGAGCGAAACCTGCGGCCTCGAGTGCCCCGAGCTGCAGCTGCAGGTCAACCCCGGCACCCTCGGCGGCCGCTTCACCACCGTCGAAGGCCTCCTGACGCAGGTCCGCAACGACCTCCACGGCCAGATCTTCGAGGCCGACGGCCATAACGGCCAACGGGGCGGCGACTCCCTCAGCTCCTCGGACCGCACACAGTGGGACGCCTTCTTCGAGGGCATCGACGCCGCCATCGCCGGCGACAAGAAGTTCACCGTCGTCCTCACCGACCCCTTCGCCAGCAGCTACGTCCAGGCCCTGGTCGACCCGCCTGCTCCAGACCCCAAGATCGCGCGCATCAAGTACGAGCGCACGGCGGAGGAGGAGGAGGAGCTGGGCCTGAACGACATGAAGGTCGAAGGGTACGAGGAGACGGAGCAAAACGGCGTCAACGGCGAGGCCCACGAATAACTGCGGTCTCTCCAAGGGCTCAGACTATATGAAATGATGAATGATGTGGAGAAAAAAAATGGTGATGGTTGGAAGTGGGCATTTTCTGTAAATATCCTGGCGAGGCGTTGATATATAGAGGCGTGAAATGTTGGGTCATCAGCTGGTATCACGAGCATAAGAACACATATGATGAATATTACAGTCTTCCTAAATTAAAAGACTAGCCCAAGCTGACTCCCTTCGTGAATCATTGCAGTTTTGAAACAGCAACCGAAAAGCTACTTATTCAACAATGAGGAAACAAAACTATCACGGCCCCGCGGCCGTTTGAGTATCTATGCAAGCAAAAAGCACATTCTTCTCGCTCGTCCAACGCAAATCGACAGTAAATTCAACAACAGGCCATTCTTAAATGAAAGAAGATTTATCGGTTGCAGCAACACAAGTCTCTCTCTCGGCTGTAGCTTCTTGGCACTCTCTCCGGCGCTGTTCGCTTGCAAGGGGTTTTGAAACGCCGCCCAGGCCGCCAAAGCAAAGATAAAAATAGAGAAGAAAAAAAAAAGAAGAAAGACAACATAAAACAGGCAAGTCAAAGCTTGCGTTATCTCAAGTTTTAAAATGACAAAGGAGAGATGAAGATCAACCCAATAATAGAAGAGGCGAAACTTGCTTGACAAAAAAGCAAATAGGGAGAAGAAATAGCAACGACGCCAAGATATGATGGGGTGTCTCATGCAAAATGTCGCTGAATTCGACCAAAGATGAACACAAAAAGCAATCCCTCAACTTTTGCTCACCAACCCCGTAAACTCCCCTTTTGTATTTCTCGCTCTGTTTTAGAAAAAGGAGGGCTTGGTGAGCACGCGGTACTCGACGTAGTCTTCTCCGTCAATCGTGATGATGGTGCCCTGTGAAACGAGCTTGCCCATAAACGGGCCGGTCGGCTTGCGCTCGTACTTGACGCCATCGTAAATCTTGGCGTCCTCGGAGCCGACGCGCAGGCGAAGCGACTCCTGGCGGGCCCAGACGCGATTGAGGCGCTCAATGTCTTCCGACTCGTGGAACAGCGGACGGCCTCCACCATTACTGCCGTTGGTCGTGGGCGGGCTCGGTACCGTGGAGCCTGCAGCGACGGCAGCCATGGCAGCTGCCGCGTCGGCCGCTTGAGCCGCGCGCTCGCGGTGCACGGCGTGGCGGTCGGCGCGACCCTGGGCGGCCTCGACGCGTGCAATTTCGCGCTGGGCGAGAGCGTTGGTGCGCTCAATGGGGCCACTGCCGCCCGGCATGCCACTGCGCGTGGCGGCGTTGGCGAGAAGGCCTCCACCGGCGGCGCTGGCGGCTTCAATATCCCCGAGGGAGTGACGGGTGGCGGGCCTCAAGTCGGGGCGGCGAAGTTGACGCAGCTCGTGGCCGCCTGAAAGCCGACCGCCGCCCCCAATCGAATCCGAAACGTCAAAGTCGTCGCTGCCGGGGCGTCGCAGCAGCGACGGCGGCTGAGTAGGATAAGTCTTAGCCAGGCTCTGCAGGTGCGGGAGGAAGGTGGTGGCGCGGGCGCGGGCGTCCTCGGCGGCGCGAATCTCGTTGGCTCGGCGCTCGCCAGTCGCCTCGCCGCGGTCCAGCTGGTACTGGCGGATTCGGCAGTACTCCTTGATCTCGGGTCTACTCAAAGTCTTGATGTGCGGTTCAAATTCGACTTCATCGTAGTGGATCCAGAGCGCGCCGGCGCCCACGGGGAAGTTCCCGTCGACGTAGCGGCCGTCACGGGTCTCACGCACCACCTTGACGCGGAACATGTCGTTTTGTCCGAGGATGCCGTAGACGGCATGGCGGTCGCGAGGGCTCTCTTCGCTGGAGCCCCGCCAAAAGCCGAGCACGATCCGGGTTGGGCGCGTCCCGTGCAGAGGGTCGAGGGTGAGTGAGTGGTCGGAGGAGGGTTCCTCGTGATGCGGCGCAATGGCAACGAACGAAGTGCTAGTTCGTCGTCGTTTGGCATCTATCACCGCCGCGGCACCGTTTGCGCCGAGCGGGAGGGCACCATGGGCGACCAAGGGAGCCACGGCAGGGTTTTCTATTTGAAGGAGCTCGCGTCCTCTGATGGTTGCCGCTTTGACGGTTTCTGCCTCCGCGGCCACGCGATCTTCTTCTTCATTGCCCTCAGCGGCGGCAGCTCGCATGCGAACGTATTCCTTTACTTGGAAATGGTCGAGACCGACCAGGTGGTCGGAGAAGTAAATGCGATCAAAGGTAACCCAGCTGCCACCTGGCCCAGGTGGAAGCGGGTATTCGGCGGCAATGGTCCCTCCATCCTTACTCATGGGTTGAATGCGAGTGCGTAACCTGTCACGGACGTCGATGAAGCCAATGACGCCATGCTTGTTCTCGAATTCCGGAACCGGGGAATCCCTCCAATGTCCAAGCAAGACTCCCTTGACACCGCCGAGAGCGTTGCGAGGCCTAGCCTTGTTGGAGGTGCTGGGGAGAGCTGTGCGTTCAGGGCGCTCTGGGCGGATTGATGTAGGAATCTCAATCTTGCTCTCACTGAGGTCGTTGAAAATCGAGGTGCGCTTTCTCTTAGGGTAGTGAGATGCCGTGGGTTCCCCATCAACATCTGCCATGGCCTCGTCTCCGTCGTCGACAGGCTCTGCTGAAGGCCCGTTTTCCTTGGTTTCGACAATTATTTCCTCCTCGAGCTCAGCCGCACGCGGTGGTGTCCGGACAGTGCTGTCTGGATCGCTGAGCTCACTATCTTGCTCGTTGTCCAGACTAGCTGGCCGATCAGCCAGAGGACTGGAGGTCATGTTAGCTTTGTGGTTGGTTTTCGGCAGCGACACGAAGAAACTGGATGTTTCGCTGGTTTGAATAAAAAGTAAAGCTTAGGAGAAATTCCCGTGATGAAGAATAAATTTGTTGGCAGTGTTGGCAGTGTTGGAACAAAAGACAAGTTGTAGCCAGGCTGATAAGGGGGGTATATAATAAGCCACTAGGCTTAGACTGTCATCCACCAGAGAAGACGTGGCCGAGTCAAACTAGACAGAGAACCAGTCAAGGATATTTTCGATTGAGAAGGGCAGATGGTATCACGTCGGATTTCAGGTTTGCCAAGAACCGAAGGATGACGAGGCGTTTGTTTGAAGGCCCTGGGGCCAGGCAGTGTTATGGAGGCCTGCGAAGGAGAACAGGGGCGAGAGACGCAGCGGGTGGCTTGAGACGATCGAAAGAATCAAGATGTGCCATTAAGATGTGCCATCAAGATGTGCCAAGACGGCCAAAGACAAAAAAAAAGCTGGTCAGGAAGAGACAGAAACAAGGTTGTACGGCTGTGCAAGTATGCATATAGGATACACACTCGCCCGTGCGCCCGGCAAAAACTCACGTTACATAGATCATGTATCCGTATACAACGCGCAACCGTGTTTCATCGAATCCAGTGTACAGAGGGCATTGGGGCGCAAGGAATGACGGAGAGGAAAAACACGTTTTGAAATGAGGAAAGAGGGGGGTAGTGCAGTCGCTTCGATAAAAGTGATGTTGATGATGACAAGTCCACGGGCCTGGCTGGTCGGTAGCACCAGTTTGTCTTGCTTGGGCCGAGTTGCAGGTTGTGTAGAAGGTGTAGGTAGGCAGTCACGAGATTTCTGCACCAGCCAGAGAGAAGCCTGTTTGTAACCAGAAAAGAGCAGCAAACGCCACGGGGACAATGGGAAAAAAGAAAAGAAGAAGAAATTCGAGAAATTCGAGAAATTCAAGGTGCACGAAGGAATGAAATCAAAGAAGAAAAAAAGACAAATAAAGGAAAAACACGTTCACTCACCCGGGTCGCGTTTCCACACTAGGTTCATCGGATACTGGCGTTGGCATGTGGCCTGCTTCTGAAGGCGCCGCCGCTGCAGGCGTTTGTTGCACTACAGTCTCTGCCTGTGGTTCGTCGCGTTCGTCGCCGGGCGCTGATTGAGAGGGCCTCTCGACAGGAGACGGTGCCTCTGCTCGGCGAATCGTCATTTCTGTAGACTGTGGTCTGGGCACTGCTGCTGCCGCGTCGGGAGCAGGCACTTCCACCTCTGTAACGGCCACGTCGGCCATCTTGCAACTCTGCCGTCCTGGTCGTCGCTTCGCAGTCAATGATGTTGAGGTGAGATATCTTGGTACCGGAACTCGCGGCGTTGATGCGCCAAAAGGTAGACGTTTGCCCAATATGCAAAATGAAAGGAAGCGATCGTTGGGTGACGACCCTTTGCAACAAAGAGATTCAGGCTGATGAAAGGTCGTTCAAGAGAACACGTGAAGAGTCACGATTTCAGCTCAAGCCGTTGCAGGCTGTCGGCTCATATGGCGTGATATGAGAATGGTAAAATAGTAAGATGTCTGGCCCGCCAATCAAGGCAAAATGATTGTGCAAGTATGAAGTGGAAGGGTGATGCCACCCAGTACCAGGTACGGTGACAAGACGAAATGAATTCGAAAAGGGCGTCAAGCGAGACAAGATTAAAAAGTCCCCGACGCCACTCTCGTAAAAAATTCAAAGTGACAGAGAGAGAGAGAGACGGAAGGCCGTTCAGCTTTTCAGTTGGAGGGGGCAAGGTAAGAGGGAAATCAAGTTGGCAAGAAGGTTCAAGGATGCGAGGACATGGCCAAAAATACACAAAAAAGGACTAATAATACGTACTCACTTCTATAGATGACAAGAATGGCGGACACGGGACGAAACCGAGTAACTAACCAGTCACAGCTCACTGGTGACTTTGTGCGCCACAAGGATACACACGCACACACATGCACACACACACACACACACACGCACATAACACAAAGGAGGGGAGAGGATGGATGGCTGAAAGATGGAGGGATGGATGGATGGGCTGAGCTGGGCTGGGATATAGGTAAGGCTTTGAGTCGCCCAGGGTATGTAGGGGAATCAAGTATAGGAGGCCGGCTTGTGCGAGCCTGGAGGGAAGGAAGGAAGGAAGGCAGGGAAAAAGTGCTCGAAAATGACAGCCCCAGTTGAACAAGTAAAATACATTGCCCAAGTGCGGGAATCGGTAACTAGTTACCTTCTCACGCCCCTTGTGCGGTCCGTTCCGTCCGCCTCGTAATAGCGACAAGTCAACTTGGCGGTGGGAAAGCCAAATGAAACCAAAAGGGCCCAACGTGGCCCAGACAAGACAAGACAGACAACAAGGCAGGCAAAACGACCCGGACAAATGACTTGGTGGCGCCTGATGAGCGGGGACAGCAATGCAGAGAGAAGAGTCAAGTACTGCAAGTACCTGGGGTGGTACCTACTTGCCTTTATTAATCAAAGTCTTGATACAACTAGAAAACTATAGAGACGCAGCGTGGCCGAGGAGGGGTTGCCATTCTCTGAAAGATGCGTCGAGCCGTCAATGCCTTGAACTTGGTCATTCGTAGCTCTACTATCGGGCTGCAAGGAAATACTAACTATTCAATTGCAACAAGTTCTCTCAGTGTCTGGGAATAACATCAGTTCCAACAGCAAGTAAGCAGGTTTTGTGGGCTCAAGCCAAGGACCCAACCGACTTGCATACAGTTGCTTTGTGGCGCCGGCTGCACCAAGTACGAAATAGAGGCAAGAAACTCACTCTTCTTGGTTCCGAGAATAATCAGCGTTGCTAAAAACAACTGACTAGCAGGGATTACACTCAAGTTAAACTAACTGGACGATAGTTGGGATGGACGACTAGTCAACTTTAAATAACCAAACAACCTACTGTACATAAACCCCGAGCCAGCCTGCTGCCGCGTAGAACTAACAGCACCACTCTTGGGGGGTTCTCTTGCGTGGGGGAGCACAGCTCTCTGAAATTCACACCTTATGGACTAGCTACGGAACCGTACCTATGTATGTATATATGTACATATGTGCCTATCCGTAAATTTGCAGTTACTGACGTGCAGGTGCTAATTATCGGCAGGGTAAGGAGTATTCTCTACAGTGCACAGACACTGTACATGTACCGGACGCTGCGACTACAACAGAACAACACAGAATGGACGAGCCCTGTCCCACAGGTATCAAGTAGGTATGTATGTAAGAATACAATAACTGGCGGTCGGCCCCCTACCTGCCTGCTTGTCTGTACATACATTGTACATGAAATCCGAAACGATTGGCCGCCTATTGCGGCGGAATGAATCGCATTGTTCGCGACTCTTCACCCCAGTCAACTGGGGAAAAAATGGCTAGGATAAAACAGCTCATGGCCGATCTGGCGGTGATGCAAATCAACGACTACTTCCGGACAAACGCCGGCGCGACACAAAAACAGCGCGATGAGTAGGCGGCTGAGCAGATCAAACAGCAGTTGGCAATTCACCCTTCACAGAAGTTGACCGTCCGCCCTACGCTCGTCCAAGGCGCCGGGAGCTATGTACACCGTCGAGGCCGATGGCGCACCGCTCGTCGTCCAGTCTCGCTCTCCCGAGAATGCCCTGGACATCGAGCTGATCCGGCATGCCCAGACTGCCTACGGGTCTCGCTTCGTACCCTGCCCTCGCTACCTGGGCAGCCTAGCCAAGCTGTACGCTTACAGCATGGACAATGTACGTATGTATGCAGGCGGCGTCAGCGTCTACCTTGCGCGAGATGAGCTGCGCGCGAATGGCAACCGCCTCTTGAAAGTTGCTATTGAGGACTTTGCCCAGTAAGGCCCCCCTAGCCCCCCGGTTCTGACCCCCATCTCACCCCATGTCTATCTCTTAGTAACTAGATATCCATCACGAGTTTCAAATCGTTTGCGTCCATCTCTACTAACCGCCCCGTCCAGGTTCCTCGCCATGCCGTGGCACAACACTTCGCCAGACTCCACGGACAACAACACCGCCGCTCCAGACCGCCCCCCAGCTGTGCGACAGCTACGGGCGGACCTTGAGCAGCTGCGTATCGGCCTTCCCGCGCGGTTCCGCCCGACGCTGGAAGGCCTGCTGCAGGCCCTCCCGTCGCTCCTCTTCCCCGACGACGGCTGGCCCATGGTGCCCAACCACGCCGACTTGCTCGAGAACAACATCCACGTGGACCCCGAGACGGGCCGGCGTCTGCGACTGGAAGGACGCCACCGTCGGCCTGTTCGGCATATCCCTCTGGGGGGTTCGAGAGCCTGCTCGGCTGGCACACCTCGACCACTAGCTGGCGCTGGGTGCACGGCTCCGCGGCGCTGCGCGCCCGCTTCTGGGCCGCCTTCGCGGACGCTGCAGGGTCGGGCGTGGCCCTAGACCGCGTCGAGGCGGCGCGGTTGCTGGGAATCTTCTTGAAGTTCGGGTTCGAGTGGGTGGACGGGAGCACGCGGCAGCCTTTACAGGAGACGTCCAGGGGCTTGACGTTCCTCGAGGCCGTTGCTCTCAATATCGATGTGAATGAGTAATTAATGAGATATAACGTGGCAACCGCTCCGTCGCTTTCAATCCTTGATCCTTATATGAGACTTGCGCTCTCGTATAACAACCCCGGTCTCAAATTCGAATCAAATACAATGTCAGTGGCCCCCAAGGTGGCTTCTTGGCCAGTCGGATATAAACCTGACAATTCCAAGAGGTACCAGACTCAATAAGCAAACAGCCGGCCCTAGACTTTTTGCTCTTGCTTTGCCCCTTTATTATTACCCAGCATGGTTCCATGTGCCGCATGTCTCTGTCTCGGCGTCCCACCCTCGGAGGAGCCTGGCCAAGGGCGCGATTGCCGCAGACAGCAGATCAAACGGAGAGATCGGGCGAAAAAAGCACCAACCGCATAGAATCGCCCCCCTTAAAGTAACTCATCGAACTAGCTACAACCAGGATCTCACTTGAGCAAGGGCTTTGCATGTTGCAACGGGCCTAAAGCTCTTGATTTACACCGTGCTGTGAAGGGCTAATCCGGCCTCTCTGTTATTGGGATGTCCATCCTACTGCGTAGACCGACTGATTGTTTTCACGGGGAATTGCAGCTCTTGTGACCAGGTTGTTCCGCGACTGTGGCTGCGACCTGGATCGTTTGTCGTGATTCGCCGGCCAACTACATCCTTGCACGAGTCGTAATTGGATGGGCTGAAAGGCCCTTTGTGAAGAAATCGAGAAACGAAAACAAATGCAGCTGACAATTGCCGTCAGCCAGGCCAAGGTGGCGCTTGTCACTCGAGCTGAAGATTGGACTGGGGCCTGGAACGAAGTGGCCGTCGGTCTTGGCTATTCGTATGTCCGTCATTGACGGAGCCGACCAACCTGCAGCCTCACATCATCATTCATTCTCATTTTTATTTGTCATTGTTAACTTGTTGCTATTGACCCTCGCCTGCGAGTGTACCCCGGCTCCCACACCACCCAACTACATAGCGTAGTAGCCTGTAGGAACCGCCCGCGCGCTTCCCTGCTCAAAACAAGTCCGTGGCTTGATACTATAGTTTGCTTCTCCTGCATCAGACTTGTCACAACAATCAGAGAGTAGACGAAACTATCGTGCACAAGCCAGCTACCGTTCCGTTCAAACCCTGGCCAACACGGCTGATCCGCCCGAAAGTCATGCATGGCGTTCATTAGTCTCTCAGACAAGCAGATTTATGAGACATGATCAATTTCCACGGACAAAAACATGATTTCTTTGGTTTCTAAATACTGGTACGGATATGAGATAATCCTAACCTTCATCCGATGGCAGAGGGAGGGGGAATTTTCAGCTTTGCCGGTCCTCCTTTGAATTTCTATTGCTCACAGGGACAATTTTAGGAGACGTTCGACGGGCGCGTTGCCTTTTTTTGCAGTCGCAAGCTATTTCCCCAAAATGTAGAGTCAGTCTCGGATAACCGCACATGGACAAGATCGCTAAGCACGAGCCCGGTCATTGTGTGCGCGTGTGACAATGGACTGAGTTTGCGTGACGGCAAGACAAGGGAAAGTTTCTCCTTCGTATCTGACGCAGAGAGATCTTGCCACTAAAGATTCCATAGAGAGAGAAAACATATAACTATTGTACCTAATTCCATGGGCCTCTGGTCCGTGGCCCCAGACCGACAAATGGGTGGCATTGAAGAGCACCAGCTCGCCGGCGCATTAATATTGTCTATTTATCATTGTGGAAATGGGGAATTGGTTTGTTTCCCATATTCTAATAAGCGAAACAGCATCGATTTATGCAAATTGCGCCTGAGAAAGTTCTTTCTCAAGACAACCCCCTCCCCCCTCCTTCAGACGCATGCTCCCGCCTCGGAAAATGACTACATCGGGGAACCAGAAAGCCACAACTAACACAAGATTACAAGATTTCAACTCGACCTCCACTTCTGCACAGCCGTGTAGAAACATGTTCTCGGCCGAAGCCCCATAGGAAAACTGCACTGCGCGATAAAGTTGTCGCGCGTAGCGACCTATGTGTAACGATGAAGGCGCAAGTCCCGGCACCGATTACCTTTGCCTCACCGCTCGAGCCCCAGCCATGTCATACAAAGTCCAAGTCATCATGATACGGAAAGAAAGGAGACGAGCTTGAGTTTCTTCCTCACGCTGGTGGTTGCCGAACCAGCGGTTTCCTCGCGGAGCCGAGTTTCTCAGTGGCTAGCCCTTGCATCCGCCAGTTTAGTCCTTGAAAGCTGATCTTAACCATTGAGGAAATCCCGGTCGACAATAGCAGTTAGCCGGCTAGACCGAATCAGTCACAGGCTGCAGTGAGACAGGATGCTTGCCTATGAATCATTGCCACCTCCGGAGCTTCGTCCAGTCCATGTGGCGGGCTTGCGGGTGCTGCCCGCCAGGCTGGCACTTTTGTTACGTCTAGATGGGCACTTTTTTACCGAGGCGAAACTGCAGCATTCTACATTGAGCCACCACAGCCATTTGTTCTCCTCAGCGACTGGGTCTTGTTCCTATGTGGCTGCTGAAGCGGGCTTCCGCGCTACCCGGGAGTTGCTTGCCCTCGTAGCCTCCAAGCCTATCTATGATGATGAGCTGTCTTGGTAGATTAAACACTGTATACAGTTATTTGAGTCCGATATCATGTTCCGTCGCTGACCCTAACATCTGAAGACGTGGGACGTGGTTGATATCGTGTTGTATGCGTCCAACCCGCCCTACACACTTTGTGAAGTGATGAATCTCGATTACGCTTCCAGTATATGCAACAAAAACAGACATTTACAGGTAATTTATGACCAAACCCGGCTGCCGCAAAAATCAAACCCTTTTCACCTCCCCTTTTCACCTTCCCCTTCCACGCCCTCTCCCACCGCGTCCCCTTCCCCTTCCGCGTCCCCTCTTCCCTCCTCCACCCCGGCCGCCCCTCCGCGCATCCAGCCTCTCGTAGAGCCTCTCCTCGCCGAACGCGCCCTCGCCGAGCCTCATGTAGTTCACCAGCCCCCTGTCCACCACCGCCACCAGCACGTTCCTGTGGCCGTGCTTCAGCCGCTGGTACAGCCGGCCGGGCCCCTTCCACGCCGGGTTGGCCTCCGGCCCGTCCGCCGGTGTCGACGCCAGCAGCGCCTCCGTCTCCGCGAGCGTTGGCACCCCGTGCAGGTCCGCGTCCGTCACGGCGATGCGGAAGTTGGGCGCCGGCGGGCTGCGCTTGGAGAACGGCGCGCCGCCGGACTTCCAGACGTGGAAGAAGACCTTGTACGGGCTCTGCGGCGCCGGCGCGGCGACGTCCTGCGCGTTGGCGGCGAGAAGGCGCCGTTGCGGCCGGTGGCGTGGTAGCAGGCTGAGCTGCTCGTACACGGGCCGGTATGCCCGGTAGAGACCCGGCGACACTAGCGGTCCGAAGGAGTGCTTCTTGGGCTCTGCTTGCGGCCGCGCATCGCCGCCGCCTCCCCATCCTACCAGAGCGAGCAGCCACTGCAGCAGCGTCGTCGTGTCCGTAGTTTTTCCCGCCGCTGTCGTGTCTGCACCACTAGCTTGCTCCTCCGAGGCGCGCAGCACGTGGAACCCTCCTCGCTTCAGGTGCGTGAAGACCTGGTACCGCGGCAGCGATATGCGCCCGCGCTCGCCGTCCTCCTCGCCGAGCAACAGGGAGTACGCCGCCTCCAGGCTCAGCGGCACGCCCGCCTCGTAGTCGTCAGGCCCCCTCGTCGGCTCGGCACCACCGCCCGAGAGCTCGCCCAGATCCTTGTACGGCCACCAGAGGTCCAGCGTGCCGCGCTCGACCATGTGCAGTGCCTCCTCCGGCAGCAGCCAAAGCCTCCCGACGCCGGGCCTCTGCGCCTCCGTGCAGGCGACGCCCGCCGGCACGGAGCGCCCAATGTCCTTGGTCCAGCTTCCCCTCTCGTGCTCGACGACGACGACGCGCTCGCGTAGCATCAGGCGCCCGTCATCGTCCTGCCGGCGGTCAGTGCTGGCTTCGGCGGGGGAGGCTTCCCAAAAGTCGGGCATGTACCATCCGCGCACCCAGCCGTCGCCGCGGTGCACGCGCGTGTAGCTGAGTACGTCCTCGAGGGCGCGGCGGCTCGACTCGAGCACGCCGTCCTGCGCGCGCGTCCCGTGCGACTCAAAGTCCTTCTCGCCCTTGCGGATTGTCTTGCTCGACACGCCCTTTTTGTCGAACATGCTCATGAAGAGCTTGTAGTCGGGCATCTCGTCCTCCATGGCCTCTTCGGCGACGGCCGCGGCGCCGTCGACGCCGCCCACACTGGGCGGTCCTACGACGATGTGTGGGTTGTCATCATCGTCAAAAGGCATTTCGCCGCGCTGTTCCTTGTTGAACGTTGAGGGGCGTGGCTATCTCCAGTAGCTGATTGCGTTCTCAAGAGGGCTTGTTGAGCTCGAAAGGCTGTGATGGCGCCGATAAGCTGGTTTGTCGCAGGGCGGACAAAAGTTACGATCAGTCAAATCCCAGTATTCAAGTGACTTTATTTTGAACCAAAAATTTGAGCACGGAAAGTAGCAGTGAATATTTTGCAGAAATCATGAATCTGAACATGAAGGCTCTAGGAGTTGGTTGTTCACCTCACAAGCCTAAAAAGTGGAGTTTTGGCATTAAAAAATCAGACCAACTTCTCGAGAACCTGTATAGTGAAAGATAAGTCCTAGGGCCATTACTCCACTACTCGCGAGTCTGGCCGAGTGGTTAAGGCGTTGTGTTTAGGACAGTCTGTTTCCCTAGCGGAGAGACAATAGAATATCCAAAACCGCAATGGGCATCGCCCGCGTAGGTTCGATCCCTACGGCTCGCATTGTATTTTTTGCCTTTCCTTGCAGCCATCATTGGCTTCGTGTTTAAACCCTGTTCTTTCTCTTTTTTTTTTTTTCTCCAAACCGATCACGCACAATCAAAGGCTGTTGTTCATGTTGGATCCTTGGTTAATGCAAGATCGTTAATGTTACTGCAAGGTGAGTTAGGCGTTTGCTGATTGACAACACCGATCACGCAGTCACTTCTCTGATTAGGATGTATAAAAATGAAGGTGTATTTCATTAGTAGATTCCTCTCGCTTGTATTTTCTTCTTTCTCGTTATCCTGTTGGCCGTTGGTCTGTGTCCCATATCATAGTTGAGCTTTTGCACGGACAAATTGTACTCCGTTCTTTCTTGCGTTTGATTATCTGATGCCCTTTACTACCTTGACCGCCTAGATAACTCATCAACTCCTCGAGAGAAACAACATTTGCCGTAAACGCCGGAACCCGATGCCCAATCCAATCGCTCGCTGTTCGCCATGACTGTAAAATTTCCCCAACGCCGCCAAATGTGTTCTGCAGTATATGTACCAAGTATTTGCTTCACGGCGCGCCGTCCGGGCCGCTGAGATGCCCAAAGATTAAGTAGAACGAATGTGTTTTCCTTTGCCGGTGCTACGCACGGCCGTTTTATTCGATAAACGGCTTCTTGTTTCCGCCGACAGTGCAGAGGCCAAGGGCACGAATCGAGTCGCGATCGTGGGCGAGAATGATAGTGCGCGCGGGTAGCATGGGGTTGTTCGGGTCAACGTGTGAAGCATCTTTGGCGGCTTGCTCGATGGCATCCATTTCCTCCTTGCAGCCTTGCTGGTCTAGGGGGCAAATGACGATGGGTTGTCGAATGACAATATCGCGCGCGCCACTTAATTGAACCTGAGCATGCCGAGTTAGATACGACCGGCTGCCGTCATTCGCCCACGTGCTCACGTACCTTGATATTGAGGAAGAACTCAATCTTATACAGTGATGATTGAGTGGTAAAGGTGGAAAGTTCATACTGGGGAAAGCCCGGCTTTCCCCTCTTGATAACCCCGTCAGGATCTCGCAAGTCTTTGGACGGAAAGCAAAGGCCAATATTGGTGGCATAGCCAGCCTCAGGCATCTTGGTCTTGACGACTTGTACCTGCTTGGATAGTTTGTTAATCTTTTTCGTTGGCTCGTCTCCTTCTGGGTTGAACGTGATTTCCTCTTCCACCACCATCGTTATCTTGTCTATGGTGACCTTTTTGGCCTTGGCCATCCAGTCGAGGTTGGGGGACACTTTTATGTAAACGGTAATAGGGTCGCCTGGTCCGTAGCTCCATTTCGGTAGGCTGATTCCCAGGTGAACAAGGTTATCTGAGGTGACGAGTTTGGACTCGGGCTTGTTGTACATGCCAAAAGTCGAGAGAGTATCGTAGCGTTGCAGGGGCATAGGAAACGTGTATTTGTACTGGTTGCTGTGGCCCTGTTGCACGGTGACGACGATTTCGTAAAATGTCTCTGCTATCCGGTTCGGGAGCTGCAGGGAGGCTGGCGGTATCCGGCGATTCGTCTCTTCGCCACCTTTGCCGAAGGGGATAAAGAGGACAAAGGGGAGGTCCATCGCAACGACTCTCTCCGCCTCTTTGCCCGAGGAGCAGCGAAAGAGAAGCACCTCTTTACCGACGACGTCGGTTGTATCCTTTCGGGCGGCGCCGAGATGGCGCTTGGCAAGGTTATCAGCATCGGGGTGTATGCTTTCGCGGCGCTGCAGCGCTATTCGGACGAGGGAGATCGGGACGGGCATGGAGAAACCCTGGCCAGGGCGAATCTCTACCTTGCCTTCGACGCGGGGCTAACTCGGGGAAGAGCATCCAGGTCAGTAACTGTGGGCTTGGGGGTCACGATGGGAGTAGCAGAGGCTTGGGTCGTTGTTGGCACTGCTGTACTTACCAGCGTCGCGGATATTCCGGGATAGCCCACGAGAAAGCTGCTGTTGGGTGGCCCAGAAACCCTTACACTCGCTGGACCGGTCGCCATGGTGTCATGCGGGCGCCCACCACGACTCGAGCGCAGATGGGTAGTTTGCGGCGCGTCTTGAAAAGAGCGAGAGCAGCGCTACGGGCTGGTCATGTATGTTGGCGTGGCTGGCTAACAAGGTTGCGAGCTCCTGTCAAGGAGAGGTCGATGGGGAAGCGACGTGGGCACACAGGGACACGAGCTTCAGATCGGAGGGGTGGGGGGGTTGGCACCGGAAGCCAAGGAAGTGTCGACGGTGGGATGCAGATTGCCGCTAGAGTGTGCAGAGTCGTGTGCACTGGATCATGGCCTTGGGAGGGTGGGTGATGTCGAAAAGCCGATGGAAACAGACGACGACGAAAGGGTTTGATTTAGGCGCGCAGGACGTTGGTTGTAGAGGAAATGGTAAGGCTGGCGTCGAGCTGAGAAGTTGCAGTTAAAGTTAGCGGCGCTTGCTTTGTGGTGTGCAAGTTGCGACCGACCAAGTTGCCTTGGGGCGTTGGTTGGTTGGTGCAGATTTGACCGGCCTTTCGGGTCTTTGTCTCTGATCTGTCAACCTACGTGTACTATAAAGAACAGCGACAAGATGGTCGCTTTTTTCATGTATATTGGCAGAGTGCCAGCAACACAGGTGCCTCGTCTCGAGGCTGCCTGCCTACCTGTACCTGAGTAGGCTGCCAGGGCTTCCGGATCGGGTCTCGTAGCGCGTGTCCAGCTGGAGCTCGGGCTGACGCAACCCACAGAGCCACGGGGCGGCTGGGGAATCACTGTTGGGCTCGTTCGAAGACGAGGCTGGATAGACGGGAAGGAGGAACGAGGATGGGAGTGCGGAATCAGCGAGCTTTCCGTGGAAATATATATGAATGTATGCGAGCATGTGCAAGCATGTATGAGAAGGGGTCATGTGTATGTGCATATGCGGATTGAGAGTTGGGGAAACGGATAAACATACGTAGGACTCCGTACACAACATATATCTGGGCGAGTATCCACGTAACTTTGTTACTTGGGCCGTACTCATGGAAACGCGATGGCTGTTTGGCGGGGATCTCAACTAGGGCCAGGCTCTCAACACACTTAATGTCCTGTCCCACACAAAGATCAGCATCACAAGCAGAGCCCCGTTGCACGGAAACCGTCCTAGCAAACTTACGCCGTGATGCGTTATTACGATGTACGTATCTACATAGTCAGATAACCAGTTCCTTCAACAGCATTTTAACATATTGACTGGTCTTGACCTTCACAGCCAACTACAACATCTTTTACCGCAAATACAACAGCCAAGCCGTTTCTCCGCTGGCTTGTCTCACCCCCAAGGCAGCCTTGACAGCCACCAGGTTGACCACCGAGGTTGGGCTTGGGAATTGAAATGTTACAAATGCCCTCGTTGCATCACATATCCTCTGTTCGCTCGCCTTTTCTTTCCTTTTAGGAAAAGCAAAGCTCCGAACCATCACAAGGGCTATTTTCTGCTAGTACATGCCCGAGCCTTAAAAGTAAACAAAAGTCGAGCTAAATTTAGTAGATTAGTAGGTACCCTCCTGCTGCTGCGCATAGCACTGCCTAGTCTACTCCTGGCCCAGACGCAGCCTAAACGGCACCATGAAACAGCTACAAGAAGAATTTGAGGCTTGCAGAAGCCGTTTTTCTTTTTCAAATTAAATTAGATAAATTAAAATCATATCAAAAGTCACCAGCACCTTGTGGAAACACCAGTTAGGTGTACATGCGTTGTGAGCAGTTGTTCCGTGGATCTGGACCGCAAAACTCCGCTAAACTTGAACAGTGCAAGCGTTGCGCTATACCTTTAATTCGGACCATGACCCCAGGCTCATCGCGACGACGACTGCCGCTGCCCCTCCAAAAAAACCGATCTCTGCTCACCCAAGCTCCTGCCCAGAGCCCATCGCAACACCTCCACGACACGCAATTGACCGGCACAATGTCCGTCACGCTACACACATCTCTAGGCGACCTGAAAATCGAAGTCTTTTGCGAGAGCGTTCCCAAGACCGCCGAGGCACGAAAACCCTCCACCCCCAACTCACGTTCCTCCAAGTCTAACACGCACATGGCACAGAACTTCCTCGCCCTCTGCGCCTCCGGCTACTACGATAAGTCGCCCTTCCACCGACTCATCCCCGCCTTCATGGCGCAGACCGGCGCGCCCGCCACGCCCTCGCCCCCCGACAACCCCAAGGGCGGCCGGTCCATCTGGGGCGGCGCCTTCGACGACGAGATCCGCCCGGCGCTGCGGCACGCCGGCCGCGGCGTCGTCTCCATGGCCAACAAGGGGCCCGGCACCAACGGCTCCCAGTTCTTCGTCCTGTTCGACCGCGCGCCGCACCTCGACGGCCTCAACACCGTGTTCGGCAAGGTCATCGGCGACGACGGCCTCGCGACGCTGGCGCGGATGGAGGCGATCGAGGTCGACAAGAAGAACCGCCCGCGCGAGCCGCTCTGCATAGAGCGCGTGACGATCCACGCGAATCCGCTGGCGGACTGAAAGGAGGGCGAGAAGTTTCTAGGTCGAGAAGACAACTTACATCTAGCGGATTCGTTGGAGGGTGGAAGGGGGCTCAATCGCAATGCCGCTGCTAAAAACGGGCTACGGCTGGTGGTGAAAACTGGCCGTTACCTACAGCACCCGATGTGTGGCCAAGGCGCAAAACGACACAGCTTGTACTGCCAACTACGATGAAAAGCTGCGCAGTCCTGCGGAGCTTTGACTTGGCCAAGTGCTCTCTACATCACGGACACAGGTCGTGCCGAGTACAACCACTCCACAATCACAATACGCAACATATAGAGTAATCAGAATAGAACTTTTATGTATAAAATCGCTTTGGCAGCCTGCCCAGAGCTTGCCATGACGCAGATGCCCGCTTTCATACCATAATTTAATAAAAATCCCAAGATCCGCCTGCATGTTCCGCAAGCAATAAACACCCTCGCATAAACCAAATCATCCTAGAAAACCATCTCTATAAACTAATGCCAAATGTATAGCGTGATTCTGTGCGCCCGTGCAGCAGCTCCGTTCGATTGAATGCGTAGAAAAGGGGTATTAGATGGGTGAAAGAAGGGGTGGACGAGATGAAGCCCCGCCATCATCAACATAGCTAGCCCTTACGTTGGCGTTTGGAACCTTGGGTAGGGCTCGCTAAGTCTTCGCGTTGAATCTCTTCAGTCCCCGTCGGGCTCAGCGTGTTCTCCTTGCTCTGCCCCCCATCTGCAGCTGTCGCTGCTCCAGTCACAGGCGCAGCGTCAGGGTCCAGGTTAAAGTTGAAGTCACTACCATCACCAGAGATGTCGTGAAGGAAGGCGTCGCTGTTAAGGTATTGATCCAGGTCCACGTTTGGCGCGTCAAAGAAGCCATCCGACCCATCCAGTCCGGGGATGCGGCCCGACGGGCTCAGCGGGCCCAGGAGCTCGCCCAGCTCGCTAATCTTGGCGTCCTGGTCGCTTTGCAGGCGCTGCAGCCGGTCCAGCTCCTCCTGGTTGGCGCCGATGTGGCTGAGCGACGGCACGGGCATGACGGGCGAGCGCATAATCGGTGACAGGGACGGCGGCGACGGCCTTCTGGTGGACGCGCTGTCGGGCTGCGGCGTGACGGAGGCCGACGGCGTTTGCGTTGTGCGAGACAGGCGGCGCGGTGGCAAGGATGAGTTAGGTGTCGCCGAGGAGCCGGGCGAGGGCTGGCCCGCCATAAAGTTGACGAGCTGGCTGCGCTGATCGTTATTCAGGGTGTTCGGTGCGTTGGCGACGAGCTCGGCCGCTGCCGGATCGAGGGCCGTCGGGGTGCTGGTGGCATTGTGATCATTGATGATCCTCATCATTCGCTCCTGTGGGTTGCTTTCCAGTTCCTGGCGTAGGGAAGGCGGCGTTTCAGTGTCCAGGAGCTCCGTGACGTGACCCATTTCTGGGTTGTGGGCGCTGCTGGGCTGGTAGTTGGAGACGGAGGGCGACTGGCTCGACTGCGTAGGAGACTGCTGTCCTGGAATAGGCGGTAGCAAGCCTCTGGTTCGTTTGACCATGTTTCCCCCATGCGAGGCCGTAGGATCCATCTGTGTCCGGAAGAAGTCGCCTAGGTCAACCACGTTTCCATGTCCCCCCTGGCCCTGGTTTGACATCATGCTGGTAATGATATCGCCAACATTGGCGGAGCCGCTCTGGTCTTCCAGTGTCTTCCGAAAGACATTGGCAAGGAAGTTGAGAATGGCATTAATGGAGTTTTGGTGTCGGTCGTGTTGATTCTGGAACATGAGCGCTTGGTTGTACAACTCATGATTATTGCGCTGCAAGGCGTTGATGGCGCCGAGGATGAGCTTTTGCTGCTCCCGCACTTTGTGGAGCTCCTCCCTTATCACTGCGATTTCTTTCTTGGGCGGCGCGGCGCTCTCTGTTGACGGTAATGTACGTCCAGCTGGGACATTGCCACCAGTCGTACTAGGTTGGCCGGGGCCGTCCTCGTTGTCAACATCATCGTCGCTACCAATTTGGCCACTCGCCCCTTTAGCTGTAGCTTCTTTCTTGCCCTTAGGTTTGTTGATGAGCCATAGCAGATTCGGGTGCCCTCTTCGGAAGTATGGGTTCTTGTATTCGCTAGGGCTCTTGAATTTTCTCTCGCTCGCGCGCATTGAATTATCGGATAGGCCTACACATTTGTGAAAGCCGTACATATTCAATTGTCGGACAAAGGACGCATAGTTGTTGTGTTTGAAAAGCTCGGGAATTAACCTCTTTGCAAATTCGTCCTCGTCCAGCACTATGAATGAGTCGCCCTTTGCCGACCAGCGGATAAAGTCTTCATTCTTGCGCTCTTCCAAAAAGCTGTACACCGCGTGTTAGATAATATTTGCAAGTTAGCAGGGACAGGCTTCAACGCACCTGCTCAGCTTCTGCACGAATGGCGGTATCTGTTTGCGCCTACTGGTGGCCTCGCGCTTCGCCTTGGCTGCCAGCTCCTCCAACTTCTCAACACTTTCTTCCTCCGGGTTGCTATCGCCATTTATATGCGACACTAGGGAGCCGTCCACTTCGGAAAAGCTGCCCCAAGGGTCTGCACCACTCCCATCAAACTGGCGACTGGGTAGGAGGCTCTGGTTCATTTGGCGGCGAGCCACGGCGTTTGACGGCCCCGGAATGGGCTGCTGGAATTGACTAGCATTTGGTAGCACGCCGTAAGGGTTCCCAGTATATGCGCTGCCATCGAGAAAAGAGGAAGTGTCGGCTGCGCCGTTCCAGCGCGTCATCGCATCGGACATGTTGTCGGCTGTGAATGGTTGCTGCACGTTCTGCTGTGCGGGCCCGGCTGGCGACGCGCCAGGCGCCGCTCGCTTTCTCGAGTTTGGTGTAGACATTACGCTCTGCTGGGCGATACTGATGAGGATCCGCGAGTGTATAGGGGTGTTGTCGAGCCGGAGGCGGCAAGGTGGATCTCTGCGCCGCGTTGTATGATAAGCTCGTAGCTAGGTTGAGACGTCGGGCAAGAAATGGCAGGCGATGCAAGGTATATATTCGTCTCGCAAGACTATCGCGTCAAAGAGACTCCGCGATGGGCAATTGGGGGCAAGTGCGAGGTGGACACAGCAAACAGTAGAGGGAGAGGATCCCGTTGGTGCGCAACACTCGGCACACGGCTTACTTGCAGCCGAAATCACGCAGCGGAGTACACGACCTACACGTAGTTGGTGTGATGTCGGACGGCTACCGTGAATCGAGTTGGCGTTGAGGCGGCGGAAGAAGTGTCGTCAAGCTCCGCTCAGTTGCGCAGGTCGAAGTGAGGTCCGTCGGGGATCCGCTTTGTGAACTTTTCGCGGATCGTCTCTGCAGCGCTGGAAAAGGGGCGTGTTTTCGAGTATTGTCCCGGTGTGGAACTGCCGTGAAGAATATGGACAATCTATGGTGATGTAAGAGGTAAGTCCTTAGTCGCCGAGAAGATGTGTCCCTTCCTATCGCGGAAACAAACGCTCAGGCGAGGCCAAAATTTTGGACCAAAAACAACTTTTAAGTTAGCGGGCAGATGGACAAGGACGATACAAGAGCAGCCGGTCCCGGATTTGGCCAATCACAGCGGCTACTGATAAGTCTCGATACGCAAAAAGTGAGGCCTGCAAGAATTACACGTGACTTTGGCGGGGCGGACTCAGGCTGTCACTTTAGTATTACAGAGTGGGCTATATGATGTTGTACGTACTTTTTAACTTAGGGGTAACGTGTACACATTATCGAAAATAGTCTCTTTGTCTATTGACGCGTTTTGAGGAGACTGAAAATGCCTTTCTTGATCCGCTCCGCAATACGATCGCTACCTTGTTTCATGATCAGGGACTGTCAATGACTTGCGGACAATAACAATGTGTAACCACTACCTATGCGTGTATGTACGTACACTGAACTGTGTTGGTGATTGCCTTGCGCTGGGTCTGGGGCTTGATTTTAATAGATCAGTTTGGTTGGCGCAAGGAGATGAAAAGGGTATCGATTATATATTCTGTTATCTGTTTATTTGGCACCACGACCTGCCAGCGATGCAGCCTGCGCCATCTGGGCGTTTCTGGTCTGGTCTCGCCGTTGATCCCACTCGCGTCCAGATCCGCCCGATCGGGCGTCTCTTTTTGCCCGCTTCTCTTCACGCATCGACTGCTCCTTATTTCGAGGGTCAATGACAACCAACTCTTCTTCGGCGTTTTTACGATTGCTCAGATCCTTGCCGAGTTTGTCCGCGGCGAATGACAACGTGTGCGACATCCAGCCTTCGTCGTCGCTCTCCTCCTTGTCCTGCTCATCCCATGATGTGCAGCTCTGGCAGTTTGCAATAAAGTGCAGGTCACAGAGCTCGGCCTCATCATCCCCACCAGCTTGGCGTTTCTTCGCTTCGTCGTCATCCTCGCTACCGTTCTTGGCAACTTCCTTTCCTGGCGGCGCCTTGTCGAGCCGTGATTGAAAGCCCTTGAGAAGCTTCAGAGTAGCTTGATCATCCGACGAGATGGCACTGGAACCACCGGTGTGTCTCTTACGCGCTCCTCGAATGGATGTTTCCGGAATCATCGAAGCCAGGGCCGATTTCTTGCGAGGCTCCTCCTCCTTCGGAGCGTGAATGGTCCGTCTCATAGAAGCCTTAAGAGCGGCAATTTCTTCGTTGGCCTTTTGCAAAGCCGTCTTCTTGGGCACCTCTGGATAGTCCCCTGCAGCCTCACTATCGCTGTCGTTTAGTTTTAGGCGTTCTGTTTCCTCAGGCTGTGTCGCAGGCTCTATTGTCGTCTCCCCCGCGCCGGCGTCCTTAACTTCCGGTGCACTCGTCTTTCCTTTCTTTGCTGCTTTCGATTTTGTTGATTTCGCCCTGGGCTCTTCCTCAGCCGAACCGTCGTCCACCACTATACGAGTGTCGAATTTTGCCTTCTTCGGTAGCGAAGTAACCTCCTCGTCGCCCTCCTCATCCCCGAAACTAAGAAGCTGCTTTCCGGCCTTGCGCTTCTTCTTCTTCTTTTCCTTTTCTGCGGGCTTCTTTTCCGAATGCGCAGCCACACGTGTGCGTTTCTCCATGTCCTCGAACGGGTTAACGAGGATCTCGATGCGCTCAATCTTGACCGCATACATGGGTCGGTCTGTGCCCTCTTCCACCTCGGATTCGCCAATTTTTGCCAAATTGTATATGGTATCGCCAGCCACGCGACCGAATAATGTGTTCTTGCCATTTAGTTCCTCTGTTTTGTCGAGCGTGAAGAAGAACTGGCTACCGTTCGTATCGACGTGTCCTTCGTTCGCCATCGCCAATAGTCCGCGTCTGTTGAACTTGAGGCGCGAGTGGAACTCATCTCGAAAGTTGATACCCGTCGGTCCGGCATTCTTGCCATGACGCTGGTCCATTGGCCAAGGGTCCAGGTCGCCGCCGAATGCGCCGCCATCGTATATAGATTCGCCACCATTGCCAGTGCCGGTCGGATCGCCTCCTTGTAAAATGAAGTTGGGAACTAATCGATGGAATATGGTACCATCGTAATAGCCGTCGAGACTGAGTTGAAGAAAGTTGCGACAGGCAAGCGGAGTCTGCTTTGCGAAGAGCTCGACGAGAATCTCGCCGAGCGTGGTGTGGATAATCGCAGACGCTGTCGGCTGAGGTTCGAGATTGTAGATGGCCGACATGATCACGGCTGCCGTGCCCTAGCCGCGCGTATCGCTGTGAAGATGTTTTCGTCGCTGGTGCAAAAAGTTGGAGTTGCCGACCCAAGCTCCAGATTTTGGCCACCAGCTCGCCCCACACGAGAAAGGCATCTGGGCTGAACAAACGACCCAAATACAAGAACCGACTGGACTCTGAGCGAACGTGCCAGCTGAATTATTCAAGTTAAAGAATTGGCTTATCATTCAGATAGGAATCGGATTGAACCTTTTTTTCGTGGCCAACGTCACCCAAAGCCCGGGTACCAGGATCAGGAAGCGACACTGAAAACGCGCCCACCTAACGCGTTCATCCTCATAAGCCCTGCGGTTAATTGTCCATTCATTCGTCATTCACGCATATCACCATGAGTCGAGAAATTGAATTGGCACTACTATCCTTGATGCCATCATATGGCGCAGATTTACCGTCATCACTCGTGGAGCTTGCCAGCTCACTTCTTGCTCAATCGCGGAACCAAGCAAGTACTCTCAAAGCCGACGAGGAGATTGCCCGACCATACGCCTGTGCGAACATTGCATGCGATCGCTTAAAGATACAACTTGATCTGCCGCCTATCGAGCCTCGACCTCCCGTGCCGCCAAGGATATATAAGCGACTCTATTCCCACCTGGACAATATTCTACCTTCTGCTTCTAGCAGCGCGCGACGCAGCTCTGGTCGCGTTCGCACACCAGTTGCCAAGCTTGGCGCGGAGCAGAGTGCTGCCAGCACACCATCGCGGCCTCTCCCCTCCCGTGGAACGCCGACAAAGGAACAGAGCTTAGCTAAATTCCGCAAGCTTACGACACCGATAAGCAAAAGCACGCCCACTGGGGCTGATGGCGAGAGCGGGAGGACAGGGCTACCACCGTGGGTGGCACCTGTGATTCGATTCTTCAGCGTTGAGACAGGGAGTAAGAAATTGGCTCCCACTGTGTTAGCAGGCATCGAGTCTATCTTATTCCCCGGAGGCCGGAAGATTGAAGAGGACTGGGCCATCAGTCAGACAACGGAGGTGCTAGCAGCTGTCCTGTATCATGTCACGATACGATTTCAGGCGATAACAAGTGGAGTCCCTCTCGACAGCGACAGTCATGCTCCGATTCGAAAAGAAATTTTGGGCATCTTGAGTAGAGCACGCAAGGAAGTTGTCTTTATTGGGGCAGAAGACGCTGGGGCGTGGGAAGAGTGGAACACGGTGAAAGCCAAAGACTTTGACGCGATGGTCGAAGCAGCGAAGACAAGCGGGTGGTTGGATAGCGATTGGTACCGAGGGATAAATGACGTGGTTCAAAACATTGGCGATGGCGATGTGAATATGGATGACGCCGAGGAAGGACCGCAGGAGGGCACGGGGAGACGGGCTGACACGATGTTCCAAGACCGATATGATTTCTTGAGTGAAAGTCGGAGGGCAGATTACAAGACATGGAAGGAGACACAGCTGGCGAGGATCGATAAGTTGTTGGCCGAACAAGGTGCTATGGAGATTGATGTATAGGAAAACCTCTAGACAGGATTAATGACATAGAGACGCAGTGTGCAGAAAGATTCCCCGAGATACACCTGCTATTGACAGGCTATGTTAGGATGGTGCAATGTGAACACCTGCGCGTCAAGTTCATGTCATCATATCCAATGCAGTGTCAATCACAAGCCCCCATCACTTGGTTTCACCGTATTCAATTATCAGCGTGAGCTATGTATATGGTAGTACAACTAAGCCATCTTCCCAAGGATATATGGATGGCCGGCACTCAATCCACCGTCCACAGCCCAAGCCTGACCGTTCACGTAGCTGGATTCATCACTACCCAAGAACAAGGCAACCCGCGCTACTTCGTCGGCATGGGCACCGCGCTTCAAGGGGTTGACCTGACCAATCTTCTTGTCGGTACCGCGTGCACGTGCAGACTCATACACGGGCGCCGTCATGCCGGTCTCGATGATACCCGGGCAGATGGCATTGATGCGGATGTTAGTTCCGGCGAGCTGGTAGGCGATTGTCTGGGCAGTATTGATGACGGCGGCCTTGGAGGCCGCATAGGGAGTGGTGCCCGCATTGGAGCGGATGCCAGCTACGGAAGCAGTGGCAATGATGCTGCCGTTAGACTCGGGCTTCTCTGCAGAGGTCTTTTGCATCGCTGGAGCGGCATGCTTGGCGGCCGCGACGACACTGTAGGGGTGGATTAGTTTAGTATGATGACAATGAGGTGAGCGAAGTAGGAGTTATAGTACCTCCAAGAATTTGTTCTCATGACTTCCAAGAAGTCTTGCTCTGTGTAGTCGGTAAACATGCCATATTTGCCGATGATGCCGGCATTGGCAAAGAAGATGTCCAGGCGCTTGTATTGGGCCAGAGCATCGTCGATGACGGCCTTGACCTTGTCTTCATCGCCAGCGTCAAACTGACGAACATGAACATCTACAGAAGGATAGGCGGCGTTGATTTGCTTCTTGTGACTCTCCAAGTGAGTGCCATCAAAGTCGCAAATGTAGATGGCCTTGGCGCCGCTCTCCGCGTACTGGTGGGCGGTGGCGCGGCCGATGCCCATGGGTGAATTGGCGCCTGAAACGAGGGATCGTCAATCACACACACTCGGCAAATATCTGCCCTTCCTTACCTGTGATGATGGCGACCTTGCCCTCGAGGCGAAGTCCGTTGGAGGGGCCAGCCTTGCGCTGGATAGGAGGTAGGCCGAGCTGCTTGCCCAGGGCCTCGATGCGGTCTCGTGCTTGGTCGGCCATTGTGATGCCGGTGTGGATTGCTTGGGCGGTACACGGGATGGGATGTGTATCAATGAGAGATGCAGATGCGAGATCTGTCGTTTTATGAATCTCTGGGATGCTCCGCGCGAGCAAACATTGTCGGATTGGATGGGCCGCAAAGTCCGAACCTGACCTGCCGAGGCACAAGAGGAGCCAAATCTTGGGGTAATTGGATGACAGATGCGCTAGCATCATGCCTTGGTCCGCAACGGGAATTTCAGGTTTCTGGGGTAAACCTATGATATGTGTTTAACTGACATATGATATATATACATACACAATTTCTAGACAGTGTGTGCATGAAATAACAGTTCATGCCTGTCATCGGCTTAAACAGCACCTCAAGCGAAAGTACCTATTCGTAAGTATGTATGTACAGTAGGTAGGCACTTCCCGCGCAACCGCTCACTGCACTGCTGAGGCGATGTTGACCGCTATGAGCCCCACGGAACGGACATTTCGGCCATTTCGCTCAACGTGGCCGAGTCGCACGCGACACTGAATGTGTAGAGAAGTGAGTTAAGCAATTTAAGCATTCGAATTCCCGTTGCCAATTATTCATGGAAATAAAAAAGCGGGAAAGAAGGGACGTTGGTGCCAGGGCAACTGGCTCATCTAATACCCTCGTTACAAGGAGCCGTCTCAAAGTGGGCATGGACTCTCGCCAGCTTGTCGGCCAGCCAGTCAGCAAACGCCGCCGTTTACTTCCTTCAACAACACAAAACCACAGTCGCATCCATTGTTGTGCGCGGTGACGCTTCCTTCATCACGCCAGCCACCCATTTATCGGTTTCATCATGATTCTAACACGTGCTGGAAAGCCTCAAATCTTGGCCTTGAAGGCCCAACGGCCGCCACCGGCCGCGGATGACAGCCCGCACCGTCAACTCAGGACAGCCATCGCCTTTGGCACGTCTTGAGTTTTGCAATCATCAAAATTGGTTTGCGCTCAATTCATGAAAGCCTGTCCAGCTCAACCGCAGCATCGATTTTGCCGATGCGCTGAGCTGACTTCGGTCGCGCGAACCGAACCAAGCGATTTGCGCATCTCGACTGTAAGGGCAGCTTGCAATTGCATATCGATTCCCGAGCCGCTGCTACTGGCAAATTCAGCTGGACGCACCCGCAACACAAATCGACAATTTGCTTCAGCTCGGCAAGGTGACGAGCGGCACACATCGGTACACAGTTTGCCTCCGCCATGGTTGTTCTGTGAAACAATGTTCCAAGCCAGGCGGCTGCTGTCGCCAAAACAGAAAACTCATGCGGCAGCCAACTTTATCGAGAACCGAGTTTTTGCTGGTCGAGATGTTTGCTGCGCTTATTATTTTCGTCTGACATTGCCAACTCTTGCGCGAGGCAAGCAACGGCTAAGAACAACTAATCGAGAGAAAGTGACCCGACAGCAGCAGGGGCCACCTGAAGATACGCCATCGGCTGCTTACCACCAGCCGACATATTAACAGCCACGGCAGCCATAACAACCTTGACAGACCTGCAGCCAAATACGAGAAAAAAAAAATTCAATTTCTCGCTCGAATGCAAATACTTTACACCTTTCCCACCTAAGAAGAAAGCCCGCCAAGTCGCAGCTCGACTACACTTCCAATGAGAAGCCGGACATGCTGCAGGACTGCCATGCGTCCAATGTTTCGCATGTGGACCCGTCATACACCATCCTCTCACTCTTCTTGTAAGAAGTGTGTGAGAAATGCGCCCATATTCATGGCCATTGATCTATCGGCGGGCAACAGATAAAAATTAAGGGGCCATACTATAACCCATAGGCAAATAACTTCCTTTGTTCAGCGCGCCCTGTCACGTCGCCCCCGGCCAACAAAGAACACGACACCTGCAAGTCATTTGTCCTCTCTTGTCTAAGATGTGAAGCGGACAGACCAAGCAATGTCACCGAGACAGTCACAACGCCAAGTGTAAATGTGCCTCACTAGACATTGATCCTGATCCTTATGAGATCAAAGAGAGGCTGGGGAGGAGCCATGTGGCCGGTTTACAAAACATACCTAATGGGACGTGTCATGACCCCAGCCCGGTTCTGCTGCGCCCGAGTAGCAGAATCCCACCATATTATCCGCCAACCTCTCGGGACACTTATATCTTGAGCCATCACACCCCTGCCTCGCTTGCTCCTGGAGTTTGGAAACTTTGGACGGATACGTTACGCAGCAACCCGTAACAGCGGGCCATCCCCAAGTACCAACGCTCGAGTCTCCCTTTGTGCGTTGCATGACGCTGTAGCGCCTGTATTCTCTACCGATCCAACGCTCCTCGTCTTCGGGTCCGTGTTCCTCAAACACCACCACTTTAACAAGCCTCTTTCATCTATTTTCAAAATAGCGTACTGCGGCAAAAGAAATTCAGCACGCCACGCACTCTCAGCCTCCCCGTCCCGAGCTGAACGGTACCAACGTTCTGAAAGCATCATTACGTCGCTCTTTTGGGTTGGGTAGGAGGGAACTTTCTACAACGCCTCTTTCTAGGTTCGGGGAACACAGAAGAGAGTGTACATCTCCAGACGCAGTGCGACGAAATAACCGACTTGGCTCGTATTTTTTCCCCAATCGAATTCATGCGTTGCCTCCCGATCAGGGCAGAAGTCTAGCTTGTCTCCCAGAGAGCCAACCATTTACTCACCCTTCGGTCAGCCTCCTCGTTTATAACATCCGCGGACCTCATGCCTTACTTTCAGCAATACGAGTTGGCTGCAACCTCTGTTGACGGATCCTGCACACAATCGATCTACACCGCGCCGAGCTAGTCATGGAAGCGTGCGTTGGAAGCGCATGGGGCGCGATCGCAAGCGACGTGAAAGATGCGCCGAGTTGCGTCAGAGGCTGCCGAGACAGCCTCCGACGGTTGCTCGCACCCAGTGAGGAGACTTACGATGTCTTCTGCAGTGTTCTTACGCAACTTGACCAGCCTCAAATAGCAGACATGCTCATCGGGTTGTACTGCTGTGATGCGCAGCTCTGCGGCGTGAACAATATTGCACTGCCCGGCTATGATCGTAAGTATAAGATATACTCCTTCCCTCCGGCTCTTGCTTTTTCTGTGTGTTGCAGTAAATTCCAGTTATGCTAACGGCCTTGTGTAGCAAATGTCGACCTTTTAATTACTGTTTGTTCAAGGTAACCCGAGCTTTTTTTTTTCCATCGATAATATTGCTGCTGTGTTCAATACTGAAACAAGGCAACAGTCTAGGCTACAAACCAATCCAGGATCCCGGCCCGCCACCAACAACACATACCTGCATCAATACGCTTCTCCCCAGCAGTGATATACCTTGCTCACGAACGATCATTTCACCAACAACCACCTCTACTCGGTCAAGTTATTCAAGAACGTCGTATCCCACTTCGTCCATGACGACCACAGACGCCACCCGGTCGACGACGACCTACACGAGTAAAACTTCAACAATATCACAAAGCATGACCTTGACTTCGAGTTCGTCAGGCAGCACTGCGACTTCAACCTCTGAGACAACAAGTACTAGTGGTGCTGGCGCCGCACTGCCTAGAATATCCTCTCTGGTGGACCCGCGACTTACGGATAACATCTCCGGGCCTAGAGGTGACAACACTGGGGGACTATCCACAGCCGCAAAAATTATAATCGCCGCTGCTGTTGGTGGCGCTATTCTGGTAGCCATAATTGCCGTCTTGTGGCACTACCGGTATGGCAGGAAGAGTCGACAGCCAGAGCCACAAGAGGGAGGCAGCCAACCAAGCCTGATACTCGTGCCACCAATCTCTCCGACTTCTCCGTTTGTGACTCCATCGCCCTCTTATCTAGGACGTGATGGATCACCACTTACACCGCCGCCGAGATTAAAGGAGAGAAGGCTCTTGCCTACAGGGTCAACAGAGATGCTCATTGAGAGTGGCCCGTCACGGTTACGCCAAGGATTCCATCTTCCAACGGCATCACGGTCGGGAATCGCTTCGCCCTATGGCTCTACCACCAGTCCGCCTGTGGCAATGAATGCGGCTGCTGCCGGTGCTGCCCTGGCCACGGAGCGCAAACCTTCAGGGCCGCTGTCACCAACCCGGGGCCGCGGCCCTTACCTAAGCCCGACGCGGAGCCAGTTTGCCTCGATTTCATATGCGTCGTCGCTGGCCGACCCCGGACCGCCACCATCTAGAGACCTTCCAAGTACGCCTTCCCGAACGGCGACGACGCGATCCGGGAGCCGGTCGCGCGCTGAGGTGTCACCCAATGCGATTGGCGTGGCACTCGAGTTTCCGCCGCGGGAGGATGACCTGTCCGGTCAAGTTAGCAACGAGAGCGGCGAGAGCTCGGAGTCCAAGATCATGACGGGCCCCATGCGCGGCACTTGGGGCGATAGCTGGGCGACGTCGAGGGACGAGGCACCGGCAGGGCTGGCACCGCAGACGCCGACGACGCGCCGGCCGAGTCGCAGCCCCATTCTCCAAGAGCAGGAGTTGGCGAGGATGGCAGGATCATACTGAACTGCAGCATCCAGTACCACCCTGGTGGAGAGACACGGCGACGGCGAAACACATGTATACATAACGAACACAGGGCGGGCGGCATGCACATACATATATACAGCTAGACGTTAGACGAGACAATGGATAACATTGTTGAAGCGAAATGTAAAATCTAATACTATTTATTCACTCGCACAGACTACTTTATACCCTGAGCCCATCAAAATCCGTACTTTTCTTTTTAAATCTTCAGCCCCTTCAGCGAGCCTACCAGGTCGGTGATGCTCTTCTCCAGCGACGTCCACTTGATGCCGAGCAGCTTGTCGGTCGCCGAGTTGTCGATGCGGAAGAGCTCCCCCTCCGGCGGGGCCTCGCCGCCCTTGACCTCCGGGCCCGGCACCGCGTCTCTGCGGTCCTCGAAGTTGCGGTACACGACGTCCGCCACCTGCCTGTTGTCGAAGCGCCCGCCGACCACGAACAGCCGGCGACCGCCCGCCTCGGGCAGCTCCAGCGCGCGGACGTGCGCGGCCGCGACGTCGCGCACGTCCACCCAGAGCACCATCGTGCCCGTGTCCGGGATGCCGTCGCGCTCCCAGTCGCCGCGGAGCAGCGCCACCACGCGCGCGTTGGAGGTGTTGATCGCGTCGGCCGACTTGAGGTGGTGCGCCACCGGCCCAAACACCAGCGGCGGGGTCACCGTCGCCAAGTCGAACCCCGGCTTCTCCTTGGCCACGAAATCCCACGCGGCGCGCTCCGCCAGCGTCTTGGACACGCGGTACGCGGTCATCTTGTCGCCGCCCGAGGCGACGACATCGTCCGCGGTGTTGGGGTTCCAGGAGGCCTCGGTGTAGACGGTGGCGTGGTCGCGGGCCTTGCGGGCGTCGAGGATGGCGGCGAAGGAGGAGGTAACAACGACGCGGCGGACGCGCGGGGCGTGGGCGCGGATGGCACGCAGGATGCCGAGGGTGCCGTTGACGGCCGGGTCGAGGAGGGCGGCCTGCGGGTCGGTGAAGTCGTAGTGGAAGGGCGAGGCGGTGTGCAGGACGGCGGAGAGGCGCGGGCCGTGGGCGGCAAGCACGGCGTCGAAGGCGGTGGGCACGGCGATGTCGCCGACGGGCTCGACGGCGAGGCGCCCGGCGGAGACGAGGTCCGGGTAGGCGGCCGCGAGGGTGTCGGCCTTGGCCTGCGTGCGCACGGTGGTGATGACGGTGTGGCCCTTGGCGAGCAGCTGCTCGAGGATGTGGGCGGCGATGAAGCCGGAGCCGCCTGAATTAGGAAGAGAGGAAGTGTTAGGGAGCGACCTTTTTTTTTTTTCTGAGGCAGATTTGAAGCTGTTCGCGGGGGAGGTCACTTACCAGTCAGCAGGATAGTCTCAGTTGCCATTGCGAAGCGGTTATTGGAAGTGATGGTACGGAATGACGAAGGTTGGAACAACGAGGGAATTGATTTCTATTTAAACTAGAAGATAGAGAACTTTAAATACCACCACTGGCTGCTAACGCCGTCAAAGCTTCCCTCTCCGTCCCTCACCATGTTGCTATCGCCGCTGCCCGCCCGCCTTCCCCCACCAACGAGCCGCACCAACGGAGGAAGGTTAGCCACCCGTGGCCGTGGGGGAGGACGAATGGCTGACGTCAATCAAGGGTTCCATCGCGCACAACATCTTCCTCCGTGGTGACGATCAACTAGTTCTTGCGCTAACTGTGCTCATCCAAGCGTGCCCGTCCTCACAGCGCCTCGCGCCGACGGGATCTGTGATGGAACCAAGTTGACGGAAGTTTAGTCTTCTCTCCTCACACCAACACGTAATTTCATGCCCATGTGGCGTGGGCGGTGACCAGTGACTGGCAGACGCCTTGCGGTTAAGTAATGACTATTGGTTTGTACAGCCACCGGCTGCGTCAAGGGACTTGGCGGGTCAGGAAGCAAATTCTGAACCCCAGTGTAAAGCGGTCGTTAACTCCGAAAACATTCACAAGAGAGAAGGAAGCAGGCCATCCATCCATGAGGCCGACCATGATTATTTCCTTGACTCTTCTTGGCTTGGCCCAATCAGGCATCGGTCCAAGTCTGGCCGCCAACGTCAACATGTAATCCATCGCGACGGCAAGCCCACTCTAGTTTCGGTGATAAAAGAAATGCACCCAAATGGTAGTTATCAAAGCACCCCCAGTCGCCACCGTTCTAAGCCTCACGGTAGATGGGGAAATGGGTTAACTAATTGCACGTTGCGGCAGATTGGACGGGTCGGAATGTCCAAGCCTCTCAGTTTCCCCGCCCGGCCGCCCGGTAGACCGGCAACACCGGAATCGCTTGCTGCCGACTACCAGCGACGGTTGAGATGTGATGGATTTCTATTTGTGAGTCAGAGTGTTCCTCTATGGGGTCACATGCCATGATGCTGACCAGGCTGAAAATTGTCTCGCACTGGCCGTACCCTGTTGGCCCCCAATCCCTTGAACTATCCATACATCCATCCAGGTGTAGACGGATCCAAGACATGGTCGCTTAGTCACGAGGCAATAGATGATTATGACTGATGAACAAGAATGAAAATGCATTGCTATCCTGTTGGATGTAGTGGTGCTGATATCTTTTTTATGGATTCCGTTTTGGCGGGATCCGTAATGTACAATACGCTGTGTCTTGCAGCCCCATGTGCTGCTCGATGGTTCTTCCAAGCGCCGGCCTGTCTAAATAAACCGAATAAGATGCTCCCTTCTCCGACAACGAACCCACTCCCGTCAACTTGATTAATTTTTTTTTTCGAATGGATTGTCCTTCCCGTCTCCTGGACAGGCCCAAAAGCAACAGGCAGCAAAACCTTGTGCTCGCTCATCATTCTGCTGGTGCCGGAGGCGCCGGCGATTCTGGTTCGGGATGGGACACACCGCCGAGCCCAGGAGGGGTGGGGGGATCATCCGGGACCGGCATCACCATCGGCCCACGGGCAAGTACTGGTCTGCCAGGCAGAGACTGCCCACGAATGACAATCTCCACCTCATCCTTGTCCAGTGTCTCGTACTTGACCAGTGCCTGGGCTAGTAGGTCCAATTCTTTGCGCTTCTCGGTCAAAAGCTTTCGTACATCCTCGTATGACTTCTTGAGGCTCTTCTGCACCTCTGACTCGATAATGGCTCTGGTTTCCGAACTTAGGTTCTCGTAGCGGCGCCCGTATTCCATGGGGCCGAGGACACTGGACATGCCAAACTGAGCAACCATCATGAACCCCAGATCCGTAGCACGCTCGAGATCCTATTTTTTTACGTTAGAATACTGTAGTTTTACTTGTAATTTGAGCCTCAACTTACGTTAGAAACTCCCGAGGTGACCTTGTCATCACCGAAGCGCATCTCCTCAGCCATCTTGCCACCGAGAAGTACGCGGATATTGGCGGTGTACTCGGCGGCCGTCGTGGAGTACTTGTCCATGGCCGGCACATGCGCGGTGTGGCCTAGCGATCCGCCCTTGGGTAGAATTGTGACCTTGTACAGCTTGCTGTCGCTCTCTTTATCGAAGAGTTGAACCAGAGCGTGGCCAGCCTCGTGATACGCAGTCATTTCCTTTTCCTTTTCCGAAATGACCATTGACTTCTTATCAGCACCCATGCTCACGCGATCAAATGCCCATTCGAGGTCCGCTCTCGAGATAACGTTGGCCTTGGCGCGACTGGCGTGAAGCGCGGCAAAGTTGAGCATGTTCTCTAGCTCAGCGCCAGAGCGACCGGGGGAGCGAGCAGCGATGGCCTTGAGATCGACGTCTTGGGCGAGCTTGATCTTGTTCGCATGGTGCTCTAGAATGGCGATACGTCCGCGAACATCGGGAAGACCGACGTCAATGTGGCGGTCAAATCGACCCGGTCGTGTCAGAGCCTTGTCGAGCAGCTTGGGCAGGTTAGTAGCAGCCATGATGATAATCTTGGTATCTTGATCAAATCCATCCAGCTCAGTCAGAAGCTGGTTGAGAGTCTGCTTGGAGTGAGCTTGGTCACGGGGGTTACGCTTTCCACCGACCGCGTCCAGCTCATCGATGAAGATGATGGCGGGTGACTTCGCTTTGGCGGCAGCAAAGAGCTCGCGAACGCGTTTCGCACCGACACCAACGTAGATTTCGTCAAATTCGGATCCGGACATGTAAAAGAACGGCACACCGGCCTCGCCGGCAACAGCTCTCGCAAGGAGGGTCTTGCCAGTACCCGGTGGGCCAACCAGGAGAACGCCCTTGGGCAGTTTGGCGCCGAGGTCGGAGAACTTCTCAGGGTTCTTGAGAAATTCGACAACTTCCTGAAGTTCTTCCTTGGCCTCATCACATCCATGAACGTCTGTGAATCGCGTGTTTTGGTTCTCGGCCTTGACCTCAGAGTCCGTCTTGCCGCCAGCGCGGCGGAAGGAGCTGAGGAACTCGATGAGAATAGTGACGGCCACAAAACACAGGTAGGTAACCAGAATAAACGTCGCGAAGAATCGAACCCAGCGGAAGATGAACATGCGCGTCGTTTCTTGGACCACGACATGGATCGGCTCACCCCTGCCACCGGCGGTGGCGCTGCCGAGACCGGCATGCCCGACCGCGGCGTTGGCAATGGCCGCCTCGGAGCCATATCCAAGGCGTCCGATGGCGACACCCGATGTCGTGCCCGAGGTAGCGTTGGTACCGGCGTTCAAGGCCGCTAACGCCTTCCTGTAGGCGTCCTCCGTGGCGGGGTTGGTGCCGAAGCGGCCGGACTGGTAGCGCTCGACGAGGATGCCGGGCATGTTGGCGCGTAGAAGTAGCTGGTATAATGCGTTTTGCGCATTGGCGTTGCCGGGGTTTCTGTTGGCCGACTCCTCGGCGCTGGCGAGCTGGTTCCTAGAGATGCCATTGGACGAAGTGCCAAACGGCCGGCGCGCGTCCAGCGCCAGCTGTGTCCGAGGTCGGAGGGCGAGCGCCGTGGCGGTAAGCGAGTACTGTCGGTATGAAAATGGCGCGAGGGCGAGTCTCGATTGAGGCTGCGCGAATGTGCGCCGCGCCAGAGCGGGCGCGTAGAAGCGCATTGATGCCGCTGGCTGAGCGGCGGCACGCAGTCCCAGTCGGGACAGCGACGCCGCGGCTCTGAGATCAGCCATGGCGGCGATTGTGCGAAAGCGGCCGAGGGGTCTTGCGTGTCAATAAATCTCGGTAGAATGGCGGCTCAGTATTGCGTTGGTCTTGCGCACGGATGGATTTGGATCGCCGCTCGATTGAGGTAGTCGCCGATGCTCGTGACCTCGGAGGAAAATAGCCCCTGCCGCTGTTGTTTCGGGTTGCGTAGGCACTGGTCGATATGCCGAGGCAGTTGGTGACAGATGATGCAAAGCAACTATTCAGCGACATGCATTGTAATGGACTTGGGTAGCCCGGCTAATGTGATGCGGCGTGGGTGGCCTGATGCGAGGGCGACCGTTTGCTGATTTGCCCCAACCTAGTTCCGAGAGGCAATCGCCAACGGGGCTCGCTGACGTTGTTGCTTAGTCATTCAACGTTCTGTCCAATGGCTTCCCCAGCTTGGCCAGTACGGATGCGCCGCCAGATCACCTGACAGAAGCCGCTAGAAAAAAGAGGCGATGGCTTCGGCAGCCGGAACAAACACTCACCATTGTCACGGCAAATCGCTTGGACGAATATGTAAGCGTGCACTTTTGGAAATCGCCATTAGAATGACACCCCGACCGAGACATCTGGTGATGTCGAGTATTGAATATTCAAATTTCCATTCGCAAACGGCTCTCACCGTATGGCCCTCCTCCAATGGCTGGAATCGCATCATGCATACATCATACCATGGGTGGTGCCAACACTCTGTACTCAAATTCATTTCAAATCCCCTGCAGACACCCCTTTCGGCAGTCTTTCTACTACCTATATCTGATGGGGCATTATGCTCATCCCTCCTGCGCTGCGCCAAGCGTCATCTTGGACGTTAGCCAACCCCAATTTTCGACCACCCAGGCACAAGGCACCATGGCCTGGCCGATAATCCACAAGGGTGTCAACGACTCACCTCTTATTCTCGCTCAGGGCAAGGCATCCCAGGTGAGACAGAAAAGGAAGAATTCGAATAAACGTCCAGAACTTGTAGAAACGCTTATCCCAGAAAAGGCGAGAGACATCAGCAAAGTAGCCCACCCCTTCCAATTTTACCTGCCAGTTTGCTCTGTTACCGAAGTGGCCAGGAGAGTCATGTCTCACATAGAAAGGGGGGGAGAAAGGCACTGCATTTTTTGACAAGGCACACAGAAAGGACTCGCTTTGTGAGGGGCGGGGAAAGAGGCGGCGCATGCAAGTTTTTTTTATGATGTATCAGAATAATTTTTTTGTGCAGAACTAGCTTGTCAATTTGTTGCAAGAAGCAAATAAAACATAACAGAGAGTAAAATAAAATACAATACAACGTAAGCGCAAAGGGTAGCCACCGCGGAGCACAAGTTCCTCTCTCAGGTTAGAAGGACGACAAAAAGAAAAAACCGAGGCGAGCCGAAATCGTTCAAAAGGAAAAGACACTCCATATCCAATGAAAGTAGACAAAGGACAAAAAGCAAGATGAAAAAGGAAAATGCCACAAAAAAAAACAAGTTGCCATTGAACTTTGCAATAAGGATATCAATTTAAACTGAAAAAAAAAATCATGTTCCCAATTATAAATTCCACCTGTAACCAAATACCCCCCCAACGTAATAAATATTAAAAGATAGACACAATGTACAGCCAAGTACTTCAATCCAACCTCCAAACCCTGGGGCACTGCGTCGTGGTGCTGTAAAACCCGTTCCCAACATCCTGCCTGGTATCTCTCTCATCCGACCATATTAATGTGTGTTCGTATCGTTCGTAATGATGTATATCTTCGACCCAATCCATGTACAGTATTAATATATAGCTCTATTGCATTGTTGTACAAGAGCGATCCTCGCCGTAGACCACTCGCGGTTGCCAAGACGGGTATTGTGCGATGACCGATTTAGATGGCGGCGATGCGGCTGCTGGGCAGCTGCATCGACGGGTCGTCGAACTCGATCTTGGGGCCGCCGTAGAGGTCGTAGATGCCGGATCCGTAGGCGGGCAGCTGGCCGATGGTGGCGACCTCGACGGGGGCCTGGTACTGGTACCACTGCTCCGACTCGGCCTGGGGCGAGGGGTAGTGCCCAGCCTGCTGCTGGGGCTGTTGCGGTTGCTGCTGCTGGGCCTGCTGCTGCTGCTGAGGTTGCATGGGCTGAGGGGCGTACTGAATCATGGGCTGCTGCTCGACGGCGGCGGCGTTGTGCATGGCGTACTGGCTCTCCTGGGACGGGGCGGCGTGCGTGTACATGCCGCTGTCGCGGATGGCGGCCGGGCTCTGGCCGGCGACGGGGGAGAAGCCGGGGCTGCTGGTGATGGGCGTCGTCATGCCCTGGGTGGTGTAGGCCATCTCGACGACGCTGTTGCTCGGGCGCTCGCTCTGGCCGCGCGGCACCTGGAAGGACGGGTGGATGTTGGTGTTCATGGTGGCGACGCCCGGGTTGCCCTGCTCGACGACGTAGAAGGGCTGCTGGATGGAGTGGCTGCGCTGGAGCATGACGGGGTGGTGGTGGTGCGGCGGCTGGACCGAGTACTCGGCGGCGACGTTCTGCATGTTGTACTGGTGCATCTGCTGGTTGAAGTCGGGGAAGGAGGCGGCGCGGTGCATGACGTGGTGGCCATGGGGCAGCGCCTGGCCGGGGACGATGGCGGACACGGGCCACGACATGGCCGTCTGCGTGGGCGTGGGCGGCGACTCGCCCATATCGGAGTCGGAGGAGCAGTCGTCCAGGACCTCGTTGGGGTGAAGGCCGCGCTGGTGCGAGCGGCGCTGGTGCTTGACCATGGTGGTCTTGCGGCAGAAGCTCTTGATGCAGCCGTCGTGGGCGCACTTGTAGGGACGCTTGCCGGTGTGGATGCGGCGATGGCGAGCAAGGGAGGAGGACTGAGAGAGTTGTCATGTTAGTTGGTTGCGAGAGAGGGGGGGGCAGGAGCCATTGTGTCGTACGTCAGAGAAGCGCTTGCCGCAGCCCATATGTTGGCACTGATGAGGCTTCTCGCCAGTGTGAGTTCGGATGTGAACAGTCAGGGCGCTGCGCTGGATGAAGCTCTTGCCACATCCGGGGATGGAGCAGGAGTAGGGACGCTCGTTGGTGTGAATTCTGTAGTGGCGCTGAAGATCTGACTTGCGGTTGAAGCTCTGTCGCGACAGACGCGGTTAGTGACTGGTGATTGTGAATTGGTCCTGCCAGGATGGTGAGGCGTACCTTGTTGCACGAGTCCCAGTCACACTGGAACGGGCGAGTGGCAGGCTCATATTCGACGAGTTCGAGGAGCTCCATTGTGAGTTATGATGTGGATGACGGTGATGTTGATGATAAGGATGATGAGACAGAATATGAATGGAAGTAGGGATGTGGTAAGGGGAGGGGGAGGGACAGGATGTAGATATATGTATGATATACAAGTCCCAAGAAGAGGTAGTTGCTCGAAGCGATGACGGGTTTCTGTGAGAGGCGTGCCGGTGAATATATGCCGGAAAGGCAAGAGGCGGCCGGGGTATCCAAGGTGTGTGGACCGGGTTCTGAATCAAGTGGGTTGGTGACCGGGGGGGGGGGAAAGACAGGTACTGACAGGCCCTTGGCTTGGATTGTGGTACAAAGCGAGCGAGGGTCTGTTTATTCTGCCGACTTTGATACAGGGCCGCGAAAGTGGGCGTGAGAGTCGTCGGCAAGCAAGGGCGTGGGTGTGTAGAAACGGTTGGACGTTGGTGTTGCTGGTAAGGTTGCAGTTTCTGTTCGTGGAAGGATTCGAAGGTTGCTGATTAGACAAATTGCAAGGCAAGGGAGAACTGCTGGAGAGCACAATGTCTTGCAATGGGCAGGTAAAAAGGCTGTGGTTCGTGAGTCTTGAGTCTTGACGCGGAGATGTTGTAGACAAGAGTCAGAGCCAGGGCCTGTTGAAGAAGAAGAGATGCAAGGAAGGAAGGTGGTGAAGAAGGTGATTGACAGGAAGTAGAAAGACTTTGATTGAGAGGAAAGCGAGGCTATATAGATGAATGATGGCAGGCAGGGGACCAGAGAGACGGGCCGGGACTCGGGAGAGAGGCCAAAGAAGCAACACAGGCTTGGGAAGGGAAGTGTGGATGTGGAGTCGAGGCCAGAAAGAGAGGAGGTCCAGGTGAAAAGCAAAAATAATAATTAAATTAAAAAATAGAGAAGCTAAAAAGAAATACAATAAAATAAAAAGGTTAAAGAAATAAAAAAGAAAGCAAGGGTGTTGGGTCGAGGACTCCAGGTACCAAGGCAGTGGTGGGCAGGGCAGGCTGGGAGCACGCCAAGAAGGTTGCACAGTAGTCGATGGAGCCACCGCCGATAGAGAGGTCGTTGAGCAAGATGGACTACGAGCAGTTTAGTGTGCAAGGGGAAAGACATGGGGGGAGTGAGAAGAGCTAGGGAAGGTGTGGGTGAACTCGATGAAGGGGGGTGGTTACGACAGAACGATGAGAACGTGAGTGAGAGGCATACTGTGCTGGTCAGTTGAGCAATGTATGGGGACGGCCAGGACCAGGCAGGGAAAAAGCAAGGGGACAAGGATATGGGGGGGTTTGGGGCGGGCGGAGAGGAGGAGATGTGGTGGTGGTAGATTTGGGAGGAGGAGAGAGGAGAAGGAGGCTGAAAGAGGGTGATGCTGGTGTAAGTGGGCGACTGTTACCGGCTACAATCGCAGGAAGGATACCAGCAAAGGCAGTGAAAGTACAAGAGAAGCGGCTAGTTTTGGGGTGGCGGCGGCGGATGGGCCGGCATAGTGCCTCGGAAGAGGGGAGGAGGAGAGAGGAGGGGGAATGGGTGATGAGAGGAGGAGGAGGGGAGGGGGGTGTATCGGGTGTGTGCGAGTGGCGTTGTCATTTTTTATTTTTATTTTAATCAATTAATTAATTTATTTATTCTTTAGATCTAGCGTGCCTGAGAAGCAGGAAAAGAAAACAAGTAAAATGGGCGGGGGAGGACGAGTTCTGTTTGTGCCTGTCTGTGTGTCTGTGTGTGAGGTTGTGGTGGTGTGATTGTGGAGGAGGAAGGCAGTGAGTGAGAGCAGCACCGGGCAGTGACAGGCAGTGTGTCTGTGTGAGTGTGAGTGAGTGAGTGAGAAGGTGCACCAAGAAAAAGAGAAACCGCGCTAAAACGACGCGAAAAACGGGCCTCTCGTACCAATGTATGTACATAGGCAGTTAGCCTGGCCGGCCGACAGGGGACTTGCTCGCCTGGACAGAGGCTTGCAGCGGGGAGCTTGGCCCCCTGTTCCCCCTGTAGCAGCACTATGGTATAGAGGGTTACAGCGATGCTACAGTGGAAGCTCGGCTATACATGATGGGCACTGCAGCCTCTGCAGCTGGCTTGTTGTTAGGGCCTTGTTTTAGCGTAGCCAGCTGCCACAGGCATGGTTAGCATGGCGGTTGAAAAAGAAACGCCCGCTAGCCAATTGGCACACCAGTGGAATGGGAAGAAGAAAACTAGGAATTAGAAGAAATACGAAGAAGAAGTAAAAAAGCACATGAAAAAGAAAGCAATGAAGAAACATATGAGAGAAAAAAAGGTTGAGCTGAAGAAAAAGGCTTTGCTCGTTTAATGGCATCAGTACCTAGTAGGCCAACACAGCTTCCACCAGCACCAAAACCAACTCCCGATGTTCAGCCTTTCTTCCTCCGCACTTCATCGAACTCACGCCATAGGCAACGAGTAAGTCATGCTCTATCGTTCATCATACGTACCGGTTATTAATTTCCACTTCAGGTCGATTATCCATCTTTTAATCTTCATATCCATCTCTTGTCATTTATGCGTCCAATCCACTTTCAAAACTCTCTGCAAGCCACCACTCTGATCGATCGTCACAAGCTTTTGGCCATGCCACTCCTTCTCGCTACTACACTTTATTATCTTTCGACCTTGTTGTCTCAATCTGTCAACCTGCGCCTCCTCCTCCTCCTCCTCCTCCACCACCACCACCACCTATCTTGACTGCGGCTTTCGCGGGGAGAGGAGGGGGGCTCGAGTCATCATCCTGTTAACCTTGCTCGTGCCGTCGCCGTCGCCGTCGCCGCCAGACAATCAAATCCACCAACAACGTGGTTGACGGACGTGTCTCGTCCCCCCTTTGCACTGATACGATGAATTTAATTAATTTGAATTCAATTTCAATCTATCAACCTTTTGGTTCTAATTCCCCCTTCCTTCTTCCTATTGGATCTTGTCGGCCAGCCCTGCGCTAATACGGTATTGGCCCCCCGGGATCGGACTTTTTGGCATGGGCCCTTTTTTCAGACTGAACCTGCGACAACCAAAGCGATCCAAACTGACCCAGGCTGATGCCGTCATACCATTCTTAGCGGTTGGCGGCCTAGCTCTTCTTCTTTCTACCTGCTAACCCTCTCATATCTTGATTTTCCTGCCAAACACCCCTGTTAACCGATGCGCCCCCCCCCCTCGCGTTGTCGTTTGGTCAACCCCATCATGGCCATCGTGATGCTATATTCGGTAACCTTGTCTTGTACATGGGTCGACTTCAATGACCAAGGCTCATCGCCGGCATTAGCCGTTTCGCCATCGAGTTAGTAGTCCATTCTACCTTCATCCTCACCGTACACCGTCAGGAGAGCTCCCTTCTCGCACGGTCAACCCGTCGTCGGCCGTCGGCTAGGCCCTTGAAAGCCTGTTCTTGACATCGCGACATGCCGTCAACCTATCAAGCATTCCCACATACGAATTGAAGAAACCGTTGTGGCTTTCGCATCGTCAAATTGCCAGTCTGTCACATCTCGACTTCTTTTTGTCAGTTCCCACGTGCCTATCGTCAAATAACGCCATTCGAATCCCGCAAAAAAGCTTCCTCGGTTCGTCCTCTCTCCCCGTGCTCCTTTTTTTTTTGTCTCGGCCGACCTGCGTTATCGAGTTTCCTGTTCCTTACCGCACATCAAATCGGAATTCGCACTAGTAATCAGAGGAGGAAGCCGATGACAGCTCACTAGGGTCACTTGAATCGGCCATGCACAAGAGATGCCGTGGGGCCACGCTTCCCGTTTTAGTAGGGCTTCAACTCCCCCCGCCCGAGGGCCGCAATGTCCGGCAAAAAAGCATATAGCCAGTATGCCACACTAACTAGAAGACGCAACTCACACCTGTCTGTCCCTTGAATCAGTCGTTGGACGCGCCAGTCGGCACCGCTGGCTAACCCGAATAGCCTCATCCCAGCGATGATCTGGGACCGGTAAGCTATTCAAGCGATGCGAGTGCCGCCCATCTGTTGGCCTTCCCTTTTCTTCACCTCCCCCCTTTCCGATACTGGCAACCCCAGATCATGTATGGCCGGATGGCCGTTGCTTCCGCCCCAACACATGTGACAGTGTGACGATGCATGTTCGGCAGTGCTAGTGGGCATCATGACATGGTTATCGGTTTCGACAAACGCCAAACTGCTCCGTATGTGCCGATTTCTTTTTTTCTCCGTCCTCGCACTTGTGCAGCGTTCCCCTCAAAAATTGGCAAAGGAGATTGCACTGGCACTATCGTGTATCCATCCAAAAGCGTACGCGCCCGAGTCAGACAGAAACAATAAAAAAAGGCCAGGCCGACAAGGGTCGTCCGTTGCCCTGGCCTAGATGCAATGGTCATGCTCTGTCTGGTTCGAGAATGACGGACGCGGTAGCAGGTGGTTTCCCGATGCAATCCAACAAGGACCCTTTTTCGTCGTCGACCTTGCGTTTCAACCAACCGTGCCCTCTCGCCTCACCGCAGAAAACTAGATTACCATAGTTTCGGAATGCCCATGATGGATCATGGCGCACAAGGAAACGGCCCAGAACCAGCAACAACCAAGGGCGCCCACACCTTCATTCGCCCGACCCGGTTTGTCCATGCTGCCGCTACCCTCACCGACCGTTCAAGTCACGGCCGACCGTGGCCGCTTCCAGCCTTTTGAGCTTGGCAGCCATTGAGCTTGGCGAGGAGAGGTGGTACTGGCATTGAGGCGGGGGCGGCGACGGCGGCGGGGGTTGTGGTGTTGGTGTGAAACTTTACCGGTCAAGTCCGTCTGATAAAAAGGACAAAGGCATTATGGACTGATGTTGGTCCGAGAGAGAAAACTCAAAAATAAAATTCGATAAAATAAAACTCAATAGAATTCAATGAAAACAAATCTTATTGAGAACGAGAAATGCGGTGTGCTTCTTGCTCCGTGCAAGCCTCCATCTGAACAATCTCAGACGCACCCACAGCTTGTCCAACCCGACTTGGTCCCCCTGTCATGGAGGCTGTCGACCGTCGTCTGTGTCGTTGGTAGTGCCAGT